CACAAAGTTACGATGTTAACAATTTGATTATTTTAAATTTTTCTCAAATCTCTTTTATATTTGCTAATATTGCTCCAAATTTCAAGAATTAAACCGTTTTTGAAAGAAAAGTTTGTCAAGATGGCGTATTATAATTATTATTAATAAGTAAATAAGGTATATACATTTTTTTTAGGAATTTATATTTTATTTGGAGTTTAAGTAGTAATGCAGTATATAATACATAATATAAAGAGGTACTCAGGTACGTATACAAGGGGGCATTTTGGGAGTTCAACCCTCCTCTCCCGAAAATTAATAGTTGGATAAATTATTTATATTAATTTAATATTCTTTTATAAATATTGATTATGGTAAATTTTTTATGAACCCCCCACGAATTTTTTTTTTGTGTACGTGCCTGGAGGTACCTACCCGATTTCACTAAAAGTATATCTTTCCCTTTTACGCCGATTCACTTTTCCGCAAAATCGTAAAATTGGACGATTTCTGTTTCTGCCAATTTACCTTACCGTCAAATTAAACAATTTAATCTAATATTCGGATATTAATAAACGATTGTGTTATAAATTATAATTATTGTACGGAAGAAAATTCAAAATATTCGTAAAAAAATTTTAAAAATTTTAAAACTTACAGTTGTGGTTGTACTTACAGAAACGGTTTAATTAAGTTAAATTAATACATTTTACATAACATATAAATTTTCATATTATTTATATTATATGAGCATAATTAAAGGAATAATATGGGTGCATTCTTACAACTTACAATAATTATATAATACGTATTTGTTTTGCAAAGTCATATCTGAAAATGTATGAAAAAAATAAATACAAATATTGACATAAAATTAAAATCGATAGTCACACTACATTCAGTCAAAAACTCCATTATCGATAATAAGCAATAAATTTATCATTGGGCGGAAATTACGGATTATTTAATCAATCATTATTATTTTAATCTGTAGATAATAGATATCATAGACATATAATAAATAATACCTAATATAAAATATGTACACAACAGTAATAGCGTATAATTTCTATGGTAGATATGGAAACAATATTGATTGTAGTTATGATTTATTGTACCTGTACAAAATATTCCAATATCGTTGGAAACGATTTAATTATTACATCAGTCGATATATTTCAATGCCATCGTTTATCTTTACGTACAGATATAAATTAAATAACTTTATATATTATCCTACTTCCCCGAATTTTCCCCAAGTATCACGTTCATCTCTCTGAGCTCTTTTTAATTACGGTTCCGTTCGGCAAGATTCATTTGAGTGAATCATACTATGACAGTAAAACTATAACCAGGTATAACTTGCATATGGTTATATTAATAAACAAAATTATGTTAAATACAGGTATCCTTATGGATAAATATAAAACAATAAAATCAACTAAATCATACAACCTGTAGATAGAAGTATAAATAAAAAGAGCTGATACTAGGGACGGGTACGCCAGTGATTGCTTTTATTAAGTTTAATGAAAACTACTTTAAACATCAAAAAATGACTCTGCTAATAGCTATAGTATATTAAAAGGAACAAAATCGACCTCTTATCATTAGATTGGTGTGAGCAAGATTTCTGGTACTTATAAACATTGTTTGCGATAAATAAATCAGGACGCCACATTGCCGTAAATGTTTGCCGTTTACCTATAATTTTCTTTATTTTTCCAAATTATTTTGAAATCCCCTCAAAAAATCAAAAAATAACCAATTCAGTGGTAGACAAATTTACGTTTCAGGAAAGGTGCTACACTCTATTCATTTGAGCAAGTTTTCTGGTAGAAAAGTTGTTCACAGTTACAAAAAGTACAAAACGTACATCATAAAAAACCAAATAGATCCCACGCCACATCTCTAAATCTAAAATGTAAAATAGACTGAACAATACAAATTCAAAATTTTGCATTCTTACATATTATCGGTACCTAAATTATATTGGTATTATCTCAAAATATCTATTAAACGACAAGTTGTTTTTTTATTATAATGCACAATTATACCTACCTATAAATAAACCTAAACGTAATACCTATACATAAAACCTCAACTATATAGGAATTATAATTCATTTTACCAGGCTATGATTGTATGATTTTAAATTCTTAGATTATTAAATAGATTTTAAGTAATTTCAATAGTAAATTAAATTATTCACATTGCCCTAGATTATAAAAAACTAATATTTTGTTATTAATATTTTATTATATAGATTTAATGCAATATTTAAATGATGTATTGGATAACAGAAGTTGTTGGTATAGGAAAAATAAATGGGTACATTTTTTTTTTCAATCAATTGGAATGGGACTTATGTAAGTGCGCATAATATATTAATTTTTATTATAAGATTATTACTTATAATGCAGTATTATATATATTAAGTAAATGTAATTTAATGATTTCACTGTTGCTAAGTAATATTATAAAATTACTTAATAATTAACTTTTGAAGTTAAACTTAGTTAGTACTTAACCAGATTGGGTCAACTCACATATTTTGGGGTAGTCATCAAATTATGCCCATAAAATTACCAAAGTAAATCTTGATAGGTTTTCTAGTTATATACTTACCAAAAATCATATCTAATAAATATTTTTTTAGTATACATACCTACATTATATTTTCTGCCAAATAAAATTAAGACTATACCTATTTATTATTATATTTGTTTTCAGACTTATTGGAATGCTACCAACAGCGTGTGCTATATTTCCACAATTTAGGTATGTACCTATATTATTTTATTTTATTATTAATATTATATACAATTACATTATTTTCAGTTCTATTGAATCACAGACATTACAAAAATTAGACAATGGAGCTTATAATCAAATTGTTGAGAATTGTTTTGACAAAATTCCGCACAAAGTATATTTCAATAAAGGCCTATGAATCTGATGGAAGGATTATATTATATTTTTAAAAAAATTACTTTTATTACTTTATATTTTTGTTTTAGTTTTCTTTCTAAAACGAATGTTTTATAAAATAAAATAATTTATGTTTATTACATTTTACTCTTTCTTTATTTTTGTTAAAAATTCACTCAAAAATTGGAAAATTATGTGCTCTTTCTAAACTGCCAATTTTAATTAACTCTTTCATTACTTGACTAAATAATTAAAATATCATTTAATCAACAAATCAATTGTTTTATTAATATATAATTCCACAGTAGTTGATAAGAAGTCATGTCCATAGAAATAATAGACAGTGGTAATGAAAGGGTTAAGGTATGATTAATTATATAAGGTAGATAAATAAAACTGTGTCCATTGTAATAACAATATAGTTCCCTTTATATCTATAATTGCCTGATATAGTCGTTTGTACAAGGAATATCAAAACAATTTATTATGTAAAGCCTAATGAGTGTGTATATCACAAAATATATTATTAAAAAACAGTACAAAAATTAAAAAAATGTTGCATATTTTTATTTTAACTACATAAAAACTTCTGATTTCAAACATTCTAAAAAAATATGATAAAGCCTTCCAATCCCCACTTCTATCATTCATAAAAATATACAGTAAGTGCAAAAAGTATTCGTATACTCTATATTTTTAAATAAATATTCATTTTTCTTCATGATATTTTATTTTTCTCGATGAATTAATACATGCATATTATTCTTTTACGATTTTTAATTAAATTTTAAAAAAAAAAACATGACAACAGTTATATTAATAATAATATTCAATAACAAACAAAACAATAAATATATAATAGTAAAAAATAATAATAATAATAATAAAGAGTTGTATCAAAAAAAATGCCTTTAAATTATTGTGTAGCCCTATTTAGTACTTTGTAGGGTAGCCTTTGGACCTTATAATAGCCTCCAACCTCTTAGACATTGAATCAACCAGATGACGTGTTGTTTCTGCTGTGATTTTATTCCATTCCTCTTCTAGAGCTTTTTTTTAGTTTCCTTACTTGAAATATTGTGATATCGAATTTTTCTGTCCAAATAATCCCACAAATTCTCAATAGGATTAATGTCTGGAGACTGTGGTGGTGTCACAAGCTATTCAGTTACATTGTTCGACAACCAATCCCTTAACTTTTTTTTCAGTATGCTTGATATCATTGTCCTGTGTAAATATGAAATCATCTTTGATATCCATTTTTTCGGCACTAGTTGCAAGATTTGTCTTCAAAATATTCAAATAAATATATTGGTTCATAATTCCATCATTAAAGTGCAAGTTTCCATCAGTAGGGTGTACGAATACTTTTTACACTCACTGCACATAAAACAGTATTTTACCTTGAAACCTAGGTAATTCTTGATTATAATACTCAGAAATATTTCACATTATTTCATAACATAAAATTAATGTTTATGATTAACTCCAGGGGTGGTTTTTGGTAGCAAATGTGGTCTAGTCGATAATTTACTTTGACAACCACTATTTTTTATTTACTTAAAAAAAAATATTCAATTATGAAACAATACAGAATTATTGAATTGTATACAATATTATTAAACAAAATAAAACATAATATTTGTAATATTTAATGATCATTCTATTTAAACCAAAATTATTTGATATCTTAATTATAACATTTGGAAGAGGTAACTTAATTTTTAATTAATTACATGTATAAAAATTAATACTAAAATTTTAAATATGAACCGACAATAAAATAATTTAATAAAATAAAAATGTTCAATTATACATTTCAAAAACAATAAAAAATTTTTTTTATTATATTATAGTATTTGGAAATAATAAAAATGGGTATTAAACAAAATATACATACGGCATACATTTTATAAGTAGTAAGTAGCAATCTTTCTAGTTAATTTACAATAAAATTATAGGAAATAATGATAAAATAAACACAAAGCAAAAAAAAAAACAAATAACAAGAATATTTTGAAAAATATATTAACTACTAAGTTATAATTACTTAATTTTCTTAGTAATATACTAATAATCTAAAAAATTATTCATAGACAAGCAAACATTGAATCATTTGAATAAATCAATGGTGCACTGAGGTTTACATTAATAAGTACATGCTCGGGAGAATTGGCAGGATCTATGAATAAACATCTACCATCAGTGTGTAATATATCTAAAGGAGTGCTATAAGGTTGAACTTGACCAGTCCAAGAATGTTGGTCTACACTGTTGTAAAGAGAACCAGTAGTTAAGATGGCTGTAGTAGATGACACACTTGTATTATCACCATGTGAAGAAACATGCTGTTAACATACGTATATTTGTATTATTAATAATTATCATTAAAATTTAATAAATTGTAAACAAAATACAATACTTGAATGGTAGCAACAAATGTATGACTGTAGCAATCAAATGAAACTGTGATTATGAAAATGATATTATGAATATATTGTAAATGAGTAAAGAAGCAGAAGTTTTGAATATCTTGACATCTGAATACGTGTGTGATTAAATTTCCATAGTATATAAATTCTTGGTGACACTAAAACAAACCATTAAGCTTATTATTATACTTTCATGTTGGTGGTAAGCGGTTACCTAGTGGCAGGGTGATGACAAACAAGTATGATTATTATTTCTAGTTAAACCAAAATATTCCATTACTAAAACATAATATTAATATGATTTATTATGAATGGATATTAAAATAAAACTTACAGAAAATAGATGGACATATAAAGTTGCTGAATGTGAATACCATAAACAGCCAGCAATTGGACAAGGAAGCATGTTTGCAATTTCTGCTATAGTATGATTTGTTCCTGCTGCATTAAATTGCCCATCTTGCACAATCTGTTCATTTATCATAGACCCATTCAAATTCTGTAACTACCAATCAATTGCAATTGAAAATATATAACAGGTTGCAATTGAAAACAAAACAAGTTAAATAAATGTATTTAGTATTACATGTTGTGAAAAAGACCATGGATTTGTTAATAATGCAGATTCATAATATTGTAAAGTTCTAGATACTTCACAACTAGACTCAGGTAACTGCATGGATTGGACATCATTCGTTTCTATATAGTTTTGTATAACATCATTTTGCACTAAAACTGTATCTTGTGGTCCTAACAATGAACCCTAAAAATATATCATTAAAAAAACTATGGTGTAAAATGTTTTTAAATAATTTATTTACTCCATCAAGTGTATTGAATGTATCATAGTTAACCAATGGAGCTGATAATCCTCCATTGGCCATAGCCCAACGCTGATCAAAATCCTGCTGCTCTTGTTGTTCTGTGTCTTCTGATGACCTATTACTTAGGGTGTCAGAGTCATCAATATATAATGAATCTGTATCAGTCTGATCATTTCTAAATATTTTTTTTTTTTTTTTTTTAACAGCAAAATGAATTAGTTTATAATTTACAAACAATATTTTATAGAATAAAATAGTAATATTAATTAATTTTTACATGCAATTATTAAAGTTTTCTAACTCGAAACTCGCATGAATATCAACATCAGCCAATTGTGGGATATCAGGAAAAGCTTGAATATTAGGTATATTATTGTTTACAAGTACAGAAGATTTAATTTCATCTACAGGCGTATTTAACTTTCCACCATTATTTTTCCATTTTGTCTAAAAAATAAAACCAATACTTTCATTGATACTTTTAAGGTATAAGTAGTCAAATGGCTAGATATATCTTATTTTCACAATACAAAAATATAAAAAAATATTCAAAATTTTAAAAAATTCTTAAAATATATAACATCACTATTCTATGAATTTTCAATTTACCGAAGAAGCTTTATGTGCAATTTTCAGATTAAGTGGAGTTGAACTGCTACGCTATATATATATATGTATATATATATATATATATATATATATAAAAAAAAAAAACACACATTTAAATTTAAATTAATACATATTATATAAGTAACTCTAATACACATTTAATAGTTAACAAATTATTAATCAATTGATAATATAATTATAGAATAGAATATATAAATGTACAAATAATCTAAACAATTATGTACAAATAATAAATGAGCTGGAATTTAAAATATTATTTAAAATAATAAACTAATAAATATACCTGATGATAATAATTGTTTTGTGTAATACAATTGTTTGCCATTTGATTAAATCTATTTCTGTCAGTTGAAAGCAACTTATTCCTAAGAAGTTCACTTGTAGTCTTTGCAATTGGAGCATGATAGACAATGTTTTCCAAAGAACTAGAAGAACGCCCCTAAAATAGAGCACACAATAAAATCAAAAAGTTGGTATTTTTATTTCAGTGTAAGGCATTTATCTAATTTTGTTTTCTTTAGCAACAAATTAGTATACATTTAAAATGTAAATGATTGTTTTTTCAGACTTTCAGTGGTTGTATGCTATTTATTTATTTGTATAAGCAAGAATAATTGAACATTAAAAAATTATATGTTACGACCTTGTTAGGTACATAATATAACTGCAAATTAACAAGTTACATAATATAATATGCGAAATATTAAAATTATTATCAATAAGGATAGCGTATTATTTGATCAAGAGATCATTTATTAAACAATTTTAATGGCAATTCAGAATGTGAAGTACCTCATGGAATCTGGTTGGTCTAAACGTTTAAGTTTTTGGGGTGAATCCATTTTACCCTAAAGTAGATTTAGTGAAACATTTTGATCTGTTTTTACAGATTTAATCTCAAGTTAAATAAGATTTAAAGTATGACATAATAAGATAATAGTAATGTTAGGGCTGGTCAATTTTTAACAAAACACCTGCACAACTTAAAGTTTTTTTTTAGAATCATTCAACAATTAACTGAATTTCAACTTGAAGGAAAGTGTTTTAAAATGTTGAGTTGTAATCAAGAATAAATTGAACTAGGGTGAAATAAAGTAATTAAATACTGGTATTAAATTTAAATTTTTAGATAATTAAACTGTATAATAAAAAACTAAGAACTAAGGTATTACAAAAAATATGTTTGATATGAGATCTAAAGAATAGGGATGGAGTATATATATAAATTCTAAGTCGATAGTCCTATTATCTTAAGACACATTTTATAGATATTTTACACTTATCAGTGTTAAGCCTATCGGTCTTTTTCATGATACCAGTAGCAAAGCTTTCAATAGGCACTTGAAGGATGACACAATTATTTGATGTTTTGGGAGAAAAGTTTAACATCTTTAACAAAGGATTACCAGTATCAAACTTATTTAAGATATAAATAGGAGATATAATCATTAAGTCAAACACCTTTAAATAGGCAGTGAAGACTGTGTCCAGTTGAGCTCTAACTTTAAAAACATCAGTGATAAAAGAAGAGAAATCTAAGGAGCTAATTGACTAATTTGCTCAAATATAAGTACTAAAATATTGGGAGACTAAATGGGAATACATAAATGCAGATAAACTCCCAAATGATTTTTTGGAATTTTTTTTTTTCAAAATATGTTATTTCATGGTACTTTATTTGATGGTACTTTCAAAAAAAGTCACTCAAACTTCATCTAAAAGTTATAATTAAAAAACTTCAAAATACACGATTTTCAAAAATTGTGTGTTTTTGAGTTTAAAATATCAACAATTAGCATAAAATAAGAATTCACATATCGTACTTTTTATGTTGTTGTTAATCAACCAGTTAAACCTAATTTTCCTGTTAAGTATAAATCTAATTTACGACCAAAGCTCATTTTTCTATTTTTTTTTTTTTAATTATGTTTTTGCTTGAACATTATAAATCTAAATAAAAAATTTAAGACAAACTTCGTTTTGAAATTAAGAGGAAAAATTTCATAAAATTTAGGTTATCCGTTTTGTGTATTTTTTAGTTGGAATTTAACATTTAATTTTGTTTTTTTTTTTTCAAAATGTACTTTTTAATGCTTTATCTATTGATATAATCAAAACTTACCTATTATACTTACTTTTATAGTTTTTTAAATAACCTTGAAACATAAAATTTTTGGAATTAATCCAAAATATGATAGGTTTTATTATTATTATGTTTTGTAGTTAATGATATTTTGATAACAATGTTTTTTTATTGAAGTCAGAATAACTTTATGTGGCTTAGATTTAGAGATACAAACGTCAAATTCTAGTGACCCCACCAGGTCTTTAGGTGCACCCAAAATATTATTTTTCAAGGTTAATGTACAATAACTTCAAAAGTAGGTATGATAGGTAAGTTTTGATTAAATCAATGGATTAAAGTATTAGAAAATACATTTTGAAAAATAAAAAAAAAATTTAAAAATGTTAATTCTAACTAAGAAATACGTGAAACGGAAAACTAGAACTTTAAGAATTTTTTCCCCATAACTTCCAAACAAAGTTCATCAGACTTTCTTTTAGACTAAATATACAGGCAAAAACAAATTTTGAAAAAAAATTTTTTAAAAATTTGCTTGGGTTGTGACTAGATTTGTTCCAATTTTATTAGCAATATTTCATAGACTGTTATGGCAAGATTTATTTGTTTAACATCATAGATACCACGCAAATAGTTATTTAGGAATCTGGTTTCATTAATAAGTACCCAAAAATAATAATAAATAACTAGGATTAGGTACTTACAATTTATTAGGACTGATTATCAATAACATAATAAAAATAATACAAAAATAGTCCGATATATACATTCAAAGTATGACACAGTGAAATATTAATTAAGAAGAGAATAAAACAAACAAAATTATGGTAGAAAAAAACATTTTTGTAAAATTAGTAGTTCCATTAAAAATTGAATATAAAATATATTTGAACAGAATAATATATAACAACACTTACTTGACCTTCTGAAATAGAAGAATTTGAGTTTAACAAATTTGTATTATTTTGCACTTGAAGTCCATTTGGTGTTTTTGTAATTACTGACTTATGGATTGGAATATTGTCAGATGTTTCTTTTTGTAACTTGATTATAGTTGGCTTCCGCGGTCTTCCTACAGACCTTTTATTAACCAAATATTTAGCAGCAGGTTTTTTCACATTCTTTCTTTTGGTTCTCATACTTGCAGCCAATGATTCACACTGAACATAAAATCCCATTCGGTGCAAAGTCAATAATTTAACATATTCTTTTCTCTATAAACAATTTACACATGCATAAAAAAAAATGAATAAAAATGGATCATAAAGAGTGATATATAATGCATATAAAAAAAAAAGTTGTACTCGTAAACTTCCGACAAGGGTTGCGGAAATAGGAATTTCATTAAATTAATATTAAATAGCCTCACAATATTAATTAATTTATACTACAATCTATAGTGATCTGAACTTGGTATTTTGTAAATGGTCGCCTAACTTCTGCTTACACAAGAAAAGATAATGCTGTATTTTAATGATATTAATTTATTGAAATAATATAAAACGCGTTGGCGCAAAACCACGATTTGCAGCGACCAAATGAAGTCTAAAAAATAAAACTAAAATTGCATGTCACAGGCAGGAGTACACGACGATAATTTCTAGTTGAACAACGATAGTCAGACCCCCACCCCATCGTAAAGACCCTCATCTTTAATATTATCGGTTGCTATATAGATTAACGAACAGATTTTTAAATAATAAAGGAGCGTGCTGCATACTCCCAACCGGACACAAACCGGTTTTCGGCGTCAAGATGGTTAGGTTAGGTGTCCTATAAATATATCAGGCAGTAAGGGAAAACCCAAAAACGCACTATATTGCCCGAATAACAGGCCAAACAGAAATATTAAACGACAATAAATTATTATTGTCATGAATTTTATCATGACAATAATAATGATTATCGATTATGATTGGTGATTACGTATTAACGGACTAATGGCATCGTTATATTGGTAAATTTTGTCATGATCATTGATCATATCGTGTGAAACTGTACACTTTAATTACACTGAAATTTTGTGATCTCGATTAAAGCACAATTTTATTGTTTATATATATTTTACTGTCATTACTCATTATAATTATAATTAAGTTTAATATTAATTCGTGCTTAATATATAATATTAAGTGATAGTCTACAGGTATAAGAGCATTGAAAAGAGATGAAATCATTATTCACTAACCTTTAGATTGCCGGGCAGGCCTTGTCTTTTAGCCCAACATACCATCGTCCGATACGACCACGAAATAGATTCTTCTGTTTTGTCGCGGTACGACATCGGTTGACTTTTTTCCATTGTTACCGCCGTATGCTGTAAGTAAATACTTCGGTAAATATACACGAAAATAGAGTACTAAAAAAATTAAAAACTGTCTTCACCGCAAAAAAATCTTTAAATTAATAACCTCTAATACCATTTACACATTTTAAATACGTAGTCTTGCGATTATATTTTTTTTTTCCATTATTTAGGTTATGCACGTTTTTTTTTTTTTTTAACAGATTTTACTAAGTCCCCAAATCGAAGTACAATCATTTGTCTCTTAGAATTAAATAAAAAAGTCAAAATATCGCAAACCCACATGGGATGTAATGCATTTTAATTGTATTTTATTTGAATTAATTTGAAAATTAATACTTCATTCAATAAGAATCTAGGACATTCCTCCTCTACACACTGATATTAAAAAAACGGACATACTTTGCACATAGGTAGGCCACTGTTTTATGAGAGAAGTTGGGAAGGTACAGGGGAAATTTAATGTAGGTATTTCTGTACGCAACAGTTAATCGTTGATAACAAAAAACGATTCTGAGCAGAGTTTGGTTAATAGTATTGCCCTATAAACAACATATATATATATATATATATATATATATGTCACATCATGGTAAAATAATTACATAATATTTATTTAAAACCTATTATATCTTAATTTCTGTTTTTTCCTAGTTTTTACTATTTATTTTTTCATTTATTTAGTAAAATCAAAAAATGACCTCCTTAATGTATTGCCCTAGGAAAATTCTCTTTCAGAAAAGGTACTATACTTGATACTATGGAGCAAGATTTCTGGTAGAATTTATGTATAAAAAAATTAACATCTTTGTAAAACCATTACTTTCTTCGCTACACTCAGAATCTAAAATAAATATAAAAGTTACACACATATTTTAGTGTTCATTTTTTTGATATTAGCATAAGTTATTGCCTTAGGTTTTTAAAATAATTTAGTATTTTGTTTTGGTCAAAACTATCGAAAAACATTCAAATCACTACCTATTACAATTGGTGGGTTGAAAGCATTTTTTAATCTTCTTATATTATGTTTTACACTATCTTCTGATGTAAATATTGATATTGCTTAATTTGACCTTACATTTTAATGCAATAAACATGAAATACGTACTGATAAAACATAAAATGTGTTAACACCTAATACGAGTATACTTTTATTATAGGTATTATATAATAAACTAGTTATTTTTAGTTATTTGAGTTTTAGTTTGTGGGTGGAATGTCCATATACCATTTAATGCAAATTAAAATTGAATATTGTTTTAAATAGTTTTGTTCCACTATGACCATACAATATTTATAGTTTGGATTATTTGATACATGTTCCCAAATATTTAACTTATTTTGATCTTGAATTATATACATAAATGATTTTAATTGATGCAATACTCTGAGGATGGTATATGTTTCTAGTCTGCAGTGTACCAGTATTGATTGTGTAATGTGTACCATGCAAATATGTTTGCTATCAAAAAATTGTAAGTGAACTACCGGTGTGAAAAAAAATAAATTTAGATAGATTTTTAAAATGGTACTTATTAAGTTAAATAGTTATATTTTCGTTCATAAATTATTTTTCCTATTCAACAGCATATGAACTAACAGTTTTACTAGATATTCTATTAAGAAGACACCACATCAACATCTACTGTCTCTGTCTTACAAACACAAGACATAGCAAATTTGCATTCAATAGGACATATTTTGTTCCATTAGTTTTAATATGAAATCATATTGACCCGTTACCAAAATTAAAAGTAAGATTATAAGTGCTCTAGAGTTGATGATTTTTTTTTATATTTTTATTTTTAAATAATATATGAATATGTTAATTATCACAATTTAAAAATTATTATATCTTGCGTAAAGCTGAGGTAGCTGACTTACAGTATTCCTGCAACAACTATTACTTGTAGAATTGAAGGAAGAATGAATAAAATCATATCATGATGTTTAAACTCTTTAAAGGATATAATCTCTCTCATTTTTAAATTATTACAGGAGTTAAATTATTTTTTTAACTAACAATTCAGCCCTATTACAAATAATTTATAACCAAACCCTCTCCATAAATAATCTATACCTATTCTAATGTCAGGAAGTATGATTTAATATTTTTTTAACGTCATTCAATGTATCTTAGTAAAACATACTTCAATATAAATAATAAAAAAAATACATTTACATGTTTGGTCCTCTATACTTGTTAAAAGATACAAAAAAAAAAACAATTTGTTTTCATACCTTTTCTGAATATTCTATAACTAATGGATGTAGTAACATTGTTTCATATATTATAATGCAAATGTATGTATGGTTGGTTAGTTTCAATTGCACATTTGATTTGTCTATATAACAAATAATCAAAGAAAATGATATAATACAATTTTTAAAAATAGACTTAATTAAGATTATCTTGACAACAAAATGCCTTGAATCTTATTTATTATTCAGTATTAATTTGTATCTAAATAATAGTCAGACTAATAATGACAATATTTCATTCAAATAATCTAAAAAAAAGTAATTTTTCATACTTCATAACAGTATCAAATAGGTACTTATTATTTAATTGTTTGTATTTGGTGTTTTATTAATTGAATATTTTGTAAATTATTATTTTTACAGACTTGTATATATCATATTTATATAGACTTATACTTTATACTTTAAAATAATTTCATTATTCCCATAAAATATAACAGATTATTTAATTATAATAGTCCGATAAAAATAAATAAATAAATGACTATTTAGTGAGGAATATTTCAATAAGTACTGTTAATACTGATATCAATGATGCAACTGATGAAAATCATAAACAGAAGGCCAGAAAAGTGTAATAATGATTTTAATTTAAATTTTTAGGAAACATTAACATTTGTATTGATAATAATTCACCATCAATCAACTTTTGACTCTTTCAAGTAACTTGGTACAAATTTATCCACCAACTACAAAAATAATCTTAAATATGTCTTAAATATCCGGTACCCATTGGAGAGTATATGATTTATTTAAGTTTAATATTATTTATAATGTGATTGTACTGTAATTAACCCTTAATTATTGACGTATAGTCTACCAAACCATGCATACTTGTACTAAGTATAAATAAAAAATGAACAAGTTATAATCTAACAAAGTTCAAATTTTATTTTTTAACATATTTTAGGGAAAAAAATAATGTTTTTAAGTTTGTCTTTTGTAATTATTTGATGTGGTTTAATAGAAATTATATTTTTGTTTTTCCAAATAGTTTTTATAAAAATTAGAATAAATGTAACAAATTCAGAAACGTTTACACCATTATATTATTTCGTTATTTTCGATTTTGGTAAATCGGTGACTGAAACTTTAATTGAATATTATTATAGTGCTTGTTAATCATTTTTTTAATTCTTATTTAGGACATACCTATCTACGGTTGTATTAAAATGAACAAATTAAATAGTGATAAAAAAAAGTCTGGTATAATATAACAGGATCACAGTATCATGTGCATAGCAATACATTTCAGCATAAAGTTTTAAATTTAAAAGACCATTTTATAAATATTATAAATAAGAAGACCAAGCATGATGCCCTTTGGAATGGAAAGAGTATTTACATAATCATCACTGTATTCATTATCTAATCTAACTTTCTGTGGTCTATTTGAAATTAATGATACTGTCAAAAGTATGTATTTCCTTCTAATACCACAATAATATAAATTCTTAAGTAGCACTTCATAATCAACGGAGTCAAAAGCTTTTTTAAAATCTAGAAATATGCTATAAACCTTAAATTTGTTATCAAGATTATGATGTATAAAATCAGATGTTTTTACTAACGAGTCAATAGTTGACATATTTGTAAAATTTGTAGAAATCGACCTATAATTACTGCAAATTTTTTTATCCCCCGATTTATAAAGCTGAACAATTATAGTTTCATTGATAAAAGGATAGATGGCAGTTGTGAGTGAACAATTAAAAATTAGATATAATAGTACAAATATGGAGTTGACGGTATTTTTTAGAATTAGATTTGCTATAACATATTTGTTAAATGAAGAAACTTCCTTAATATTCTTAATTAAGGTAATGATTTCACTTGGTTCACTAGAATTAAGAAAAATTGAGTCGTTAATGTTGCAATTTCTATTTAAATCATCTTAACCTAGCCTATTAAAATTAATATCAAATATTTTTCCCACATTTACATAATATTTGTTAAATTCATCTAAGATTTTATTTTTAAGTAGGGAAGATATATAAGTTGAAGGTTTCTAACCGCTATAGATAACCTTCGTTATTAAACTTTTAAGTAGTTTTAATATTATTGCAAGATAAATCAAATTGTTTTTTAAAATATACATTTTTAAATGAATTCTTCGAGATCAATAACAATGAAGTGGAGAATTCAATAAATTCATTTATTCTACTATTAAAAATATTTAATAAAACATCAACATTTTAATCAATTAGTATGACATTTACCAATTATATGATTTTATTAAAAAATCGAGATGTTAGTGTACATTTTAAATTTTCTAATATTTTTATACTTAAATATTACTATTATTAGTGCATAATATTATTACACGTGTATTTATTTCAGTCGGAGTATCCGTGTATTGGCGTTAATAATTGTATAATTTTAATGTAAGTGGTATTAATCAGTGGCGTAGCAATGGGTCATGTCCGCATTTTACATGATATTTCGTACTTAATATTTTTTATAATTAATAATAACATACAACTAATGGCGGAAGGAGCCACCTCCGAGGCAGAGAAGTTTCCCGGTGGGCCGGAGTCCGGTCATGACTATGAGGCCCTCTCGTCATAAAACTGATTTATACTTAAAATTATTCGTTTTCATTTTTAAAAATATTTTTATTACCTATGACGCATTATCATTACGGTTAAGATATACCGTAATATATATCTTAGTATATTTTAAATCGTGATTATCACAGACATATTAATATGTTTATGACGATTAGAGCATAGAGTAATTTTACTCTAATGATTAGAAATAAATCTTTAATCTTATGCATACGTCTTTGATAATGAGGAGAAAAACCTGATATGATTGCTTGACGAACTATGATAACGTGGTTAAAAGTACATCTACAGATTTATTATAAAATAAATAATAATATTTTATATATTATGTAGTGTTGTGAAATATGTGTAGAGACATACAACAACTCAAGATATTAAAGAAATGATTTAACTTTATTTATTTTTAAATAAATAAACTCTCTTGGTAACTGGATGATACCAAAATACAAAAGGTCAATCAAAATTCCGATATCAAGCGCACGACCACGGTTGTCGATTCAACCATGCGGCGTGTACACAATGTAGCTAATAGCGGCCGGTATGATAGCTTTAAGTATTTTTTTTAAATTTCATTTAATGTAGACTAAAAATCTACATTATAATATAAAGAATAATAGTTATTTTAATTGGTATAGACATTTTTTGGATTTCGAGTGCAGCGAGGGGAGTAATTGGTTTTACAATGCTGTTTATTTCCTTTTTTTTTTCTTCTAGTCTGTGGACACGTTTTTCCCTAGTAAACTTTCTACGATTTTTACGTGTAGCAATTTTTCTGAAAGCTCAAATTATCTATATAGTCCTTTAAAGGGGGTATTTTTTAAATAAAAACACATAAGTGGGAAAAAACGTATAATTTCACAGTTTCATTATTTTATAAAAACGAACGACGTTTTCTACCAAAAAAAATTATTTAATCGAAAAATCACAAGACATCTTTTTTATTGTCTCTTTGATTTAATTTCTTACGGTATCATCGATATAATTTTTGAGAAACTTTTGAGCTTTTAAGGAATTTTAATTTTTAAGAATTTTTGCTATAATTCGGTTATAAGTACACGTATACTTGAAACTTGGTAATAATACCTATATTGAACTTACCAAGACGTGGTAAAGTTTTCATAATCATCGAACGAATTTTTTTTTTTTTTAATAAGCATTTTGTAATCAAATTTAAACGAAAATTGCAAAAACAAAATTACTGCACTTCAAATTATGTATTACTGACTGCGCTCTGAATCATCTTTCGTCAAGCAATAGTTTATCGTTGCTTACAGATATCTTTGAAATAATGTATCCTACCTTCCCAAATTCCCACCCCTCCACAATATCAGTTCTTTTTTAAGTGTTTTTTGTCCGTGAAAGCAATATTGGAGAATAAACGAAAAGATGAAGCCTAAAAAATTAGGGAAAAAATAAAAAAAAAAACTTTTATCTTTACAAGTAAGTAAAGCAATGCAGACCGATCTCGGGATCTATTAGCAATCTCATTAATTCAATAATGTTACTACATTTCCACTATATTGTTTGCATTTATTTTGTTTTGAGCCGGTGACACTTCAGAATCTTTCGCTGCATACAATATCAAATTCATGAAGTATTTTTACTACTTAATTCAACTTTTTTATAATTCTAAGGCTTGACTACGAGTACTTTTCAAAGTAATTATTTTTTACAATGTATTAGTAGTTATTATTTGGAATGAAACCTATACAGCTTTCATAACATTTTCTATCTATGCGAGTTCAGCACACTTTCTTATTATTTCACCAGCCACCACCAATATAAGTAATTGTTAGTGTTATAAACAGAACAGTACAATCTATTATTATTTAGGTACAATTAATGAAGTACATTTGCGCCATCTATCGTTAAATTTAAACCTATTAAATATTCTTTGTAGCATGAATTAAGATATATCTTTATCCGTGCTTTGTACATTACTCTTTTAACTTTTGTGGTATAGGCAACTTAAATTACACAACAGCCATGACACTATTTTTTATCAAAACAGTCTCCTAGCTTATTGTCCTAACTTCACGCACGTACTTCACACTTAAAAAAAATTAAAAAATATGTATTGATACTTAAAATATTTAAAATTATATAAACATAAACTCAATTTAAGATATGCGTTATCAAGTTTATTGTTAGCACCAGGCCGCCAGAACGGTACTGAATTGTTTGTGTTACATTAACAGTATTTGAAAAAGTTTAAATAATTATAAATTATTCAATAGCAATGAAATAGACAGTTATAGCTAATGTTTATATTTATTATTCAATAAAGAATACATTTGTATAAATATTTTTATTGTAACAAGTTTTGTATATTGTTTTTTTGGAAAAATGGAAGATGACTATGATGAATATCGACGCTGGGATGGTGATGTTGATGTAGAGGTTTGTTTTGTATTGTAATATTATAAGGTTTTCATAAGTATTATACCTAGACAAATTATATTGATGCGACTATCTACTTACTTAAGCTACCTACAATTGATGACTTATCTATAATTTTAGGCCAAACTATCGAAGTTTAAAAATTTCGATATTCCTCACCTAAATATAATTTATAATTACAAAAGCATTTAAAAATGTTATTTAAGTCAATATATAATAGTTAAAATATTTACGAAATTAATATAATAAGTACAATATGAATAATATAATATAAATTAATATATTACTTTTTTATTAAAATTTCAATGACATTAATTCCAAAATTGGAATATCCCTCTACTGTCAACATTGTATTCCATGCAGATGTTTTAATTTTTGAACTGTGGTTGTTTGACAGTATCCATTTTATACTGTGCAATTTTATCTTTTTAGCTGCATTTTAAAAACAGCAGTTAAAATTGAAAAAAAAAAAACCTAAAACCATCATGTCCAAACGACCCTGGATATGAGTTCAAATCTAAACAAAATTTAAATATTTTGCCTGTGGATTTTGTGTCCTTAGATATTATGACCGATTACTTTTTCAATAGTTTATATTTAATTTAAGATTAAGTTAAATCTCAATATCTTTTCTATCAACTAGAAAGATGTCCAAGTAGATTATTGAATGTATTGATTATTCAATGGTTTTTTTCTATTTAGTTTTGTATATATTTTGAAGTTTGTACATTTGAGAAAAATAAGTATCCAAGAGTTGCATGTAATTGAAAAGAAATTAGATTATATATTAATAGTATACTTTAAATTAATGCAAGGTAGAAGTTAGATTAATCTGAAATTTGGATTGATAAATATATATTACAAATTTGATTTCTAATCCTGATGTACGGAACCAATCTTTCAATCTAAATATTGAACACAATTATAATGAAAAATAAATCAAATTGTTTAATTTAGAATTTTTTAGTAAATAATAGTGTTTTAGTTGTATAATAATTTTTTTAAATTGTGTATGTATTAATGTAAATTGAATCATTAATATGTTAGTCTTAAACATTGTTAGATTATACTGTACAATTTTGTCAATTAATCAATTGGAATGTGATTAAACCTCATTGTTCCAGATCCAGTGTTCAGTAATATTTTAAAAAGATCATTAATTTAATTTTGAAAAATATTTGAAAATCTGCCAAAAAAGAGTTATTTTAATTATTTGTAGTGGACATCTATATTTTAACAAAATGAAAATTGTTATTTTTTTTTTTATACTTTCACTTTAAAAAAAAATATTGGTCTGAAAATTATCAAGTAGTAGATTTTTAATTTAAACTAACATTTAGAAATAAGGTTAAATTGCTTACTTGGTTTAGATAAAAAATCAATTGAATTTGAATTTCTTACTAAAACTAAACTATGTTGATAATTTTAGTTAACTCTTTTAATTACTTTTATATAATCATAAACAATATTATTATTAGAGAACATTGAATAAAACGTAGGCAATTTAGCGTTTTTTTGTTTTTAAATATTGTAATAGGAACATGCATTGTGATTTGTAAACAGGTACCATTTTTATTTTATAATTAGATAATAGGTATCATTTCTTTATTATTCATCTAAATTTGTCTATTTTTTTAATACAAAATTTAAAACACTCAATAAAGATCTTAGATCTAGATATATTCTCTACTAAAAACCGTTCTTGAATACTTAAATATTTTAGGTAGATGATAATGATGACATACTAGAAAATCCACAAGAAACTTTAACTCAGTGTTTAGAAAAATTTAGTAGTCCAGATTATATTATGGAACCAGGGATATTTTCACAACTTAAAAGGTAATATTTTATACAATAATAATTACTTATTACTATACCATTATATTATATGTTAAATTTAAAATAAGTAATTTTAGTTCATAATTTTATTATAATATACTGATTGAATGTGATGTTGGTTTGTTTTGCTAATAAGTAAACTATTATTTAAATTTTAAATAATTATTATTTTATGTAGATATTTTCAAGTGGGTGGTACTCCTGAACATGTAATAGAATTGTTGTCAAAAAATTATATTGGTGTTGCTCAGATGGCAAATATGGTAGCTGAATGGTTAATTCTTGGGGGTAATTCTGATTTTGATTTCTATTTAAAAATGGTATTATTTATAATACTTATTACTTACATAATATGTAGTTACATTAATAATTATATAATTTAATTGTATTTACCAAAATGTTATGTTCTAAAAATAAAATGTTTATGAAGGTGTTGCAGTAGGTGAAGTTCAATCATTTGTTGAAAATCATCTAAAAGATATGGTACTTAAAACATTTGATCCAAAAAAAGCTGATACGATTTTTAGTGAGGAGGGAGAAGTATGTTATTTTAACTGTATTATTTAAAATTGTATTCATTTATATAATGTGTTGATTTACTAGACTCCAGCTTGGTTAACAGAAATGATTGAACACAAAATTTGGAGGTCATTAATTTACAGATTGGCTGAAGAATATCCTGATTGTTTAATGCTTAACTTTACAATTAAGGTTTTTACTATTGATGAAATAAATACATATATATACTTACCTATTTGTATGGTTTTAATTTTGATTTTATATTCTATAGTTCTATACTTATTTTTTGATTGACAGTTGATATCAGATGCCGGATATCAAGGTGAAATCACAAGTATATCTACCGCATCTCAACAAATTGAAGTCTATTCACGGATATTAAAAAATTTCATTACAGAATCTATAAAAACATCTAGTGAAAATAGACAAAATACAATTCAAGAATGTGCTGTGAGTTAATTGTTATTATTTTTAAATTTCAACTCTGAATCATCATTATGCAATGCACTAATTAATAAAAAAAAAAAAATGAATAATTAAGTTAGTTAATTCAAATTTTGCAAAGTGGATGTCTTTAAATACCTAATTGTTATCATAAAATGAAAAAACAACATGCACAAGAAGATATCGTATGAATAGCATTTGGTAACTAATATTACTATAATATTATACTGTTATGAAACTCCTGAAGTTAAAATTATTGTCACAAAATGTGAATACACTCTTATAAAACTTATTTTGTGATCATTAGTTGCATACGAGAGCAAAACCTGGTCATCATGATTTAAGATATATTTTTATATACTTGATATATTAATACATACCCAGTTTAAGCATGTCTTAAATTGTTCTATTCACTGACTAATGAAAATAGTAGATTGACTACTTTCAAAAGATACTGCAGAATATATACTGTCAAGCTATAATTCAAAGATGCAGACTTACAAAAGAAGATAAATTTAAGACCAGCAGAAGATATATCCATGTCAAATTTAAAATCTAATGTCTGAAATTGTTTAGACATATTTGAAGATACCTAAATAATAAAAGTGGTATTGATAAAGAAATTAAACAGAAAACGACTATTAGGGAACTCAGGATTCAGTTGGTAAATTACTCATAATATAGAAAACATGATTTGTAATCTCAACAAACTTACAAGTTGGGCAAGAAGAAAAATTCAAATTTTAAGTTATTACTTATTCTAAGTTATAATTTTTTCCTCTTTAAAAGTACATACATACATTTTTTTTAATTAGGAATGCCTGATAGCTCATTCATGTAAACCTATTACCTTGATTTTACATAATATTTAAATAGTTGTATAATTATTAATTTACAATAAACAAGAATTTTTAAAAAAATGTCAACATATAAAATAAACAATGTAGTTTTCAAAAACTGTAAAATTGAAACAACAAAAAATGTAGTGAGTGTCAGTTATAGCTTAAAAATATATTTTAATATAGATATTTTAGATTCTGAATGGAGCGAAGAAGCTCATGGTTTTACAAAGATGTTTTTTTTTCTTTGGACAGCTTTTATATCTGCAATTTTCCTACGATATACAATTATAGCACATTTTTGAAAGTAAATTTGAAAAATGGGAAAATTAATACAACATTAAACAAATATTATTAAAGTAAATCTACAAGCTGTTTTGGAGATAATAAAGATAGTCAAATTCTGTTTTTTTTTTTTTTATATATATATGTATATATATTACAAGAATGCAGTCTACAAACATTATAAATATTTGTATTTTAAATATAATTTAAATTTATTATTATTATTTTTTTTTTTAGTAAAAAATTACTTTTTATTTTAATATTTTTAAAAAAAATTAAGATGGCCAGTTTGTAGAATATATTCTAAAATTTGTAAAGTGTCATACATTCATGTAATTCCTTACTTATATCTGTTTAACATTTAGAAAAAGTTGTGAAAAACGACTGAAACAAATCAACATGTTATGCGATAGTGAATTATAGTCTCAATACTAGGTACATGTGACAACGGCTAAAATAGTAATTTTCCCAAAAAAAAAAAAAATAAATAAATAAATTCTTATATAAATATTTGAATTAAAACCTGTGAGTAATATAAATAAAAAAAAAAACAGAATTTGATTATCTTTATTATCTCTGGAGATATTCAAGGGATATATCTCTGTGGGACAGCCTGTATAATGCCTATTTAATTTTTTTACCATGTAGCATATATATTGTTGACAAAAAGGATCACTATCAACTGAACTCCGCTCAGAATCGGTTTTTTTCCTTAGCAATGTTTTGTTTTTGCTTATATAAGTAAATTAATTTATCTATAACAATGACTACACCCGTCTCCATTATCCTAGGAAACTTTTTTTTGTACTTATTATGGTTAATAAATGTTAACATAATTTTTTTTTTTTAGAAAATGGTATGTCATAGCCAACATACATATGTGTTTACATTAGTTGCTCTTCAAGTTTTAGCTAAAGAATCAAATGGAGGAGTAAATATGAAGAGGTTTTCTCAAGAAATAACTCGTTGTGCCCAAGAAAGGTAATATGACCGAAATATTCAAATATTAAGAACTGTATTCAATTTATATTATAATTTACTAGAAATGATGTTACTCCTATTACTATGGCATTAAATGGTGCTGCACCATATGACCAGCCATGTGCAGCATTAAGTTCCATGTTATCTCGGAATGCTTTAAATCCTGCTGATATCAATGTATTACACAAACATTATTCATCATCTGATTCTCCTCCTGTTACATTACTCCGGGTACCTCAATTTCTCGGTAAATTTACTCACTTGTATATTTATATTAAACATTTTGTAAATTTTACTTAATTTATATTATTTAATTTTGCTTATAGAATTATTAGTACAGGCTTTATTTAAACCTGGAATGAAACTAAATCCAGAATACAAGCCTAAGTATATTTATCTTTATGCTTACTCTGCTAGTGTTTATGAAGTCACATCTGGCAAAAAAAGGAAAATCATAAATAAAGAAGATTTAAAATCTACTATGCAAGCAGTTGATAGAGTTCATAATATATGCAATATGAATAAAAGTTCAACAGAGTTAATTGCTGAAGTTGGAACAATTTATCAATGCATCAGGTAATTCATATTTTAATGCTTGGATTGAATTATCAATTAGTAGTACCCAAGTATTGATAACTTAACAAATCTAGATCTAAAATCTTGTTATATTTAATTTAAATAGGTACTATGTAAAATTTTTATTTTAAAAATATCAAAAAGTCCGGCAGGACATATTTCAAAAATTTAAAGTATAGAATTATATTACATTGGAGGATTTCACTGGTCATCTATATTATATTATTATACGATTGTAATTGCCTATAATTTTTGTACAAACTGGAATTATATCAATATAAATTTCAATATAGGTATCCTGCTGTTGCTGTTGGTTTAATATGTTGGGTCGAGAGTACAGTTACAGAACCAAGTTTCTTTAAGTTGTGTACTGAACATACTCCTACACATTTAGCACTTTTAGATGAAGTTGTTACATGCCATCCACAACTACATAATATCATATTAAAATTATTTGTTTCTCTTTTTGAATCCAAACAAGATGAACTGGAAATTTTAGTTCAGGTGAGTTTATAAATAAACTATTTCCTTCCTACCTATTGTTTTACAATAGATTATATTTATTTCCATCAAAAAGTGGTGTGTTTTAATTAAAAAAATAAAATGGAATGAAGAAGGATTAATATTTATTCATTATAATTTCTTTCATGCTTTCTTTGTTAATTTTTTTTTAGTTAGAGATGAAAAAGATGCTGCTCGATCGCATGGTGAACTTGTTATGTTGTGGCTGTGTTGTTCCCGTTATAAAATACATTGAACAGTGTTGGCAACGTGCAGATACTGATATTTCTTTAATACGTTATTTTGTTACTGAAGTAAACAATACATTATAATAATACTAGTTTTTTTTCAGGATTTTAATATTTAATGTATTTTTATAGGCCCTAGAAGCAGTCTCTCCTCCTTATTCATTAGAATTTGTTGATTTATTTTTACCAATTGTCGAAAATGAAGAAATTACTGGTACAATGAGATGTGATGGAGATAATGATCCAGTTTCAGAATTTATTGGTCAGTATTTATTTTAAAAATATTTTAGTTGATTATACAGTGTTCAATTCTTGATAAGATACTTTTAATCTTATAAATGTATTAACTTTTTTTTTCAGAACATTTATGAAACAAGCAGCTCTAAAATCATTATTATTTTGTCACCCAGATTATTTAAGATGAAATTAAAAGTAAGTAGTTAGAGCTGCTTGGTTTCTAAAATTTTCTCAAAAATGTTAATATTTCTGAGATAATGAGTGTTTTAAGAAGGATTGATCATCTTGAATTTTGAGTAGAGTTTTAAATTTTTGTTCAATATATTTTAAGTAATTAACTCATGCTTTAAATTGCATGTTTTAATTTTATAAATTGGTAAATAATCATCATTATGAAAGCATTTAAATATTTCTAAAAAGAAATGTATTTGATTTATTCTTACTTAAATGCACCAAAATTATCAGTAAATATGTAAAATTCTGAATTCGTAACTCTGCTTAGAATCAATTGATTACAAGGATTTATCATTGCCTTCAAATTAGCATTTGTCTAACAATTTTATTTTTATTTTTCAGTACATTGCAAAGGAATGTCAATGTAAAGTTCTAATTAAAATTTATATTTGATGTAAAATTATAAGTCTTAAATATATGAATAAATACAATATAGTTTAATATTTTATCATTTGTGTTAATTGTCTGATTGCATCCTAAATTGTAACATGGTAATTCTGTATTAGTTGCATAGTCTGATGGGGTTCAAATTAATGTGCTTTTAATGTTAATAACAAAAATATATGTTATAGCCAAAAGAGAGTAAAAGCTTTCAAAAAGATAAGATTCAAAAGTTATTATTATGTGCATCAATAATTTATCACATTTCCATATCTGGGCTCTAGTTAAATGATTTGTAATAAAACAAAATATATATTTTTTTTTATTTAACTAATTACCAATATTCGCCAATGAGTAAAAGATGTATCTACTTTTCATGTGAAATTATTGAATGGAACATAATATTGTTTATAATGTACATGATGTACAATTTTAGTACTACTATTGTGTACCACTCTGCCCTGAACTCTACAAATCGACAAGAGGGCTCTGTCCATATTACTAAAGTTAAGGCTTTTGATCATAGAAAGGGTAGGTGCTTATAAATAAGTTTAATCACAATTGATAAGTAAAGATTTTTAAATATATTCAATATTAAATTATATAATATATAAAAGATAATTATTTAAATTAATACAATTAGATATCACTTAAGTTACTGTTACCAATAAATGTATGTCTAATTATATTATTTGGTATATTTACAATTTGTTTAAATAAATATCATGAATCCTCAGCATGTTTGACTCTTGACAGTGCTACATAAGACTGCTTAGTTTTATCATCGTACCACCCAATCGGACCAATTTCACAATCAGCGCATATAAGATATTTAAGTCCAGATTCAATAGGCTTTGAGAATCCAATATTATCAAACATGTACATATCTGGTACCATCCAGTAATCTGATAACAATTCACATTCAATAGACTCGCAATTTTTTTTTTGAGACATATGTGGAAGATTGAACTACAAAATAAATTATTAATTAACAATAAATAATTAGAAAATATGATGAACAATTACCTCAATATTCATATGTTTTCCTAATGTAGATGGCAAAATTTTAGAAGGGCATTTAGTGCAATACACAGAGTGCTTGTTTTTTTCTTCGGCAATCAAATGGTCATAGATATTATTTTTACAATTGTCTATTTTCTCTTCATTCATTTTAATGAATAAGTTATTAATTAAAGTAAACAAACAAAATTAGTAAATAAGTTACAAATTAAAAAATAAGCATTCAAAACTTTTCAAAGTTGAATGTTTAAAATGATTTACTTTTTACTTTTTGAGTTAACCGAAATCTGATTTATTTATTAAGCAGGTTGCGGCTCTAATATAATTCATAGATTATTATGTACTTGTCTAGTATCAATGAAATTATTCAATGCTTTATCACAGATTATAACACAATTTAAAGAGTTTTGATAATGACAATGATAAAAAGTACAGTGTTGTAACCTTAGATCTAACGTTTCTAACTTAAATTACGCTAACAATTTAAACTTTTTACAAAACCAATGATACCTTTAGATGATAATGATAGGAAATTAGTAAAGGTGAATTATTATGATTAAATATTTAGCAGTAATAATATCAATATTATATTTTATTAGTTCAATAATAATTAATAGAGATCAAAGGACAAAGTTTCAAGTTGTACGATCATTTTAGCAGCTTAGATATTAATAATAAAATGTACTAAATCTTATTGGTTTTAATTATTTATTCATAATAATTAGAGTTCTAGAGTCAAGGGCATGTATTTTACAAATATATTTTATAATATTTTAAATTTAATTTGTTTTCATTACCTATAAATATTATTTTTTTTAAAAATGGGTAACCGATCATCATTGCTTCTACGTAAAGAAGAAATTGCTCAAATTAGAAGTGAAACTGGATGTAAGTAATTGAGATGAGTTTATTATATTTTATATGCTTTGCATTTGTGTGGTTTTTAAAAATAATCTGTTTTTCAATGTGAAATAATAATTTATGGTATCATTATTTTAAGTATATATCTAGTTTACTGGTCACTATTTTTTTTGACAATTTTAAACCAGTTAACCAGTTAAACAGTTAAAAGTTAAAATTAAAAAATGTTCTAAAAATAAGTTAGTTTTCATATCAGTTTAACAAACTTATTTACACCCTCAGATTTGTTACCCAGGGGTTAAAATTCCACCTAAAGTAACACCAAATTTTATCCACCTTATAATTTTAACTTCTTAAACATTTTGAAAATTTTTATTTTTTTTATACATCAACTGTCATTAATTATTGTCAGATATTATTATACTTTTCACTTGAATCCATTTTCTTAAATAGAATTGTATCCTTCCTAATTGATTAATTTCATTCTCAAGTCTATTCTATTCAGACATCTTATTTGTGTCAGTGACTAATGTGCAGTTATTGTTTTTTCAGTTATTTTATATATTTCATTTTTAGTAGATTTTGTTGATAGTTATTTAATCAGTTTATTGATTGCATAATTACCTAAATTACTAAAAAATGTCTATAATTAACTTGTTTAATAGGTATAAGTGTAAAATGCTTTAAAATAATATTTTTTGAAAAATGTATTTATTTGATTTTATTAATCCTGATTTGATTTATTTTAATGTTCAATATCTGTTTATACAAAATTTGTTTCTTACATTTAATAACCAGTCAATACTAGTATTATTTAATTTTTTCCCCTATGTTGTAATATAAAATCATAGTTGTCCTTTAGTACATACAATATTAAAAACTTAATTAACTTTCACCTGTTACTGTTTGACGAATATTTAGAATAATATTGTAAAATTAAATTATAATTTATTTGTGCAAACTATATTTTACAGTCACTGCAAACCAAATAGAACGTCTGTATAGTAGGTTTACTAGCTTGGACCGAGGCGATTTGGGTACACTCAGTAGAGAAGACTTACTTCGTATACCAGAGTTGGCCATAAATCCTTTGGGAGAAAGAATAGTCGATTTGTTTCATACAGACTCTGGGAATAATAGTGGTCGTATTAATTTCTTGCAGTTTATGAGAGTGCTAGCAAAATTTAGACCAATTCGACCTAGTAAAGAGATCAAACAAAACAATAGGATGGAAAAAGTAAAATGTAATTAACATTTATTTATAATGAACTATTATTTTTTAAATATATTATTTAATAATTATATAATTTTAGTTGCTTTTGATATGTATGATGTTGATAACGATGGTTTGATATCCAAGGATGAGCTTTTGGTTATTTTACACATGATGGTTGGTGCCAATATCAGGTATGTATAACATAATATAGATATGTAATATTTTCTCTTTCTGATTGTACAATTCAATTTTAGCGAAGAACAGTTATCTATAATTGCTGACAAAACCATTTCCGAGGCAGATGTAGATGAAGATGGTTTAATTTCATTTGAAGAATTCAGCAAAACATTTGAAAAGTCTGATATCGAACACAAAATGTCTATCAGATTTTTAAACTAATTAAATTTGTTTATTTTTATAAATTATTATTATACTGGACAGTAGTCAGGGAATTTAATATTTTATCCATATATGATTCTAATTATTTTGTATTGTTTTATTACTAATAGAATAAATTTATATAAAAAGTAGTTGAATATAATATAATAATACACATATAGTTCATATATGTTTATAGTATGTATAAATAGAAGTACACATACATTTTATAACTTTTAAAAATTCAATTTTTAATTAAAAATGTTGGCTTTATCATTGTACAAATGCTAACAGTGAATATGTGATTGATCTTAGTTTAAAAATATTTTAATTCATCATCTAATTTAGAGTGATATATATAACAGAATTTTAAATAGCAATGAATTTATATATTTTAATATTTTAAGCATTCGACGAAACAGCCAACTTCTTCAAATGTTCCATAAATAGTTGCAAGCTTACATCATCTGTCAAAACTGGAGCGCCTCCATCCTAAAATGTCATATAAGTGATGATAACTATCAATTAATCCTTATTTATTTAAATATAAAATAATAATTTTAATACTTACGCCACCGTAAGCATACATATTATTATGTGTTTGAGACGGATTTACTTTACACAACAAAAATCTAGCCTAAAAATAAAAAATGTACAAATTATTTTTAATATATATATATATATATATAAAATACAATTATAACTTATAGTAAACTAACCTGGCTGCCACCTTGTTCAGTGTCAATATACCGTGGCATTGGAAAACGAGTTTTAAGAATTTCTTGAGCATCATCAACAGGTGCTTGAAGCAGCTGTTTGAAATTACTATACTCCGGTCTGTTCTGATAATCCATTGCTCTCCATTGAGCAATAGTCTAAAATATATTATGTATCAATTAATGTCATTATATAAGATATTTTATATTATAATTAACTAATAATAATAAAATTAACTGACTTCTCCATGGAATATTAAAATATGGAAAAATGTATCCATCAATAAAATTTTATCTGGTTGAATACTACTGGTATCCAAAAGTACAGGTTCTGGCCTTCCATTGAAACTATAGCTATATAGAATAGGCTGTATCATGATTAAACTTTGTGTGACATCTTCCCGCATTAACATGTGTCTAGAAATGAAATATATATATATATTTTTATTTTTTTAAATTTTGATTTGTGTATAATCAATTTTCACCTGTAATATGAAGTTTCATCAGGACTATTATTAAAAACTTGTAAAAATTGGGACCGTCTTAAGTGATACATAAACTGAGGATACAAACTGAAGTTTTCTAGCAATCGAAAACTTTGTGGATTATCCTTTTGATAATCACCAAACTTCTGACACTAAATTTAAACAATTAATGAATTTTTATTAAAAAATATAAATATATTTATACATTACCAAGCGTATAAGAGTACGATCAGCCCATCGCATAACATCTGGACTATCTTCAGTTTCTGCACGATTCACAACCATACGAGCCATTAAAACTGCAGATGCTTCTTGATCAAAGCTAGCATTTACATGCATCATATTCTGAACAGGATCTGCCCAACTAAAGAATAAAATCCACAAAAACAAAAATGTATTAAAATTACATACAAAAACAAAATAAAATATTACATACTTTCTTGCTAATGTTGTGACTCGAATACGCTTATAGCCACTGGAATGTTGATATTGTGTAATAAACTGTATACAGCCACGTCCTCCTTGTGGTATTGGTGATCCGTGCTAAAAATTAATACAATTGTAACTAATGAAACATTGACTGATCCATCTACAATAATTTTCTTAATAATCAAATTCTACTAAGTTCTTAAATATTATTTTATATAGTTTATAGAAAGTGTATAATAAAAAGAAACTCAATTCTGAAATTAACCGGTATAAAATGACTAAGAAATATATTTTATCAACTATTTTTAATTTATTTACTTGGTTAACAATTTCAAAGAAAAATGCACATGTCGTATTGGGCATGATGCTGCACATTTTCCATTGACAAGTGCCACCTAATCCTAAATCACAATCGGAAACACACGGGTTCTTGATATTTAATGAAACACATGGACCAATAGCTCCCATTACTAAATAAAAATAAATTTTTAAATTATGAATTTCAAAACTCAATTTAATAACATAATATACAATGCAACTAATTACTTTTTATTTCCCTGGAAGTTTTTATTTCTAAATTAGCGTTGAAAGCCATTTTTAAATTATTTTCATGATCACGTGCTAGTACCCTTTGGAATGTTTGTTTAAAAAGAGATGAATTGAAAGAATCACCCATCACCATATGACCTCTGAAAATTAAAAAATTAACTCAAATTCTAGATTATAATTCTTTAAGCAAATAACAAACCCTGTTGAATTACAACATTGCTTCATTTCCATTAAACCAGTTTGATCCAATGCACAAGCGTAAATATCAATTGTATGTCCATTTGTAGCAGCACGGACTGCTAAGTTATCATAATGTTTAGTGGCTTTTTTCATGTAAGGAGCATTATCTTTCATAATTTGATCATGAGAACGAATTGTATCAGATAACTTTTCATTGACAACATGACCAGGACCTTGGGAACACGCTCCACCGACAAATAACATAATACGAGCACCAGAATACGGATAAGAGGACTGTAAAGGAAATATAATTTTGAATTTGAAGAAAATGGTTATTTGTTGTTTGTCTACTACCTCTAGTAAGCTAACAGCTATTGATAATGCCATTCCTGTGCTTCTTAATGGTCTCATACCTTGAGAAACAGGCCATGGATCTTTTAAAAGTTCGTTTAATAAATCTGACATGTTCACATCACAATTTTGAACTGGTTGTATAAATCTATACATATATTAGAAAAACCTCAGTCAATACACATGGAAACCACCAAAATAATGTAACTAAAAAATACCAACCTATTAACAGATGTATTTATTTGTTGTTGTTGTTGCTGTTGCGGTGCATTCAATTGTGAATTTGAATTAGCATATTTACCAATTCCTAAAATATCTTGAATTTGTTTAGGTGGTAAATCTTTGGTACCTCTAAATACGTACGATTTTGAAATACCTTCACAACCTAATTCATGTACCTAAAAACAAGTATATGTTTATTACTTTTAAACAAAATAAAAATATAATGTATATCTATTTTTACCTGAACAATATTTCCAAATGTGATTAATCCAAGAAGTGCATTGGGTGGTAGTAAACTAAGAGACATTTGTAAAGAATCTTTGAGTGCCCCAAGTTCTTCATCATCCATACACGTATCCACAACAAATAAAAATATGGGTGGCATAGTTTTAGCTCTCTAAATTAAGTAGGTATAATACAAATGTATATATCATTGAAACTATTATTATAATCATTTTTACCAATCTTACCGTTATAGAGTATTCAATGGTAGAAAAAGCTGGAATAAGTTCAGCTGGTTGATGTTGTTCTGAAATTGCTCCATATTGAGGAGGAAACTAAAACAAAGACCAATTTATAAAAAGTACCAATTAAGACAAAAGTTATAACTTACTGAATTACATTGAAAACAAAAATTGCATATCCACATTTTACCTCTATAGTCCACCTGACATAGAGGATTTAAAATTGCACGACAAGTATTTCGAGTGCAAAGTACAGGATCATATTGTATTGGAGGTAAATCTAATCATATATGAAAAATATCAATAACTAAATCACTATCTTTTATATAATAAATTCTAAACTAACCAAGCCTTTCTTTTAATGGCTGATATAAACAACCAACTGGCACAACCAAACGAGTAGCTTCTAATCTACTGGCCGGCCATACATTCCATGACAAACGGACACCATCACGCTCTTCATTTTGCTCAATAAATTCCTCATACGTCGACATGTTTTCTGAAATATAATGATTTATAAAAAATGTAATGTTTTAATAATTAGACAAGTATACAATATTTGTTAGTAATAAATAATAATTTAGAAGTGTACACATTAATTACTATCTTTATTTAAACAGACACATTTGCTTAAATTAAATGGAACAAATACGAGTCTTTAATGATTCTTAAATGGTATAAACTGTATACACTTTTAAAGGGGTAGATTTAAACTTACTTTAAAGACACGTCGATTGTACGAAATGGTAACTATTTACTCTCAAAGTTTCATATACTAAATGTATTATTATTGAGGAACTTTTTTCGAAATGGAAGAACACGTCACTGGTAAATGGTAAGCTACGATAAGAGACCACAGTATAACATAGAACTACAGCTGGTATTTAAAATGCATACAAAAATGATAGTAATAACCTTATCAACCACGAATAAAATAATCTTTAAAAAGCAAGGTGCTAAGACCGTGGTGCCAATTTTTATAATTTCGGTGGTTATTACATTGCGTTATAGAAATAAATAATAATTATTTCTATCATGGTGGTTAGAAAGTAAAAGGAGCACTAAGCGATACTTTTTTCAAAATTGGGATTAAAATTTTAACTTGTATTAAATTTGTATGATATTAAGAGCACTTAAAAACTTCAGAAACAAAAATGTTTGTACATAAACAAATCATATTATTTTCTACTGAAGAGAACAAGTTGTATTATGTAGGTAGTTAAATGTTTTTAATAATAAATTATAACTAAATAATAAAGATATGTCTTTAAAAATATGTATAATATAGAATTCTTAATTTACTTCCCTGAACTACCAAAACTCGGTACATTGTATTCATAATTATGATTATCATAGGTACAAGAAATCTTTCAAAATTAGTGGTAATTGGAGTTTGAAGGTTACGGCGGTTACGCACTTAAATTTATTCCTTCTAACCATCGTTGTATTATTCTATAAACCACGAATATATATACTATAAATGTACCTTGCACCACAGAGATGGTTATCCGACGATCTATATTGGACAACAATTTTGAGCGACACCCTTAGACCTAATCCAATACCTACTTTATAGAGTACCACCTAAACTCTATTATTTGGACATGGCTGATTACTGTCAAAAACGTACCTTTCCTTTTTCCGCCAATTTACCTTTCCACCCAATGAAAAAATTTAGTCTGATATTTGAATATTAATGGACAATTGTATACATTAGTATTATTAATTGGACAAAAAAATAATAAAATTTTTCCTATTTATGTATGATACAAACTGTGTTTATTATATATTGAATACAAGGTAAAAGATAGTTGTTGTTACTCATAAAGATTGTCTTACCACAATTTGCATAAAAAATATCAAAAATAAACTTTTTTTATTATTGTACAAGGTTAAACTTACTTTTATTATTATTTTTCCGTCATAAAAATATCTATATCGTAATAATATCTTATAATTATTGTAAGTAAGAATAAACAATATGACATTTATATTTTTATACTTTTAATTTTATTTTATTTAATCTATATACAACAATTTTTAATATTTTTTGTGAACATTTTGAAATTGTATAATACAATAATAATAATTTATAATACAGTCGTCCATTAATATTGAAATATTAAACTAAATTTTTTCATTTGGCGGAGAAGGGAAAGTTACGATTTTGACGAAAACGATTAACTTCCTATTACTCTATGCCTTACACCACACCTTATACTAATAAACTGGCCTTTTGTACACGCATAGCGGTCAGAGATGAAAATCTCTACTCTTATGTACTCTTATTACTGTTAGTAATAATATTTTTAATTATTAGATTCGAGATACCAATTATAAGTTCAAAATTCGTTAATTATTTTCTGGTTTTTCAGTCATGAATACATCTAAAAAAACAATCACTAATTTCAATTAGATAAAGAAATGGTAAACCAAATATATTATGTACCAGGCACTTTTCTAATTCATTATTTGCAATATTAAATTTTTAGGCTAAATCTAAGATTTGAATTTTACATTACCAAGATTTCTAATTTTGAATAAATAAATATAATACAATATGTAATGTTTATTAGATTTGTATTAAATACATTATTTCATTTATTTTTGACTGCAATATGCACACATCAATCGACGCACAGCACACCTGTATAAAATAAGTATGGTTGACGATTGGAGGATCGAGAAATACAATGCAACTCGGTGCGCAGCAACTACTACTGCGAAAGTGCGAACGGATTTTCAAAATAAACGTTATCTAAGTTTAATTTTGAGGTTTTTCCATTTGTATTCTGATTTTACTAACCGGCATAGTGAATTCTTTCTTCTTAAAATTAACACGTTTTTTTTTCTTTAATAATAAATTCAGAATTAGAAAATCTTTTGAAAAAAATTCTCCCTTTATACAAATGAGGCAAAACATTTCACATCATAGTCAATTCTTGTTAATTATTAATTTGTGCACCGCCTATTTTTAACACCGCACAAGGCACGAATGCCACCGATTCCCCGCATTATAACAAAACAAAAAGTTCTAGGATAATGGGGACGGGTGCAGCCACTGTTGTAAGTGGGAAATTGAGAAGGTAGAATACAACAGGAAATTTAATGTATATCTGTAATCAATGATAAACACTTGCTAACAAAAAAACGATTCCGAATGAAGTTTAGTTGATAGTGATTTTTTGTCGACAATAAATATGTCATTTTGTAGTAAAATAATTAGATAGGCATTATATATTTTCTTAAATAATATTTGTTTAATATTGATCCGATTTTTCTATGTTGTTTCACATTTGCTGGGAAAACCGAAAAATGACCTCCCTAAAGAACATTCTTAGTCAGATTTCTTTACAGAAAAAGTGCTATCATTGTAAATTGGAGCGTAATTGTTGGCAGAAAAGTGGTTCATAAAAGAAGGCAAAAAGGGCGTAATATGTTTTTAACTAATACTTAAATTTCGTACATTTTCCCGTGTTTTTGATTTTTCAAATTTGACGAGAAAACTCTTGAGAAAATTAAAAAACGACCTCCTAAAAGTACTTTTCCAGTGCGATTTTCTTTCAGAAAAGGTGTTAGACTTTAAAATCGGAGTAAGATCTCTGGTAGAAGTTGTCCACAGAAAATAAAAAAAATGAACATCTTTGTAAATCAATAGGTTTCTTCGTTCCACTCAGAATCAAAAATCGATTAAATTATTAAACATTCTATTGAATGTTATTATAGACTTTCTCTCTTTATTCCTTATTTAGATTCAATAATATCATTTGTTTCACTAAGATTTTCAAGTGCAAATAAAACAGCATTTTCAACATGTCCACTACCTCTGATAAATATTAAAAAGTACATAATTAAGTTTAAAAAAAGAAAAAAATTAAATTTTTTAGTGAACAAATAGTTGTACAATTTATTATATCTCTGAATATTATCATGCTATGTTTGAAATACTTAAAAAAATGTTGTCACTGCCTTCAACTATGTGTACAATAGAAAGATCGTTCAGTAAATTAAGAAGAGTAAAAACGTGGATTCGATTGAATGCAGGTGAAGATTGTTTAAATGGTTTATGTATGATGAGTATTCATCGTAAAAAGGTAAACTTATACGAGTATAGTTTCAATCAGGAAACTAGTCATTAATATGTTTAGAATGAAACAAAGAAGTTTTCAATTTTTATTTACTGATACCTTTTGATTTACTTTACAATAAATTTACATTAGTACTAAATAAATTTATAATTATACACTATAGTTTTTAAATTTGAATAATTAATAACTTATAAATATTAAACCTTTATTTAGTATTTAGCATTTTTTTTCGCTCTCTCTCACTGAAATTTCACTTATGTGCGATTATTATTTATGTGATATGTATATGATATAAGGTATTATACATTTATGCTAGATTAGTACTTCTCGGTGCGAGCCCAACTGTATAACAACATTATGTTATTAATAATAATAATTTATTATACATAGACAGGGAACAGTTTGCCAGCTACCTCCAACATGAATGAACATTAACAGCTATCCTACAGGTAGTCTATAATTAGGATAGAATATATAATATTAGTCGTAAACCAAATAAGTCATTTTAATTCTTATTGATAAATACTTCCTACCCAATGCTCACTCAGCTACGGGAAACTTTTTCACAAGACTCAGAAAATCCTCTCTGAATAACTTATATCATAACATTGGTCCCTCTGATCATATAAAATACATACATTCACCAATACATTCCATCCAAACAAAATTTTGCATTCAAATATTAATAGGATAACTGCATACATGTAATCATTTGCTTATCAATTGAATAATGCCATAAATAAACTAACTTAGAATAAGGAGTTGGATAGGGTTGGTCATAGTCGTCTTATTTGTATAATAGGTTATATGCATCCAAGACAACATAAAATACAAACAATATAATTTAAAAATTTTATAATGGTGTAATAAACAGATTTCAGTTTGATTTTATTATCTGTATTTTAAATTAATTATAATTGTGTAGATTATTATTAAGTATAATACTGTAATATATCAAATATAGGTAAATGACTTATAATGGTATATGAATATACAATTTAATATAGTTGTTTTAAATTTTGATATTAAAATACTTTGATTCAGTATCCTTACAGCAGTGCTTCTCAACATTTTTTCTTATGGGACCCCCTAAATTTGATGTAAAATTGTCAAGGCCTCTTTAATCAAAATCATTAATTATTTTTTCTTAATTATATACTAAATTAATGTTTTTTGATATACTTTTGAAAATCTTTATGATAGTATTAAACTATAAATATCTATAAATACAAATTGGTAATAAATATAAAATTAAATAAAAATATTCAGTACAAATGTTGATAATTAATAATGTGACGGGTGTCTACTTTTGCATAATATTTATGTCTGGTTAGTTAGCTTCTAAAGAATTGTGAAAGGCATAAAGTTTGTTTTTTATTATTTGTGGTTATGAAAATGGTGTTTCACAGAATTATGTCAATGCAAACTGAATTAATATAAGTAAATCCGCTTTTGAAATTAATGGATATTGTTGCTGTCGTTTTAATCAAAATTCAGTTCTGTCTCATTAAATTTTGTTTCAAGAGTCAAGTCTTCTCTAATTTCAAAAAATTGTTCTTTTTTTCAATAAATAGAAAATGTAATTTTTACCCAATTATATTTATTTAAACTGATCTTTATAACCGACTACATTTAATTTTGAGACAAAAATAATAAAATAGTTTAAATAAAATAAATATTTCTTGACCCTCAGTTGAGAATCACTGCCTTACAGGATCTTACCAGTCCTATAGCTAAATCGCTAAAATACTTTAATTGTTTTTACATTATGCACCTTTATTAATTATATAATTTTAATAAATTGTTTATTTATTACTTTTTTTTCATTTGTTTACAAAATAAAACCTCAGTCTGAATTATCCAGTCTAAACAATTTACTCTTAATTTTTTGTTGAGTTTTATCATCCAAAGTACAAAATTGGTTAGTTCTGTATGACACAAATATACAAATAGTAAATGCTATTATTTAAATATTTCAAAAATCGACTTACAAAAATTGTCTTATGGTTTAATTATTTTATAATTTTAAATAACACACATTTGACTAATATTGACTCATAAAAACTTAAAGAAATATACAGATGGTTTTTAAATAATAATTAAAAAATAGAAAATACACATAAATACACAGACAATATTTAGTATTTACAAAATATAATTTTCTTAAAACATGGGCCCTGAAAACCTATTAAAAATTAAACAAAGCACGCAAATCATATTAACCATAAAAAATATATTTTAATCAATCAAAAAAATTCAAACCAATTAATTTTATAAATAATAATCAATAAAATTAGTGAATATAAGTACAGCATAAATAGAGTACAAATAAAAAATTGGTATTAACAAGACTATAATGCACTGAATTTATTGAAAGGAAAGTTGTTGTTGAGGTAACAGTAACCACCTACAACTGCTAATCCAGCAACAAGTCCACTGATTATTATTAATGAATTCTTAAACAAAACACAAATTTAAATATAACTACTATGCACTTCACTTTTCCTTATACACAATTTTTATAATGAAGTAAAATAATAAAATGTATTGAATTTTTGTTTTAAAAATATTTAAATACATTTAAACAATATTTACCAATTTGTTTGTGTCCTTTGCTGGTTTTCCACTAGCATCATTTTGTCCCAACATTTTTTTATACAATTCTCTTTCTTGTGCTCTTTCTTTCACTAATGCTGCTTCAACACTACTTAGTAGATTCTGAACAGTTTTATCATTAGGATTTATTTTCAATGCTTTTTGTAACTCACGTGCTGCAGCTGCATTTTGTCCTTTTAGAGCTAATACTTTACCCTTACGCATAATTCCTTTTTCGTTATTAGGTTCAACATTTAATACATTTTCAAGAGTTTCTAATGCTAAACCTAAATTATTCATAGAAATGTGTACAGCTGCCATATTATTTAACGTTTTGATACGTTCTCTTAGAATATTACTTTCATCTGTATCAGAAACTATCTGTAAATAAAAAAAATAGAGTAAAATTGTTTGACTAATTCATTATATTTTTCCAAATAAATATTTAAGAAATATATTCTAAAAAATTCTAAGATTTATTAATGTTTGCTAATGCCATAAAATAACAAAATGGTAGTGGTTCAATTTAGATAATGTGAATTTAATTACCTAAATAAATGTTAAAAATATAATAATAAATAATGTTTTTGACTTATATAGTCTTAATATATAAAATAGTTTGCTATCCAAAATTGAATACAAATATGATGGATAATTATTGAATTAATTTCAGTAAAATAATCCCTGGGCGTGCGGAGAAGAAATGTTTAGTATTTTATTTGAAAGATGTAAAAGATATAAAAAGTAGAACTACGGAAGGTAATAATTAATAACTGAGAATGTATAAAGACCAACATACTTTTTATGATAGGTGGGCCACTGTTGTAGATGGAAGTTGGAAAAGTAGGATATAGAGGGGAATTCAATGTATATCTGTATCAAATGATTAATCATTGCTAACGAAAAACGATTCTGAGCAGAGTTCAATTATATAAGGTATAAAAGGCCATAATATTTAAAATTTTTGTCAAAATTTGATATTAAAATTTTTACACAAAAAGAGTATAAATCTAGTTTAGCAACTTCTTGACATTTTGCATTTTTTTTGTCTGAGCAAGTGACCTTAAAGGGACTTTAGATACACACAAAATGTATTTTATGTGGTTTTGCTAACAAATTAAAAGAAATTTTGAATTTTTTTTTTTTACATATTAAAGCAATAAATAAATGTAAAATATTGGAAAAAAATTATCCATTATTGGTATTTTGAACTTATGATCTCTAGGATGACAACAGGTACAGATTAGCATTAGACTATGATCGATATACTAAATAACTTTGCAATATTGAGAGTTATTTAATATAACGTAATATCCAAACTTCAAAACTAATGATTTTCAAAAAAAATTTTAACACCATCATTTTTAACACGTTTTAATACATATGTTTCAGAAAATAATACTACATTAAACTCAATTTTTTCATGTTGACTACTAAGTTCAACTTATAATAAACTAATCTCCTATTCAGTTTTCAAAATATTCCTGTTTGTTCTAATAATTTTATCCACAGAGTACTTTCTGAATAAAAATTGCATACAAAACTCCAAATTAAAATGTCTATAAATGTCTATAAATGGCTCAAATGTTTTAAAAATTTTACCATTTTTAGAAGAGGCAAATATGTTTTTTAACCAAATTTCAAATCTCCACTAATATTATTATTTATAAATACAACAAAAAATCAAATTGAAAATAATAAACGAATTATTATCATATATTTTCTTGTTTTCTCTGTTTTTTTATTCACAATTATTATTAATAACTGCTTGAAAAAACAAAAATATGACCTTTTAAAGTACTAACTAAATTTAATTATACAAATTTACTTTTGAAAAAGGTGCTACACTTGAAAACTGAATCAACATTTCTGGTACAAATTTTGTACCCAATATAAAAAATAAATAAATAAACATTGTAAAACCAATACATTCTTTGCTTCGCTCAAAATTTGAAATAGGAAAATTCAGTAAAACTGAGTGGTTCCCAGCTTATCAAGTTAATAATTGCTTTGCAAGCTCATCATAATAATTTAACTCGAAAAACCTTTGATTTGCTGTGAAAAACTACATATTGGTCACAGGAATAAATTGAAAATGTCTACTTAAAAAAATAACAAAAAAAATGTATCAAATCATGATAACTTTTACTTTGAGACAACAAAATGCATTTAAACGGTAAGTGGATTAATATTTTTGATAGTTATTGCAACCCAATATAGTTGATACTTATTAGTGTAGGAGTTTTAAACGTAAGTAACTATAATTATGTAAAACATTATCATACTTTTTCTCCGGGTCCACCAAAATATTGAAGAGCTTTACGATACAAATGCAAAGCCATAGAGTATTCATTGCGAGCATACCACCAATTTCCTTTATCCTTTTTTTTTTGTCTAAAATATAATTAATAATTTAATTTAAATAACAAAGAATTAATACAACTAAGTGTCATTATAAATTGTTTAAAGTAATCTACTTGTACTTGGTTTAAAGAATATCAAATGATTAATTATTGTTATTATTATTATTTACTGATGCAGGTCTCGTATTTCCAAAAACTATTAATTAAAATCTAGTATAAATTTATAAAATTTAAATTAGATAAAAATACTTGCAAATTCAAGATAAGAACAAAATCTAACCCAAAAAGTTATGAAAACTAAAAAAAACTTACTGAACTTATACCTATTAAGAACTAATAGATTTACATATTATGACAAATATTATTTAAGTAATGGTTTTATAAATTAAAACATTTTTTAATTTGAAAGTAACAAGAATACAAATATACAAACCCAATTTTTAGTCTTTCAGTTGAAGTAAGTTCATCTGGAACTATTTCAGGTTTTATAGCTACTAGTTCCACAGTATAAACTAATTTAGCTCCACTTGGAACTTTAGGTATCAATCCTTTTTCACCATAACCAAACCTTGATGCTATTTGTAATTCAGCTATTTCCCCTTCATTCATTAGGCTTAAAGCTAAATGAACACCTTGTATAACCTAAAATTAATGAATTTTATTATTTATACATATTTATTAATCATTTCAAGTATAATACTTCACAGTCTCCAAGAGTAATTTCTAAATTTTCTTCTTCTTCAATGATATCATTGTTTTCTTGGAGACGGCCAACTAAATTTATCACAATTTGTTCTCCTTTTGTTGGACGTTCATCTAATGTACCAGGTTTGATAATTTTTTTCATTAAATCACCAGAACCTAAAATATCTTGATAAGATTGTTCTGGTTTATCTTCAATAACAGGTAAAGAATGTTGATCTTCTTTTATAAATTGAGGTGGATCATCTTCATGTACAAACTGAGAAATTTCATTGTTACTATTTTGTTCACTATCCACCAGATCAATATTCAAAGCTGTTGCAGGAGGTTCTGAAAAATTTCCTTGCTCACCATTTATAAAGTCAGAAATGTCAGTTGTTTCTTTTTCTGGAATGGTCATTTTCAATTTTGAACTTATTTCCATGGTTTTTTTCTCAAATTAATAAATACTTCTAATTTATAATTTTAAATAGTTAACTAAAAAAATTGTTGCTTTAACAATAGCTATTATTCAATAATAAAACATTAGAAATAATACAGTCAATAACTTATGAATTTACTACTTGGCTAAAATATTTGTTAAAATGAAAATTTTATATTAACAATTATTAATATGAATAAAACTAAAAGTTGATATTAATATGATTATTAATTAATAAATATAATACAATATTATATAATCTGTGTACATATTGAATTGATAATTGGTATTCTCATTTCTTGAAAAAACCTGATAACATAAAATTTCAATATCATTATCACGAAAGAAAATCATAACCTAAATTACAATATCTAGTTATCATATTATGGCGTGATCACAGATGGTGATGATATGACTGCATTGTCGGTCAGTGACTGTCGACTGACATTATTTTAAGAAGTCTAAGAAGATCCATAGATCTATCGATCTATGACTTATGAGAAGATCGTGGTGACTGAGCACCATGGTTAAGAAGATATTTTGGTTAGACATAAGTATTACAAGAACTTATTTCCAATGCTCTTTATTGTGTAACCAACACTTATATTATTCACTCTATTTTCCTGTTTATTGTCTTGTTTAATACTATTTATATCAATTTTAAATACATTAGAGAACTACTTTTATACTTTAATAACCTAGTTAAAGACAAACCACATAAACTTCAAGCAACTAGTTTGTGCTGTTAAGAAACTTCCACTAAGACAATTTTGTTCAAAATGTTTCCCGTTGAGGTATTAAAACTTAATGTGTTTAATAACCCAGAACTTATTGTAGTGAAACTATTAAATAAATAGTTCAACATTTCAGAAATTCAAGTCTATGAGGTGGAAAATTAAAAATTTGTTTTTTAAATAACCCAAAACTTTGTTGTAGTCAACAAATAAATAGTTGTATATGCTTTTAGATAATTTTGAAAATTCAAACTCGTTTAAGGTTGGAAAGTAAGTCAATAAGGAAAAGAAACTAGATGATTAACAAATTAAGAAGTTAACAATAAATAATTTTTGGTTTTTTATATGGGTATAAAACTGAATGTCATGTAGATAGCTAATTTTAAAAGAGCGAAGAACATACACCAATAAAATAAACAATGAATATCTCAATTGTTATTTAAGTAATTTTATTTATTGCAATATATTTGTATAGTTTAATTATTATATATTTAAAATCAAAAATAAAACAAATAATATGAAATAGTATTAACTTAAACAAAAAGAGACTATTATTATTTGTCAAAAAAATAGAAAATTAATTATTTTAATTAAAGATATTAATTAAATAAAAATGATATTAAAAGTATTGTTATATTTATACACTGATAAAAAAAAAAATATATATATTTATATTAAATTTCTAAAAAATAAACTAAATGCTAAAATAATTTCTAGGATAGTATAAATAATAATTTAAAAATATATACTCTTAATTTGTATAAATGTAAAAAGTAATATTTCTTAATAAAAAAAACCACAAGTTTATAATAAATATTTATTAATTTATTCAACTATTTAGTATATACCATTATTTGAATTTTAATATATAACTGTTTTGGCAAATTTACTTTATAATAGTTGATTTAATCAATTTATCAAATTTTGGCAACAAAATAACATTTAAATCTTTATTTAATATTATGATGTAAACAAATTTAAATGTTTACCATTGGTTATTGCCTTGTATGTTAATTCCTTTATATTTGGCATTTAATTTAATTAAAACACACATTTAAAAATATTGTATTAAACTAAATAGTAAATATAGCGACAGTTTAAACAGATTCAGTGGGACTTTGGAATTCACTCAATGCTTTAATTGGATTTTGAACTTTCTTTTGAGAGCCTTTTCGTACTTTGGCTCTAACTTCTTCTGGTTTTTCTGGCCTCACAAGTGGTTTCTTTTCAGGAGCTTTCATTTTCCACACAACCAACTAGGATAAAAATTTAACCAATTTCATACAAAAAATTGTGCCTGTTTTTGCTATGACAAAAATTACTTTTTGAAGTTCGACTCCTTGTCTAGGATACTTAGTACTAGCCACATACGAAGATTTAACAGTCAAAACAACAGCATTCATTAAATTTTTAGCAGCTTGAATTAGAGATGTGGCACTGTCCAGCTAAAAGATAGATAATATAAATGAAACATCAAAGCATTAAAAAAAAAATGAAAATAAAAATCATACTCCAGAAACAATAAGCTCGCCACTGATATTTTGTACATCAGCTTTAACTTTAGAAGTTATGTTTAATTGATGACAATATAAAGCAATTCTTTGTAAATATGCTAACAAATCTTTTTTAGTTGATGATTCTGGACATTGATCAGCAATTTGTCTAGTTAATTTATCTAACTTAGTACCAGCTTCTGAAATTTTTTTTGCAGCATTTATAACATCCATGGTAGTTTTTAGTGGACCTCGACCACTAAAATATGAGCAAAATTAATAATTTTAATATTAAATTTAATTAATTTAAAAAAAAAAAAAAAATGTATGGTTTATAAAGTTAAAGATAAATAACAAAAAGAAATTTATCAAGGGAACAATATAACAACCAAAATACTGTAGATATATAAAATAATTAAACATCCAACTTTCATATAAGATGACTTACATTATTAATATTCTATTTTCTATCTATATTCAGAACTTTCAAACTTTCTACAGATGTCCATTTCTTCTTTTTTTCACTTAATGATTCATACAAAATATTTTAATAATACTATGTAATATATGTTATATTAAATTTTATTTTAGTTTACATTCTTATTCTGATTAATTCTAAGTTTATTATTGTACATTGTTTAATGTTTAGCATAATACAATTTAATCACCTCTACTATTGACAATTGTCCGTTTTATTCATTTGAATAAATTACTATTATTATTATTATTGAAAAATAAGCAGTGCATAATTTTATTCAAAATTGTATAGTTTAAACAAAATATATTTTGTTGTAACCCAATTAATCATTTAATAAAATATTGCCTCAATTAGTGGTCAGATTTCTTTTAAAAATTGAGCATAGAGGTGTTTTATTTCGGGTCATAGTTTTGTTATAGAAATCAAAACCTACGCTTACCATAATTTTGGATATACCCCGGGCTGTATTAAGTTATTGGGGTCACTTGAAATGTATTGCCCTAAAAGCAGTATAATACCAAAACTACAAATAATAGCTTGTTATACTAATAATAATATTGGCTTAATTAATATTTTTTCAAAGTGAACTACTAAACTAAACTGAACTGATTAAAAATACAGAAATATTAACAATTGTATACCGTGTGAAATCAGTCATTTCCATCATAATCATACACATATGTTTGGCAAGAACAATTATATCATTTCCTGTATCATCCCATTTAGCGACTTCACGGTCAAACTTCAACTTTTCACTTCTAAAGAATTCAACTTGTTGAGCGATCTTCTGTTTATCTTCTTCGGTCATTTTTCTCATGGCTTCCTAAAAACGATCAATATTAAAATTAAACAAATTAAAAACTATAAAATATTTATAAAACAATAAAATAATATTAAATATAATGAATTCTAAATACGTACACGCGCAGTTGTAATTCCACTAATATCTGGGTATTCATCTAAAGGTTCTCCAGTATGAGCGCTTGCTATAAAATAATTTATAGTATTTAATTTTATTTATTTAAGAATAGTAAATGAAATATCAACATCAAGTATTCACATTAACTATGATTTAATTAAATTTAAACTTTACTTAAACTCACATCTACTACGAGTCTCAACTGTATAATGTTCATCAAACTCTATATCTTCAGGATCTAATTCTTCATCTGTCTGCAATATTTACTCAATTATTTATTTATAAAAATGTTTAATAAATGAATAAATTATAACAAAAATCATACTCTATTCATAAGAACAGCTCGACGTATCTCTCTTACACCATCATATACAAGTCTAGAAGCATCAATAAAATCATTTTCATCTACTTCTTTAGGAGGATTTGTTGACAAAGCATCTACAGCTAACTCGACACGTTGTGCAAAATTGGGCATAACTAAAACAAACAAAAATAATATATATAAATACTATTTTTATAATTAAATATAAAAACTAACAAATTTTCGAAACCCTTTTGATTTTAGATTGTATAGAAATATCAATATACAAAGCAAATACTGTTAAAAATTACAATCTTTCTAAACTATTTGTTCTAATAAAAATGACATAACTTAAAACAAAAACTAAATTAAATTGTCATATGGGCTTTGTTTATTGTATTATTATTATTGGTGTGTTCATAGTAAATTTGGTTGTTTTTAAATAAATGTTGCCTTTACCTTGATCACGTAATACTTTAATCGCTTCTAAAACACGTTCTGTGTAAATACCCGGTTCATAGTTATCCATTTCTGCAGCCACTACATTACAAACTCTAGCTGACCGACCCCTTATTGCTCCAGCAGTTCTGTCTAATGGATCAGCCGATCCTTCTTGAAGTGCGAGGACACATTTATTTACATCTTCCAAAATATGACTCTCTAATATTTAATAATAGTTACATTCTTATACATAATTATAATAAATAAATATTTAAAAAATTATCAATACCAGATACAGCTAAAAAGTCATCTATTGTTGTTATATCATCTACAGCTTCAGTTAATAACCTGACTTGAGCTTGCCACGCATCTCTAAAAACATCCATATTATCAAGTGCCAATTTTGAACGAGGCCGAACAGCTAAAACTCTAGCTGCATTTATAACTTGGGGACATAAATTTTCAATTTGTGCAGCAGCAGTTCGTACCATTTTTACACCATCTTCATTATTAGACATACTACAGGCGAGATTAGCAACCTGAAATGTATATCAAAGAAATGAATTATGGTTCAATTTAACCAAAAATATTTAAGTTACCTCTACAAGTTTATTAGCGTGTTCAGTAAATACAAGAGCACATTCTTCCACTTCTTTTTCATCACCTGAATGTGCTGCTTCAATCAATACAAGTAATGGAACACTAGTCTCTAGGAAACTGTAAATTATAATAACAAATTAGTCTAATTAACTGTAAAACATTTATTTTATTTTACCTATCAGAGACATGATCTACAACAGCTTTTCGTAGTTGTCGTCGTAAATCTCTGGTTTTACGGCACATATGATCAATAGCACGTTCTAATCCTTCACTAGTTTCTTTCACACTCATCTATTAAATATACAAATGTATAATACATGAACACAACAGGTACAAATGGTTAATTATAGAATTAATCCTAAATTGTAAAAAATAACATGCCTTACAGTATTATTTTTATTCATGCAAAATCGAAAAAAAGAATTTAACATTATTAGTGAATTCGAATAGAACAACAACACAACATATTAGATTAAATATAAACCTCGATTATATTTTGTAATGTAGCAAATTACAGATTCAATGATTAAAGCATTAAAAGGAAATTGAATCATGAAGGTAACATAGGTGTGGTAATTGATTTCAATTTGTACAAAACTACTTACCTAAATTAGGATATTTCAATTGTTAGAAATGTAGCTAAAGTTTTAAAATTATAAGAACTAATAGACACACAAAATAAATAAATAAAGGACATTACTTACTAAATAAGTAGGTTATAAAAAATAAAATTGGTTTAATTTTCCAGAAAATAGAGACTATATAAGCCTTATATAAGACACAAACTCAATTAGTATCAAAGATGTGCCTTTTAGGAATTTCAACTTTTTACCACAATCCTACTCACCCACACATTTCTGAAGCATTTAACAATCCTAAAAGACGCACAAATATAGGGTATTGAAATTATGAATATGAATACAAGTGATTATAATGGAAGAAGAATCAATATACTTAAAGTGACTGCTTGAAATTTGAAATAAACAATATGTAAATTAATTTTTAAATGGTGTTGGCCAACATCCACTAATAATCTGTTACTGTTATGTACCAATGATCATAAAAAAAATGTTCTCCGAAAAATTTAAAAATATTTGGTACAATTTGGAAAAATTCAAAACACTTGTTCAAACTTTAAATAGCTGTATCTCAAGCAATTTATTGAAACGAAACCAAATACTCACATTTGAATCTAGGGCCAACATAAAGGCATTGCTACTTATCATTTAAACAAATGTGTTATCTTTAAATACTTCCCCACCTATTTCTAAAAAAATTAAATAAAATAATATTCATAATTAACAATAATATAATCTTTTTAATGTTTGTCACAAACTTTAATTTTAAATTATTGAAAAAAATATACATATTTTATAATTTTGTTTTGGTTTTAAAGCTGTAAATAAGTTATTAACACTATTTTAGAACATGTTTTGTAGTAAACAGTTCTGTGTAGACATAAGAGCCAATAACAATAGCCTTCATTTTATAAGAATATTCTTAAAACTTTGTATAGAAACAATATGTTTTAATGCTATTTGAACCTTTGGAAAATTAAGGTTAAAGTTTGATTTGATTAATGCTTTAGGTAAACTGTAAGTTGATAATTTTTCAGTAATTTTATCTTTTTATAATTTTATATGTAAAACATAGAAATACATTTCAAAATTTGGCAACCCCCAAAAATGTTACCCTCGGGGTAATCCCGTAATATAACATTGATCAAAATCCATCAAATAAAACATTTGGTGGTATCCCCTCAGCATGATCACACTATGTATATTGATTGTATCTATTATCATTGCTAATAAATATAGTATTATAATACAAAGTTATAATCCATTCTACTACTTAACTCACAATCACCTTTCAGCTACCTAACCTATTTTGACCTCAACAATAATTTAATATACACTGTTGAATACACACAGGTTTATAGAATATTTAATTATCACTCAAAACATGCCAAATAAATTGCAAAGATGTTTAATTAGAATTCAGTGCGTATAAAATAAATACAATTGACACAATTTCAACTTTGCTACATAACCAAAAATATTGAAGACATTATACTTATTTAATTAAAAATATATAAGTACAACTATAATTAATTTCAATATATTATTAATTAAAGTTAATTTAAATGTTTAAAAAATATTTAGGTAGCAAAATTGTTTAAATACACTACTAAGGAGATTATTGATTTGTGATTGATTTAAATCAAAAGGATGTTGAATGTAGATTTATCATCTCTATCTATTTAACTGGTATTATGACAAAAATGTGTCTATACTTCCAATATTTTTCAGGCCTAATAGGTTGAAAAACTTGATTTTGATGTCCAAAAAAAAAAAAAAAACCATTAAAAGTTGTACAATAAAAAAAAATTTTTTTCTGATTTTATTACTGCAAATATTTTAAACAAAATATTGCCAGATTGATGAATTCAAAAAAACGTAGACATTTAATACAACTTCTCATGTTTATTCTGGCATCAAAAAAAAAAGTATATGATTAAGATGCTCGATTTTTGTGTACTATTGAAAGTACACAAACTCTTTTTTTGAACTAGATTTCCAGTAAGATAGATAGAGATAGATAGATAGAGATGGCAAACTTATGTTCAATATCCTCTTAAGGTGGTGAAGGTTTCTTTAAAAGTAAAATTACACACAACAGTGATTAATGGGTACACAATATAGATTTGTATTGAAGTAATCTATTTCTAAAATGTAGTGATTTTAGTGCAAGGACGAGCATTTTTTAACATGAACCATACCCTTTTTCCGACCCTTTGGAGTTGCAGTTGCTGCAAACACCAACATAAAAATAATAATCCTTAATGGAATGTTGAATTAATTATATTAAACATAAATTTAAGTAAAATACAAGCTTAAGAATTTTTTCTTGTAGAATAACTACTTACATTGGACATATATTCAGAAAGTAAATCTTGTAAAGCTTGACGAACAGCATTACATTCGGCAACGATTCGTTCTCTACGTTCATCACGTGTACATGAAGAATCAGCCATCAATGCAGCTCCACTAATAATACTTTCAAGTCTTTCTTCTAAAGAAGGTCGAGTGCGAACTTCATTATAAACATGGGGATCCATAACCATTCTTTCCTAAAACAAAGTAAAACTAATGTATTGTATGTGCTCTTAAAAAATTTAATTTTAATTTTTTCACTCTTTAACATTTTCAAAATATATTATTCTAAAAATTTGATTGTATCATAGATTCATATCCTATTAATAGTTTCTTAGTTAAAGCTGTACAGAAATTAGACATGAAAACAGCCAATTTTCAACAGAATAACAAGTTACACGATAAGGAATATCGATCAGTAAAGTAATTCTTTATCTTTTATTGAATATTAATTGTTTTCACGCCTAATTTCTATAAAAAACTATTAATCGGATATGAATGTAATATTTAGTGATTAAGGGATGAAAATCAAAATTTTATTTTTCTATACATATGTCCTCTTACAAAATCTGATTGAAACAAAAAACAAATATTGACAATTGATGCATAACACTGTAGAGCACCCTGTATATGTATGCAAAGTTTACATATGTATAGATATACTTTTCACTGAAAAGTCAAACAATGTCATACATTTATTTTGCTATACATTGTTAAATGGATAAAAAATATTCAATACATTTTGTATCAGATACATCAATAATATACCTTAACTTAACTAAATATCAAAATAAATTTATTCATTAAATTTTACATGTATTATGTCAAAGAAAAAAGAATTTCTAAAAAGGTTTCTGCAATTAGCAAAATACCATTTTAAAGGCAGATCAAAAATAATTTTAATAACTAAGTGAATGCTTTCAAATAGTGTATAGTATTTGAAAAAGTATGATGTAACTATATTTTTCTTATGTTAAAAATCAAAGAAAATAGTTTTGTGAGCTAAAAGGTTGATGGAAATGACAATCAATCATTTCAAGAGTATTGAATTGATATTAACAAGAAAAACAATATTTTAAAATTTTTAAGTTTTGGCAGATTATTTTAATTTTAATTTCAGTTAAATATTAATATTGAATTCTAGAAATGAATTTTTTATAAATTAATAATTTTTATTTACGTCAAAGTCATCCAGTGCAGCAGCCAATTCACCAGGGCCATCATAAATTTGATTACCATTATCATTCATTGCTGCAGAACGACCTTGAGCCACATCACTAATAGTATTTACAGCTTCACAAACTTGTTTCAAAACAAAATCACGATTTGCTTTAGCAGCAGCAAGTTCAGGATGTCTCACATAAACCTATAGAATATTCTTATACTGTTCTATGCATAATGTTGGTTAATTATTATTTATTATTTTTACTTTAGAAGCAGTTAATAACATTGTAGAATGTTTTTTTAAAATAGCACGAGCAGCAGCAAGATCATCACGTAATTGAGGATCCTTTAGTTCTTGTTGACGTTTGGCGGCTTGGCTCATAAGTTCACTAGCACTTCGACCAAAAACTTTAATATTATCAAGGAGTTCAGCTTGACTTGAAGCATTTTTAACTTTTTCTAAATCATCTTCGACCTAAAATTTCAATATTAGATTTTAAACATATTTACCTCAAGCAATTTATAGAATAATTATACAAACAAACAATAAAATGAATTAGAATAAATAATACTTACAACTCGTAAAGATTTTAATAATAAATGTACATCAACCATATCAGCAAGTATAAGTAGACGTGTTACAGCTGATAGTAAATTTCTTGCAGCTCTCACCATATTACTACGTTTAGCTGAAGCACATGGGTCTTCAGCGAACTCCCTTGCAGCAATACTCATAGCGTCACCTAAAAAATGTAAGTACCTAGGTCACTAAAATTTGTTACATTAAATTATATTGGGCATAAATAAACAATATATTTATAATATAAAACTATATTATGACATTTAATTACTTTTTATTAGAATTTCCCATAAATATGCAATTTTTAAGGGACCCAGAGCAATTTCTACCCACCCTACCACTATACACACACAAAAATAGCCATGTAAGTTAAATATCTGTATTAGAAAAGCATGATATTCGACTTTAATACACAAGTATTAATAATATATTTTATTAATTAACTCACCAGTTTTTCGAACTTCTTCAACCGCAGCTAACATTTCTTGTTTTATATCAGGATTTTCATAAGCAATTTGCTCACCAACTTCGATAAAATTCTCTGTAGCTTTTTCTACAGCAGCAACAAGGACATGAGCTCTTTTAGAACGCCCTTTTTTCTTACGCGATGTGCCTTTTGTGTTCACCAAAGTAGTTACCTGGAATGATTTTAAAATTTTAACAAAATAATCTTTAAAAAACTAAATAAATTAAAAATCTTACTTGCAAAACTAAAGGTTCTAAAGTCTTTTCTACAGACATAGTACGTATCTCTAGATTTTTAGGGTCCCATTTTAGGGTAATAGGACCAAACTGATCAGTCATTTTGTATTATTTACTTTTTGATCACAGTATAAATATTTAATTATGTTCAATAATATTTGTAAGTAAAATTTACACACATAAAGAAAGTCAACACCGGAGTTATGATTAATAGTAATATCACAATTCACTAATGACAAATTCACTTAGTCACAAACACAACACCGTGTAGGAAATCGAAGTAGGAAATTAGTTTTGGTATGATGATATCATCAAATACCATAGCTATAACATTCATAACACAAACACAATAACATAATACAAAATACGGATAATAAAATGTTTACTTCTTCAGGGATGATAAGTGGACATACCCATACAAACGGTGAGTCATAACAAATCATCGTTGACGTCCATTTTGGATAACAATTCCAAAGACTCTCTAGACTTTTCGACGGAAAGTACTTAATGGTGGGCATTCAAGAACCGCAACGATTTTAGCGGTGTTTTTTTAAACTATACATTATACTCTGTGATAGTACGTGCAGATCATGATCATATATACAAATTCCGAAAAAAGTAAATACTTTCTGAGATAATGAGTGTACCCACTAAAATGGATTCCCCTGGTGTATTATATTTTTATTTAAGTAGTGTCAGACTAGTCAGTGGTATAATAAACTTCTACCACGATTTTTTCATTTATATTTGTCATCACTTTTGTCCTTATTAATATTCTTCATGAAAATGTAATTCACAAACCGCTTGCCTTTTAATTACAAAATCCTTTCTTGATATACAATCCAACAAATACACCGCCTAACCAACGCCATAGCCTACTCATTTGAAAATAAGAATTACTGTTCCGCTGTTTTTATTAGATATTACTCAAGCCTTTGACAAGGTTTGGCATACCTGACTAATTTAAATTAAAAACACTTCTCCCACCCCCCCCCTATTTCATATTCTTTAAACCTTACCTAGAAAAACTGCCATTTCGTTACCAAAGTAGGCTTCGAACTCTCCAACTTATCCCCTATCCTAGCTGGTGTCCCCCAAGGTGCTTTTTCATCTCCCATGTTATATAACATATATGCAGTAGACCAACCAACATCAATTCACACCTCTGTAGCGCCGAGTTCGCAGACAACAAAATCATATTTGCTTCCACTCAGACCCAATTATTGCCGGTCAGTACTTACAAAATCACCTTGAGGATATGGAAGAATGGTACTCGAAATGGAAGTTTAAAGTTAACAATGAAAAATGCTCCCATATTACTTTTACGTTAAAAAAAGGCACTGTTCCTCCGTTATCGCTATCCAATAAAATCCATCGGCCTCTAATGTCTGTTACTTAGGATTAATACTAGACAAACGTCTTACCTGGGCCGAATGTGTAAAACAAAAAAATCTTTTGTTGAATTCAAGACGTAAATCTCATTATCTTCTAGGCAAACACTCCAAAATTACTCTAAAAAATAAACTACTGTTATACAACTCTTCTAAAACCAATTCGGTCTTACGGGATTCAATTATGGGGCACAGCAAAAAAATCGAATATCTATAAAATACAAACTTTTCAATCCATTACACAACGAATCATCACCAAAACTCCCTTCTACGTCTCCAACCAATCCTTACATACTGATTGAAGGTTCCAACTATCTCCGAAGTAGCCACTTTATCTTACAAAATCTTTCGTGCACTCCTCGCAAATCATCCAAATCCCCTAATACTTGCCCTTAATTCTGATATTAATCCCCCGAGAAGACTAAAGAGAAACTAGTGTCGAGATTTAGCTTAAAGTAGAAAAAAAAAAAAATTAATCAAGCCAAAAGTGTTATCGCTGGGAGCTTCTTTAAGTCAAGTCACTCATGTCATCTTTAAAAATATCAAACATGTACACTGTAAAAAAATTTTTACAGATTGTATATTTTCTAATAAATATTAGAAAAAAAAATAAATATTTTTTTAGTAAATACGGCCTAAATTATCATGTAATTCATATTATTGTAGTGATAATGATGACTGTGCAATATCACCGTATGTTATAATTTTTTAAAAGCAGGAAAACCACAAAAAGTTAGATATGACAATAATAACAATATATATATCTACTATCTAGTAATAAATTAAAAATTAAATCAAAATTATATTTATCTTCCTCATAAACAGAAACCACTTTTGAGACTCCATCATAATAATTTGCATGGAATTTTGGGAAACGGTTGACCCCCCCTCACGTGCATGCACCTGGTAATATATCTTTAAAAATGTAACCATTTATTATCTATAACTAAAAAATCACCAAGTATATGTACAAAGTATATCTTTGATGTGTTAAAGTAGGCCATCTGACCGCAGACCGCGGGAAATATTTGTTGAATCTGGCGCCGCACAGCCCAATGAGACAGGACTATAAGAGCTATAAAGCAGTGTTCACCAACGTGAAATAACTATGGTCTAGTCCAAAGGGGGTATAGTAAAAATAAATTTTATCCAAAAATGCAACTGGTCATATTCTGTAATGAAATTAAATTGTTTTTATTTAAATAGCTTCAAAAAAAAAATTTATAAATTATTATTTACACTTAATTAGGAATTTTGTAGGATCTAAGGTAGCAATTCATAAACTTTTTACCATTGTGGCACATTATTATTATTTAATATAGGTCACGGCACACTATATGGATGAATATTGTCTACTTTCTAAATATAAGCGATTTAAGACTAGGAAACAAACAATGAATTAAATGATACGTATAAATTGATATTGAAAATTTATTTTAGTTCCAAAAATTGTTTTTAATAAAATTGTATAGTAATTTTATGATGGTTTTTAAAAGAAAATGTTTAAGTTGACACACCCTTTGAGAAACATTGGTCTAAGAGAACATACGGAACTGAAGTTATAAGTCAGTAACATGTCTCAATGTACCAGAACATATGGCAAGCCTATGCTAATGTCAAATAGCCTTTAAACCATTGATATGTAGGGATACACAGTCCTGGTTAAGACATTAACCAGGATCAATGATCAAAATAACATTGAATTAAAAACAAAAATCAAATTTTATAAATGTTTACTAAATTATAATAAATTCATATAATAAAATAAAAAATCACTAGCCACCTGACAATAAAAATTTGAAATAAATATATTTATTGTAATTAAATACATAAACATCAAAACTAAAGAAAAAAACAAATTTGATCAGTTATTATCATTAAACTTATTAATTATTAAAACTATCATTTTAGTTAGAATATTTTAAGATCACTTATTTGTGAAGTAATTATATGCATACTAGAAACATTAAAGATCTACTCTACAATAGCAAATGCAAATAAGAAAATTTCACATGTTTAATGGAAATTAAAATTATAAAATAATGAGTATACTTTTTTGAGAATCTTTTTTAATTATTTGAATTTTAAAAAAATGTCGATAATTTCTTAAAATTAGAAAATGAATTATTCAATGATTGCTGAAGAAACCATTTGATTAACACCACAAGATCCATCACCTCTGTAGAGTAGGTAATAGCCCTAAAACAAAATGTAGTTAGTTATATAAATTATAATAATTCATCATTAATTTTCCTTCATATTATGTTAGTTAAATAAAACAATGAAGACGTGACACAGTGGTTAACAAAACAATACAATAAACATATTTCACAATATTTAAAATTTTGGACCATTTCTATAAATATACTAAAGCTTTAATTAATTATTTCTAAGTTATTATGGGCATTATCTTTTAAAAGCCCATTACCTGCATTCCCCATTTGTCACCCCAACTGTTTTTAATGGTCCAAAATGGTAAAGTTGCATTTAAATAAGGATATTCTGAAAAACAAAAAAATATATATTTTAAATAAATCTGTATTCAACTTACTTGTTCACCCCATCCAGGTCCCCAACTATTTTTAATTAACCAATATGGTAAATTTTTGTGAGTATATTTGGTTTCTAAAACAAATTAAATTAGTTAAACAGTGTTTTAATCTTTCATTAAGCTTATATATGCATTTTATACAACAATAATTGTCATTATGTTAATAAAACTCTAACTGTTATAGTTTTATTAATACAACTTTTATCCACGTGGTCTGGTTAATACTGGAGTTAAGAATAAAATAATAATAGTGAATAGGACATTTTATATCGGTAATTGATCAGTATATATTCTGCATGCAAATATGTTTAAAACATGTTTAGTTATAAATGACTGGAAATTATAGATCTTTCAAGGAAGTATTTTTGTGTAGCAATATTAATTTTCAAAATGTTTGAGAAACCAGTTTTCATTTGAATTTCAAAAATTGACTCCTAATTAATTTTAACTTAAAAAATATGAAAACTTAAAATTTTAAATATAGAACATCAATCATTATGGTTTTTTAAAATAAAAGTATTATGCGATTAAACATTTTTTTTCTCTTGTTATTAGAAACAAATAATTATTATACACATAATGCGATCTTACTATGAATTCCGTATCCAATAATTGCTACACCATGGTCCAATGATTTGGGGCTGCATAGTGCATGTATTGGATGTGATACTCCTCCCATGTAAAACTAAAATAAAATAGTAATTTAATGAAATATACTAAATAATTATTCAATTTTGGTCACAGATTACATATAACTAATATAAGTGTTTTCTAAATATAAAAACTCATACCTCAAAATCTAGAAATTCTTTTTAGAAACTATAAATTAGGTACTTAATGAAAAATGTCAAATAATACAAAAAATTGCATAGCATACCTGCATAGCATTAGCATTAACTCCAACTGACAGAGGTCCATGTGCAACTAAAAACTTGGCTATATCTCCTTCATCTGTTGATACATTTACAGCCTTCGATATTGATACTTTCAATTTACTTTTATTTAATTGACATCCTTTTCGGTCTTCATGACCTTCATAAGGATAGGCAGATTCTGTCTCTAAACCTCCTAAATTTTCAATAGCTTCAAACGCTTGAGTCATAAGACCTCCACCACATCCATTATCCATAGCATCACAGTCAATCAGCTCTAATAATTATAAAGTAAATAAACAAAAAAAATAATAGCATTTTTATAATCTATTAAATTACCTTGTTCTGAAAGAGATAGAAGTTTTCCAGATTTTAAAGCATTTTGTCCTTCAATATTGGCAATTGCTGAAAATGCCCAACATGATCCACAACTTCCCTAGGATTAAATGTATAAATAATTTAAATTCAATTTATTTATTTTACTTCAATTATTTTAATAATAAAATCTCAGTATAATATAGCTGTGCAAAGTTTTAATATAAATGTAATCTAAAACCAAACATACAATATTAATTTATTGTAAATTATAACATGCTATTTTAATTACATAAAGTAATTTAGGAGAAAAATATTTTAGTAATTGAGTTTTACAATAACAATAACTCAAGGAATCCAGAGCATAATTACATAATTTTAAATACCAATAACAAATACCTGATTTTTTACTGGTGTAACTACGCTGTGATCTCTCCAATCAAACTCAGTTGGAATTGCGATATCATGAGGAATTTCTGCCATGGGTAAAATTTTATTTTTTGCCGATGATGGATTTAGCCCCAAGTATTTTTCTTGAAATTCATTTTCTATCAAAATGTTATAATTTATTTAAAAATAATATTAAATTTGAATTATATAATTTAAAAAAGTACATTAAAATTTAAAAAATCAACCAAATTAATAAAATTTGTTTTTTTTTTTTACTTTTTAGATTCCAAACAGAACAAATTTGTTTTAAATGATTAACTACATTTTTTGTTGACTAATACATTTTGTATTGAAGTTCTTTAAAAATGACTTGTAGCTTTTTTTTTTAAAAATTATAATTTACAACAATAATAAGTTGAATACACAAGTAAAGAATTTAAAAGAAGTGATTTTTAAAAAAAATTACTTTTAGGGTGTTTTCCCCCCCAACTATATTTCTTTATTCTTGGGTATATGTTTGCCTTCTAATTACTATTGTATTCCCACTGTGTTACCTACACCATTTTTCTTTTCATTTCATTCATTAACATTCTTCCTCTAATTTTTTTACTATTTCTTACTTATTCATTATTTTTGTTAACTTTCTCTCCTAAACACCATAACACTTATACTGCAATTCCAAACTGTTAACAAGTATTACTTCACAATCTTTAAATTTTTTCAAAATATATATTCTGCATATCAAATAATCCATATGTGGGATGTTCTCTTTACCTTTAAAAATTATTTTAGGCTAATCACTCTTCAAAATAATAGCTTTTATAATTTCTCATTTATATTCTACCACATATCAAAACACTGTATCTCCAGCATTTTTTCTATTTACAAATATTATATTATTTTATAATCAATTAGGTAAATATTAGTTAAATAAATGAAAATTTACTGTCAAACATAGAATTTAAATATAATAAATTATATTATATTATTACTTGTAAGATCTGCAAATTGTGTAGCACCATAAATAGCAGTTCCTTGTTCATGATTTTGTAACAACTTTATTTTCTTCATATTAGCAGCATAAATGCGGAATCTTCTATTCTTTTCTTCAAGACTTGAATATATTTTACTATGTGTATTTATAAAATTTTCAAAATCTTTTTTTAATTCAAATCTTTCTTCTGCATCATAATTTTGTTTGTTTAATTTATTCTGATCAAATTTAAAAATAATATTATAAATTAATGAATTATTTAAATATCTAATTTCTATGAGAATAATTATTGGTGATACTTCATTATGAGATCAATCTTGTCCATAGAGCATAAAAATACCTTTGGGCTAAACAAAATTCCCTAATATATATATATATATAAAGATGGTGCATAATGATTAATTTTATAGACTACAATTTACTATGGTTTAATTGCAATTTATCAATAAATAGTTGACACAGGCTTAATATTGAAAGAATTTTATTCTTCTGTCATCGAAAAAAAAAAGGTTACTACATCATTTTTATGAGAATGCAATTTACTTCATGAATCTATAAAAATTAGTGCACATGACAAATATGGTAATGTAATGCAATAAAAAAGTATATGTAATCAACACAGTAAATTTCAACCTATTTTTCCTTGTTACCATAAAAGGTGTCAAACCTCAGTTGACTGGATCAGGAAATACTTTTTTTTCTATAATAGTAATATAAATAGTTAAATGTATTTCAAATTAGCGTAACATTTTAAGAGTTTTTTTTTTTTATTAAAAGTTCCATTAAAGATAACTGAAGAGATCTCGTCGGAAGATGAAGAATAATTAACAAAAAATACTAAACTTTAATTAGGAATCATTATAGCATTATTATCTTAAGATAAATGTAAATATTAAACCATATTTTTAATCTATTGTACTTGTAATAGCACCTAATGTGCTGAAACATTTTAAAATAATAAATAAAAAAAAAAAGACAATAGATTTCTTGACAGAAAGATTGTTTGGTACTGTACCTAACTGAATGATATTTACATATTGGTTACATATAAACTTGAACCTAGTATACTTGGTTTTAAACAATCTAAGCATAAAATGTTAAAAATGTATTAGATCGCATATTAAGTTAGAAACTAACAAGTAGATCACATAATGAAGTAACTCCATATTATTTTATGTCTATAATGGCTAAAAGTTTATCAATTAAATAACTGTGTTTGTATGGTTCACAGACATATATAGTTAAATAAGTTATTAATAACTACTATTTTAATTAATATTTATTATTCGGGATGAATTAATTTAACTTACCAAATTTGATTCAACAACATTTATTCTGTAAGGTGAATTGCAATTAATTTTTGAAGTATTTTTTGTATTTAACCATGTTTGTTCCCATACATTAACATTACAAATTCTACATTTCTGGAAAATAACAGTTAATATTAAATATTAGTAATTAATTAATTATACAAACTTGAAATTTAAGAGTATTTACATAATGAAAATGAGTAAAACCATCTTTTTGGTATTTAAACAATCAGCAATATTTATTACCTAGTTTTAATTATTTATACACACACATTATTTTTAGTCTTGAAATATTATGCACAATATTCATTAAACTTGAATTAGAATGTGGTTCATATATTTGTTGATTCAATGAGAAATTAAATATAATTTATAGTTTATAAAATAAATAATAATACAAAATAAATGTTTGGTTTATATTCATAATATGTTCTAGGTCTACAAATTCACATAGAATATACTACAAAATGTCACCATAACTTATAAAAATGAATGTACATAATATAGATTTGATAATAAAATAAAAATATTGCAAAAAATAAAATCATGTTTTTATTCTTTTTTTATTAAACAATGGTAACAATTTTAATTTGAATCGAATATTAATAATATTTTCAAATCAAGATTTATATTAAGATTTAAGTTAATTTTTAAAATATTTTAAAGAATATTAGTTTTTCCAACAAAAATAAAAATATATGTATAGTGAATATAATAATTTAACATCTCTTAATACAAGTAAGATTTTAAAATAAGACAATAGTTTTTAGTTTTTTTTAAGAATTTAGTTAAATTAAATTACCTTCCCATCAACTTGACTTGTAGAATTCTCACATATTTCTAATTCTATATTGTACAAAATTCCAGCCACAATCTAATAAGTAAATTATAATTTTTTAGGTTTATATTTTATTATAAAAATATAAATTTAAACATATAAAAAAAAAAAATACTTGTTTAGATGCATTTATTATTTTTGATAATATATGTGATACTCCAGATCCCTCTTGTTGATCAACAGATGATAAAGCATAATCTACTATATCTTTTACTTTATTATCATTCAAATCCAAATTTATTTTTGAACCAACCATTGTGTCTTCATGTATATCCTAAAAAGAATATTATTATATACGATATATTATAATTTATTTTAAATTATTACTCTTTTTCTTTTAGTTGCTGCAACATTTGAAAAAGATTCAAGTTCAGAAGGTTTAGTACAAGCTACTTTAGTAACATTTTTATTATTCAACCACGATTGTTCCCATATAGTTATGTCACATGAACGGCAATTCTAGAAAACCAAATAGTTACACAAAATTTTAATTAAAAGTAAAATAAACAAACTTTATGATCCATAACAATGTCCTTATTTTTTTTAGTTGAATCTTTTTCACACACAATTAGATCTATCTTATAATTTATTCCTGCAACAACCTGAAATAATATAATAAATATAAATATTACTGTTGAAGTATATTAATATTAGTCATACTTGAGATTTTGCAGAAACAACTCTAATTAATCCCAAAGATCTTTTAGACATTGTTTGTTGTGTAATAGAATCTAATGAAAATTGAGCCAGTTTTTTGATATTTTCATTGTCGACATCAATTGGCTGGTAACCTCCTAAAGGTGATGGCTATAAAAATAAAATAAACCAAATTACAAATAAACAATAATAATATCTTTTATAATATGCTCTTATATTTTTTATTTATGTTTTAAACATGTAAGATAAATTGACTACTCAAATCTTTCCGTGTGATACTGTGTTTGGCCTGGTAAATAAGTAAGCACAAATTTTTAAATTTTTAAAATAATTTTGGTTGCAAGCATCAAATTTATCAAAAATAGATTTTATAAATTTGATTTTTTTGCAATCTAAATACTCATTTATTCAAAAGAAAACAAAGATACAAAAAAAAAAAAAAGAAATACAAGGATATAAGAAAAAAAAAAACAAAAAGAAATAAAAATTGATGCTTATTTTGGCTTGTAGAAAATGAATTAAATTGCTTAAATTCTTGGGTAGCTTTTATCATCCAAAATGTCAACAATTTAATTTTCTATAAGCTAAATAATCATTAATTTTTTTTTAATATTAATGTCAGAACATAGTTTTTTTTTTTTAGAAATTAATTTTAAATGTTTTATGATAAATTTGATGCTTACAATCTATAAAAATTATATTTTAAAGATCAAAAAATTAAAAAGACATCTTTGTGACTCGGTCAAAAAAAATAATAATGATAAAATAAAATATTGCACAAATGAATGTACTAAATTTTCACCTAAGTTATGTTTGTTTAAAGATCATGAACAAAGGACTTGATAAAAAACCATTTTTATAATATTAAATATGTATTTTATTTTGGGGTTTCCACTTCAACTTTATATCTTCAAAACATATTCTCAATGAATCAGTTTTTTTTTTTTAATTTGGGACCATTACCAATTTAAAAGTTAATTAATGTTTCCAAACTACCTTAAGCTGATATTAAATTAAGGAAAATCAGTACTGAACTAAATTATTGTTATACGTTTTTCTTATTTTATGTACACTATAACAAACATGAAATCAAAACAAATAACTAAATATAAATAACATAGTATAAATAGCCAAAAAATTACCATTTGAATAATGTTATACTTGTTTTCTTTTACACATTTTGTATTTCTATCAAGGATTTTATTTAAAAGCAAATATTAAGAGCTTTAATCAATTAACAAATGTGACCTATAATGATACTATCAGCTAATTGATTAAAAAAGCCTTTAAACCTTATTATTATAATCTTTAAAAATAACTTTTCACCTTCTACAATTATATGTATATTTTTATAATAAAAGATATGGATAAATACATAGATGTAGATCTTTGGCTATATGAATACCAAAGTGGATGGTGTCCATTCGATTATTAAAAAAAAGCTGAAACTGGGGACGGGTGTAACTATTGCAGGGATGTCATTTAAGATATTGCAGGGTATGCTTATGTATACCTAAAATTTATCAACATTGCATTTCGGCATAACAAAGTTTTCTGCGATGGAAAATTTTTTTTTAAATTGGTCTTTAACATTAGTACTGTGGCTATAAGCTATAGTAGGTGTAAAACACTTTTTTTTATAATAAATCTATAGTAAAATATATATTGGCCTGCTGAACATTTTTGAAAAAAAAATAAAAATAAATACTACATTACAATCAATTCTTTTTTTTTACCACTAAGTACAACTTATAATGAACCTCTTGTCAAATTTTCAAGTATTTCTGTTTAGTTTAACAATGTAATCCAAAAAGTACCTATGAAATAAAAATTATGTAAAACTCGGCAAATTAAAATGTTTAATATAAACATTTTAACTCAAAAATTTAAAAACAATTATTTTCGTAAATTTTCTCATTTTTTCAACATATTTTTCGGTTTTGCACAATTTAACAGTGGCTATATATCAAAAAGAACAAAATCGATCTCTTGTAAATTTTCGAGCAAAGCAAGATTTCTGATAGAAAAATTGTTCAGACACAAAAAAAAAACACATCATAGAAAAACCAATAAATTTCAATTATTATTATATATTTATTTTTACATTTTTACATATTTATTCTTTTAATATTTTATGTTAAGACCAGTACAATGTCCAATTTTTATTTATTACTTTGAAATTTAGTGTTGTTATAGTTGGTTGATTAGTTTATTTCTAGCAACATTTGAAACCCAAAATACGTTTATTAGTTATTACTATATATTAATATATTATGGATTATTTAAGTGAATGTTTCATTATATGCATTGAAAAATTTCCAAATTATTATTTTAATTCCTTTAGTAACAATTAAATATTTTATAGCACCATAAAAATTTTAGAAATTTAAGTAACCTGGCGTGCATAACGGTAAGTGCGGGAATCATGTAAGACACATCCCACTTCTACAACTTTGTATTTATTATCAGACTTCTTAATAGTAAATTCACATACATCACAAACCTACAAAAAAAATAAATAATAAAAATAAAAATAAAACCATAATTATTTATAAGTTATTTTGCACGTTAAAACTCACAAAAAAATCATCCCATGTTACATTTTTTTCAGGATGCATATCTAAATCTTTCTTTTGATTTAAACTATTAAAACGGCATGCTGATACTTTAATTTTATTTTCAAGTAAAATCTGTAAGAATAATTGTATGTATTGAGAATGTATCAGTTATTAAGAAACTATAATACAATCTTACACGTGATACATTGCCCACTTGTTCAACTTGAATAAGTTTATGCCCATAATCTGAGTGACTTTTCAATGATTTTAATGCTAGATTTGCTAATTCTTTGATAAATTCACTATTTTCTTGATCTGATTGTCTTTTTACTCTTTTTTCATTTAAATTATATAAAAGATCATGGTAATGATCAGGTTTATTAACAAAAAATTGCTTACTTATTTCAATCTAAAACACAATGATCAATCATTCTAAGGATATTAAAAAATGTATATAATACAATATTAAGCAAATCAAATATCATATTGATCAAACATTTAATTTAATTTTAATTACTATCAATACCTGTACTATTTAATTTTGTCTTCATTTAAAACTTTTTAAATATTATAATAACATCATACATATGATGATCAATATCATCATTAATTGTGACCATACATAATTTAAAAATCTTAAATTTAAATTATTTTTTAACTTTACTATGAAAAATAGGCAACAGATTATTGATCAGTGAATTCAGTGAATTGATCTGTAGTTAATCAGTTAAGTCAATAAGTCTAGATTTAAAATGTAAATAAAAATTAAAATATATGTTTCTTTTCATAACTTTACTTAACTCTGTTTTCATAATCAAAACAGTCAAGGGACATTCAGATTAAAAGTGTTATATTGTATAAATAACGAAAATAAGATTAACCATTGTATTTGAAAAACATAACACGATATAAAGCTCAAAGTATACTTGTAAGTAAAATAATTTTAATGAGTTTAAAAATTATGTCATCACACTAATAATATGATAATTACTATGATAATAATAATTGGAAAAAACCAGAAACAAAATTATAGGTAAAACGAACCAATATTTATGACAAGATTTCATTATTTTAAATTTTAACGATAAATGTTTTGTACCAAAAATATTGTTTCAATCAAAAAATCACAAGACTTTTTTGTTGTATTTTGGATCTAATTGATGAGTTTAATGAGTCAATTATTTAATTTTCTAAGTAGTTATCAAAATAATAAGGAAAAACCTGGAAATAAACATAAAATAATTTTAGTTTTTCATTAATACCTGCCAATATGTGAATAATATATTTTACCAAATAGAGGTGCTTAAAAATTTAACACAGGGTTCATTATAAGTTGTATTTAGTGGAGTCGAAAAAACAAAATTAATCATATGTAGTCATTTTTTATTTGTATAAAAGTTTTAAAAATAAATTCTAATAGAAATTTTCAAAATTATGGCCTTTCAAAATATGTATAAATAAATAACTGAAGATATTAAGTGACTTTTAAAAGTAATTTAACCAATGCAATTTTTTATGAAAAATTTTTTATGTTTTCACTTTACTTCCATTTTTTTTTTCTCTTTGAATACTTTGAGTATAAATGAAAGTCTTAAGGAAATTAAATTGATCAGGAAGATTTTATTAAGTACCTAATTTTTTTTATTTTTATATTAATTAAATATAATCAAAATTGAAAATAATATAAACTACATTGAGGACTACACCTATATTTGTATATAGTGATTTTTTTTTATCATGAACCAACAATTATCTCATATCTCTTACTGCGAATTTGATTTATTTTTTCTAATCATTATGAAATTGTTTAAGCTTTATTTTAAAACCATTTTAAATTTGTTACCCCTACTCCATATACCTTAAATAAGTATATACTTTTGATTTCCTAAAAGGAACCCCCCCCCCCCTTTTTTTGAATAAAGAATATTTTTCTAGAAATGTTGATATGCATAACACTAATATCAGAATTACCCTAAGGTAATAAATTGCCTATCTATACCTTTCCCTACTCCTCTAGTCTAAACTTTAAACTGTTTTAACGATAAATCCTCTGAGATAATTGTTGGTTCATGATAAAAAAAAATTACTCTGTACAGGCAAGTATAATTATTAATATTAGAACTAAACAATACTTTGCAACTACATTTAATATAATAAACACAAGGAGATAAATAAATGCTTAGAAAAGTAAAAAATTACTTATTACTATTATTTTAATTATCATCACAGGAATTAGGCATTTTCACTAATGAAAACAAACATATCATATAACATAGGTATACATGTTCAAGGTTAAAACATAAACAAAAACTTACATTATTTCATAAACAAAAATATGTTTAGTAAAAAAAAAAAAATACCTACATAATATGCATAAATTATAATATGGTCCACTGATGTTCAATGTCCATATCAAATCTTACCTAACTCTTTAATCTTTATATACATAGTACACATGTCTGTATAATATATATATATATATATATATAAAACAATTTTTAATTATCACAAACTAGTAAATTAGGAATTGTTATTATAAATTTAAACCAATTGTTTTTTTCAGTTACTTTTCAAAGGAACTTTGTATACAAATTTGTTTTTATCTTATTCTTTCATTTCAAATATGAAAATGTATTTGACATATTTTATTTGCTCTATTTGAAGGGAGAAAACTTAGATTAAAATTGAAATACACATTAAAATATTAAAATGTTTGTTTTTTTTAATACTGTTATAAGTACCTAATCATGAAAATAAATTCCATTTAAGGTCTCTCCTTGTCCATTATGTCAATTAGTTCCATTCCATATCAATTTATCATATTTTTCATATATGAATGACCCCTTGCATGTCCTTTGCAAATTCTAACCCATCTTTTCCCATATTTATGTAGATACTAACTGTAGTTTTTATGTTGTTGCTAGTTATATGCAAAGTACCTATGCTGTTGTTAGTTATATGTAAAGTTTGTTGTTCTTAATTAAATGAAACAAACATAAACATAGCCATTGTTAACTTATAATTTAAATAAATCGATCAATAAATAAACATACCCAATACATTAATATTATTATAAATAATAAAGAAAAATGTTAAGTATAAAAGTTATTTGTATTTAAAATTATTTATGTTCAAGTAAAAGGCGCATTTAAAAGTTTTAATACATTGGCTGTATAAGTGTTATATTTTGTTTCCTAGACCCTGGTGACCTTTTGTAAATATTTATCTCATCAGAATAAAATCACCAGAAAAATAATTTTACATAAATGGACAATAATATATCAAAATACTAGAGAAGTAGGTATTATTAACATTTGTCTCTAGAATTAATAGGTAGCAAGGTATAGTATTTTTAGATTTAATATAATACTGCATATTATACTATAGATACTTAGTGTCAAAATTATTGATTAAGTATTTTTATTGTATTATTTGATGATCCCGTAAATTCTTTATGGGCATACTGGGTAGTTTATGTGATTGTAATACATTATGGACAGACCTAGGCTTATTATAATTGGTTTCATAAATGCACTTCAAGTTTCAATTTAGTTTTTAACATAGATTTTTAAATACTGTAAACATAATGTAAGTATAAAATAAAAGATATTAGGGAACATTTCTACTTAACTAATAATTATATTATACATAATATACGTTTTTATAATTAATTAAATCTACCTATAACGTACATAAATTTCAATAAGTTTTAACAATTACAGTCAAAGGCAAATGACAACTGGGACACCATCCTAGTTATATGCTACAAATTTTCTAATATAATATAGAATTTACTAACCTTATGTTTTTGAGCAAAAACATTATCTCCAAGCAAAGCAATCGAAAGACATATTCCTAGAAAGAGGAATTTCATTTTGATTTCGAAAATATATAATATAGGTATCTATATTAGTGATTTTTAAATATTGATGAAAACAAAGCAAAGTTTGAAAATTAAATGTATTTATAACGATTAATGAGTAAAGAAAAACGTTAAAGGTCTACTACGTCTTAATGTTCATGTTTTTAATTCCTTTTATACGTTTGGTACATGAGCGGCGGTAATTATTTTTTATAATAGGTAGCAGTCGCTCGTCACAAACAAACTACTGATAACAACAAAACAAAAACATTTTATTGATTTTAAGAAGGGGGTTGGGAAAGAGGAACCGTGGAAATATATTTCACAATTTATTTGATATTTATGTTACTATTTATTATATTATATTATATTATAGTCGTATTATCAATATTTATTGATATATTATTCGTATATTATATAGTATGAATATAGTCATGAATCATGATAAATATCGATTTGTCTTCACATAACGTATTAGTCTCGGTCTTCATAAATTATGTAAAGCTTCCTCTTTCACTATTGTTCCAATTTCCTTATTGACTTGATCAATGATCAATTTACTATGCATATTAACTTTCCTAATAATCTTTAACATAGACGGAACTAGGTCCTTGAATAAGGGGCGGGGGGTGGCTATAGCTCCGACTGTTTTTTTTTCATAACATTTTCAAGCAACCTTCCTTCCATGTAGGCAAGGATACATATTAAAGGAGCAATTTTTTTTTGTTGCAAGGATTCCTAAAAATAGGAAATTGTATTAATTTAAAATTAATTATTTTTTTATAACAGTCTGTATTATAGTACAGTATGAAACCTATTGAACGAGTAACATGTTTCATTATCAGCATCCACTTCTTGTAAGAAACATTATCTACTGACTCAAAATTGTCAATAACAGTCTTATAATTTTTAAAATGGTACATCCATCTAGTATTGCTGACTGCAATTATAGTAATATTTTTCATTAATAATTTTTGTTTACCTTACTCCATTTTAAATTATTTATAGGTTGTGTAAAATATACATAAAACGATTCTAGTGCATTGAATACAGTTTTATACATCTATGTAAAAATTAAAAATAATAATAAAATATTTCATAACTTTAAAAATACGTTTAATTAAAAAAAATATCTGAATTAATTAACCTTTATTTGTTTACACATATTTATAACTGCTAAGTTTGATTTATGTGTCATGTAATGTATGTAGGTACATTGCATACGGTGATGATCTTTTAATTTAATTTGTACACTACCTCTACGGCTCTACATCCTGACATCATCATTATTATTATTATATATTATTTAAGTTTAATTTTATTTCGAAATATGATAATTGCTGTTAGAAGTGAATTTGCATTTAAGTTCTATGAAACATTAACAACCCTAAAAAGTACTTTACAATTTTGTATCCTTTTGCATCCTGTATACAAATTGACATAAATTCTTGTTCATGAGACCTTAAAAGTACACAAATATACTTCTTTCATTTTATTAACTACAAAAATATCACTTTTTTTCAAAACATTTTTTTTTTTTAATTTCACTGAAGTTTGTAAAAATACCATACATTTTAAGTTAGGCTATTTGACTACATTTATTTTTGAATCTCATAAATATGCTGTTAATAATTATGTTACCTATTGAATATTTTCTACTTGAAGAAAAATATCTTCTAAGGTCAAATTAAGACTTTCAAAGCTATATAAATCTAAAACGTAATAATCTGGAACATAAAATCTTAGACTGAAAAATCCGAAACGTAAGAATCCGGACTGTAATTTTCCGGAACGCAATATTCCGAACTTTCTAAGACCACTTTAATCCGGAATATAATAGGTATTCGTTAAAAATATCAATGACTTCTAAAATATAATACTAGTAGTCAAGGCGTTATTTTGAAATTTGCCACCCCAAGGTAACAAAAAACGAGATCAAAATAAATAATAATAAGAATTTACCAAAATTAATGCTCCTAATATTTTAGGTAAGCAAAAAATTAAACATACAGATATATTAAAACAAGAAAATAATAATTATAATATTATTTATTATATTTTTTCTAAGTTTGTAACTCTGAAAATTAAAATTATCATGTTTATTAAGTATATTTATTTACCGTTCATAAATTATAATAGTTTAAAATTTAAATTGGAGGCATGATGACCGTTCTGTTTATTGTGTTTTGAAATGCCGTATGTTTACGATTTTTTTAACAAAACTTTTTATGTGTAATACCAAGTACACCTTAAGATAAACTTCGTGTAAAATGTTCGTCTAAAAAGCACGTCACTAATATTTATCACGTCACAAACGATTTTCAGAACATTTTTTTCTATGCTAATTCTGAAAATGTTTTGATGAAACCATTATTAAAGAAGTTATATCAAAAAAAGATCAATAAATTTGAACTTTCATTTAAATTTCTAAACGTTTCTGTAAAAGACTGAATATGCTATTGTGGCCCTAAAGTATAATTTTATAAGTAGTAATGATATTATTAGTGAACAATAATATTAAACTCGAAGAAATTTCAAACTTTTTTCTTGCACAGTATTATAAAATATATCATAACCTAATTCATAGTTAAAAATGTATAAAATATTCGTGTTTTTAATTAAGGCTTTTATTTTTCTTGGCAATATAAACGTTTGCCATAATATTATATTCGACACAAGAAATTTGATTTTTATAGTTTTAGAATAGACGATTTTATTACAATTTATCTAAGTTAACTAGAAGCGATATTCAAGTTTTATAATAAAAAAATGTGGTTAAATATTGCATGAAGGCGCTTAATTGCTTAAACCAGGGTTTATTTTAAAGCGCAGTTGGGCTTATTTTGCATATTTTAAAAGCGGAGATGAGCACTTGATAATAAATATTCGTTTAATTAATTATTTTTTTTAAATTATTATATTAATAAGATTAGACAGTATAAAATCTATTATAAATAGGTACTATTTGTAGTAAATAGTAATTACGTGTAGCGAACAATAAGGTATTACCATTAATTAGGTACCATTAATAATCATCAATCAATATTATTATCTACTAAACATAATATTTGACTTACTGAACTCAGTACTCTGAACTTACTCAAACTTAGTACTCTGAAATATAATATAATTTTAAAATTACCATCAATATTAATCGTATCATATAAATTTGTTTTTATTTGGTTTTACATAATTTGAGTTTAAAAATATTATTATTTTACTTGCTTATGATATTATAGCTGCAAAATACCATTGAGCGTTAAAGCAGTGTTTTTAAATATAGTTTACATATAGAAACTAAAAATGATTATGCTTTTATTCATTTTATCATCCCTATTGCCTATTCTTCAAAATTAGAGCACACTTAAAGCCAAAACCAGCAATACAGATACCTAAGGTTTTAAACCGAAATGAACGCGACGTTAAAGATACCTAAAGCCAAAGAAAAAATTGGTTAAATAAGATTTTTATGAGAGCAACAAAAAGAAAATATGTAGAAGAGCAAATTGAAAAAAGGCTGTCTTAGGATAATGGGGACAGGTACAGCCACTGTTGAAGGTGGGTAGTTGGGGTATAGTTGGGGTAAGATATAGACAGAAATATAATGTAAATCTGTAAGCAACAATTGACCATTGCTAACGAAAAGACGATTCTGAGCGGAGTTTGGTTGATAGTGTTGCTTTGTTAACAATATATAATATGTCATATTTTGGTTAAATAATTAAGTCAATAATTAATAATGTAATAGCCAATATATTATAAAATTAAGTCAATATGATCGGCGAGGCATCTATACATTAAGTATATCTCCGAAGTATTTTTTGATATAAGAGAACAGTTAAAACGCAAAAAAATTAAGATTGGACCCCCGTACAATAAGCATAAGTGAAAGAGGTTAATCTAACGTAATCTAACAGTTTACATGTCTCGAGACAGTAGGTGCGAGCGAAAAGGCCAACCATTGGCCTTCATAGTGTGTTTTGGTGATAATCAGGCAATAAGTCCTGACACCACTTCGCTTTAGACGTCTCCTGAAATCCTCAGAGATAGTGTGGATAGAGAGTTCAGTTATTAGTGGATTCCTATGATTGAGGGTACTGGGATAGAGACGTTTGTAGGTTTTGGTCGTGTTTATAACTGTTTGTATGGAAAGGTCTTTATGGAGAGTATCGTCGGAAACATAGTATAGAGCTTTTGTTATTTTTCGGAGACATTTGGATTGGAGCATTTGTATTTTATTGATATTAAAGAGCTTGGCTGCCTCCCAAAGTTGTTGGCCATAGATCCATATAGGTTTGAGGAACATTTTGTAAATACGAAGTTTCATTTTTGAGATAAAGATGTTTTAATCTCAGAAGGTAGCGCAATTGGCGGGAGCGGTTGTTTAAGATGAGGTGCTTGAGGTGGGTTCCCCAGGTTAGTTGGTGGTCAAGGCGCAGATTCAGATATCGGACGTTTAGAACAGTTGGTAGGGGATGTCATTGAGGTATATGTAATGGCTATGTAAACTAAATTCTTTTCTTCAGTATTCCATAATATTATTTAAATTAATATTTAATGGTTCCATTTCCATGAGTGCAAGTTTTCTCCATTCCTAGTTCATGGTCCAATTGTCTGTGAGAATCTAGTCACCAAAGTGTTTATTTATAACTAAGGTGTTGTATCAACCATAAGTGATATGGTACCCATAGACATATAAAACAATATTGTTTTATATATCCATGAAATAGATATATTATTTATTATTTGCTTAAAATTGCTGCGTAATTATTCAACAAAATATTATTGTTTTTGGTCATTTACATTTTATTAAAAAAAAATCACAATCAGACTGATAAAAATGTTGTTTATCATAAACCAGTATTTGTAACCGCATATAATCATTATGGTAGGCAGTAAACTGTTCGCTCACAGTTATAGATAATAAAGAATTTTTTATTATCTATACTCACAGTAAAGTGTATAAGTTCTATGGAAATATTGGTATAGGGATATTTTCTTTATCTATGACCTTTTTTTCAACTTTGTGCATACCCTTATCAAAAGGCAAAACTTAAATTTTACAATTTTTTTTATTCAATTTTCATTTTTATTAGCTTCAATAAAAGATATGAATATCGTTCAAAGATTTTATAGTAGTAAACCGGTGGCCCCTAGTGGGCCAGCAAATTGTACCGGTGGTACATTACCAATCGATTTAGAAGGAAGACATAGATTTGTAAGGCAACGAATTACAAATATGAATGATGAAGAAAGGGCTTTCCGTAGAAAGTTCTTGCACGACCAACATTTGAGTCAAGATGAACCAGTTCATGTTCCAGAATTGTACCAAGAAATGTATAATCCTATAAGACGCATATTTAAAGCCCCAATGAATATAGTTGAAGGTCTATTAGCCAAAAAAATTGTAAGTTTAAATTGGTTCCATTTTTTAAATAAACAAATAAATTATTACCTAAGCTAATTAAATACAAATTTTGTATTTTGTTAAAAGGGCGAAAGAAATGCGTTCAATGTGAGATTTTATACAGGAAAATTAACGATGGGTATACTTATTTTGTATGTTGGAACTTACTATTTTCTTTACAACAGCAATGTAAGTTTTAACTAAATTTATTACTCTTTAAATTTGTTTTATCAATGTTTAAATTACTGAAATAATATGTATTTATACACATAATTACATTAAAAATATGCAGTTATAATGGGGACAATATTTAAAAATATGTATTTGTAGGCTTGTATCTGACTTGTTTTGGGAAACAATTACGCCTCTTAAAGTAAACTAATTTTAATAATGAATTTTTTTATTAGGAAGAGGAATATTACTTTAAATTTGAAAATTTAAAATTTTTATCAGTTTTTTTTGATCAGGTACATTATCAGACCACTGTTATACTAGGCATGTTTTTTCCATATTTTTTATAAACCCATAAATTATTTTTGTTTAATTATATATTTAGATTTGGAAATTATTTTTTAACTGGATTTCAAATGTAGCTACCATTTAACCAATTTTGTACTAAATCAAAAGTCTAATATGCATTATCTACACAAATATGTAAATGTCTATGCTTCTGAGCTTTATTTATCTTTGCTCTCACTTATATTAGTAATGCAGTATCAAAATTCTATGATAAGCCATCTTATAAACTTTTAATATTGTTTTTTTTTATTATTAATAATATTTGTATATATTTTGATGTAGAATTGGGAAAGAAAAAGTGGATGGAGAGTGCATGAATCACGTGCTCAATGTGTGCCAGGTGACCCAGGATTTCCAAGAGTGTCAGACCGAACCTTACCCAAACATTATGCAGACAGGGGTTTCAGCAGTTCTCCAATTTAATGATGCAGACAATTGTATTGATTCTTTTTTTGTTGCAAATTAATTGAGTTTCACAAAGTTAAATAAAAATGTAGAAAATGTATGAATATAATTTAAACATATATACAGATTTATGCTTTTATATTATTACACTTATAATAAAATATTTAGTTTAAAATAAGTAGTATTAATCTACCAATAAATTAGTCTTCAATTGTAGTAGAAAAATGCAAAAGATTTGGTAAACCACCTTTGTTAATTTTGTAAGAATAAACCATTATCCTCCTTGCTAAAAATGTTCTACTTAAATAATCCTGAAAAAGATGCATAAAATATAATATAATATAATACAATACTTCATCCTTTTATAATTTTTAAAATTGAATGATTGATTAAAGAGGAAATGATACCAGTACGCGAGTCTTCGTCTTACAAATGTACAACAACACTTATGCTTACAGCAGTTATAACTTTGTGCTATTATTGTTATCATTGTGAACTTATCAAAACTTAAGGTAACATTATTCTCTGCGAAATTGTGGATATTTTTTTCTTGATATTTTAATTTGCAAGAGTTCACAATAGTTATTTTGAAAATATTGAAAAATGATAAAAATAAAAATTGTATTGTATCTCCCTCAAAAAACCCGATTGAAAAAAAAAAAAATGAATGTTGAGTTTTAAATTCCTAGTAGAGCAAAGAAGCTTATGGTTTTACAAAGATGTTTATTTTTTTTTCTGTGGACAACTTTTATACCAGAAATTTTTCTCTAACTTTTAATGATAGCAATATTTCTGAAAGGAAATTTCACTGGGAAGGTACTTTAGATAGATTGTTTTTCTATTTTTTCTAGAGTTTTCTCAACAAATGTAAAAAATTGGGAAAACCAAAAAAAAAAAAAAATACAACATTAAACAAATATTATTAAAGAAAATATATAGAGCCTATTTAATTATTTTACTATAATATGGCAAATATATTGATCACAAAGCATCACTATCAACTGAATTCCTCTTAGAATTGTTTTTTCGTAAGCAATGGTCTATGGCGCTTGAATTAAGTTATCCATGGTGAATATGAGTAGGTTGATAGTTATTAGCAGTTAACCAACAGTGTTATCATAACACTGTAGGACATTCTGTGTTCAATAATTGTTGATACAGTGAAAAAAAAAATTGCAAGGGCAGGAGGAAATTTCACAGAATACTTAAATAGGTACAGTTTTTTATATACAGTTCTTTCCAAGTATGATACAATTATTCAGTTATTTATAGCTACTTTAATTTTTTGTTTGATTTTTGTTTTAAATTGTTTTGGTAAATTGCAATTTATTGAGAAAAAAAGTTCAATGGAATGCAGTTTATTATTTAAAGCGCTTAAAGTTCAAATTTTAATGAAAATTAATTTTTTTTTTAAATATGTACCATCCCATGAGTGGAGGATTTAGAGGTTAAAAGGAACAGGGTGAATTTTATGAATAAAATATATATATATTATATAAAAAATTGTAGAATATAAGAAAACATAAAAAAAGGCACACCTCTCCGCGCCACTAATAGTTTAATTCACTCCAATAAATCTCTAAATCTCGTGTAAAATGGCTTTTAAACATCAATTTTTGTTAATTGTTATCCTGCATTATTTAATTTTTACCATTATGTTCATTATTGATAGGGCACAAGTCCACTTAATATATAAAAATACATATTAAAACTAACAGCACAAAGTTGTCCCTGCCGAACGCAAATTTGCTATATATCATTCGTTTGTATGACAGACAACATATTTGAGCATCATATCCTCTTAATACTTGTATTTACTTCAATATTTGCATGAATAATAAGTAGATTATATTTTTTTTTAAGACTATCAATATTTGCATAGGTAATTTCCATGTCTTTTCGTTTTAAATCTCTTCTTGGATTTACTAATACAGTTCTACCGCACAATATTGCCGGTTCAAGGGCCAATAAATTTGATTCAACCTATAAAAATAAATCACAATAATTATATGTTACAAAATTAATGACAAAATAATGTATGATTTACAATGCTGAGTTTTTAAAGGAATATGTTAAGACTCATACTTGAATACAAGAAATATTTTTAGCAGATAGGATATTTTAAACAAATTTAAGAGGAAGAATTAATAGCTTGGAAGTAGTGAGGAAGTATTGTTAAAACAGATCCTCTACTGTAGTCGGTTAAACTCAAAAAAAAAAAAGGGGGGGGGGGTTAACTAGAGAAGGCTAGTATGGTGAAGGTAATATTATGGTGGTACCCAAATGATAAACTGTTAGAAATATAAAGAGATATATGATAGATTTTAATCCAAATACAGATTGGTGAAGACTGGGATGAATGGAGACACGATTCATTTAGATGTATTTTAAAAGAAAAAAATATATATTTAATATCTAAGCTTAGGGACTTCCAACTCTAAAAAACATGCTAATATTCTTTAAAAAATATCCAAATATGCACCAAAAATGTTGTATTGAAATTGTATATTAAAAAGCTTAACTATAATTATTATTTTTTTTCATTATAATGGTATTTACATTAAAACTTTGTTTTGAGATGAATAATTTGAATTATTGATCAAACTAAATGGTTGTTTGTTAACTAAAATAACAATTTTATTATATTTTATTGGACTATACTATCGCACATCAAAATGTATGAATTAGAACAATGTAAATTTATAAAAGTCTTGTATAATACATTGCATGCAATAAGATGATATAAGTGCAAGTTCATTTATAGCATTTAAAAGTTAAATACTGCAAAAATATGCTCTAAAAAATAAAAACTGTAAAATATGTAATTATACACAAAATTAAATTTAGGATTTAGATTCTTTACATATTGAACAGTATATATTATTTTTAACTCTGCTATTTCATTAATCATTCAAAACTAATATGCAAACGCTAGAAATCTCTAATCCTACTTATATTTATTAGAGAACAACTTACATCAATCAAACAGTCATGTTTCATTATATCCAATAATATGATTACAAGATCGGCATAGATATTGGGTAACGTTGAAACTGCTGACTTTACACTGATTGCTTTATGAACTTGAATTTTTGTAAAATTATTGTTTTCATGGTAATCAATCAATGCTTCAGTCAACAGAGAAGTCCAATTATACTTACCAATCACCTAAATTGATAAAAACAATAAGTAAATAATATGGTGTAAATTATGTTTACAATACCACTCAAAAATCAAGATTCATAAATATATATTTGATTTTTTGAACTTTATTATTTCCTAGTTAATAATAACGATACAATTAGAATTTGTTGGATAGAGTTAACTTTGAAGTTTTCATGAGTGATAATATATATATATGCTATGATTTGAGTTATATAATAAATATAGGTAATTGTAGTATGTAGAATAACAATAATCATGGTCAAACAAATTTGAACATTTGATATTGGGATAGCATATGTGCAGTGCGCGTAAAAAAAGAAAATCACAAACTTCAAAAGCATATAAGGTATAAACTATAGGAGTATAGTTTATAAATCTGTAATTTTGAAATCAACAATATCTAATTTTACATTATTCTTAACTAAATAAAAAAATATTTTTGTTATGGTAAGCTAGATTTAAGTAAAAATATTTCAGTCTTACAAGAATGGTAAAAGGATGTTTTATTGCTGCCTTTGGGTTACATTTGAAAAATGTCTTTTGCCCGTCTTTATTTGACCTAGACGAAGTACCAGAGTCATCCATAACTATTATATTTTTAATTTCTGAGTGGTTAAATTAAAACGATAAAAAAAACGAACAACAAAACAAGTTGGAAACATTCAACGATTCAACATTTTAAACACTAACGGGTTTCGGGTATTATGAATTACTAATTACAATATTGTTTGTTTTTGTTGTCAATTATCATAGTATAACAATCATTCTGTGCCCTGTGGTACTAATTTTTTTTTTTCCTAGTGGTACTACTACAGAATAAAATAATAATTACTGGCCACCATGGAGACTATAAATATATACAGATATAGATAATACAATCTATACCTATGTCGGAGTTTTCAAAAAATTGATAAGAGGTCAAAATTCAATGTTGCCAAACCAACATTTTTTTAACGGCATCAGAGACTTATAATATATAGACCACGCATTACGATTGTTTTGTGTAAAACACTTTCAAGCCAATATATGTGCGAGAGAGATAGACTCTGACGTTACTTTTCCAAGGAGTTCATAAAAAATGTATACAAGAATCTTTGAAATTATAAATATTTACAAAATGAGGATAATGAAATTGATAATATGAAAAAATATTACAATTATTAATTTTATTATGTAATGATGATAGCGTTATCAGCAATCAGTTAAATATTAAATATTATAAAATTGTTTATAACCTTGAAAAAGTAACACCAAAGTCTTTCTCTCTCGCACATATGTTGCCTTTAATATATGTTTTGTATCGTGAAATACTCTTTTCTGATTGGTTCATATTATCATGGTAGATTTTTGATCGTGACTACGAATACGTTACCGCGAATACAGCAGAGTTGAATAAATTCAATTTTTGGTCATGCTGGTTATTCGTGATTGAAATGAACTATTGATAGCGTTCTAGTCGACATTAATGATAAGGCTAACGGGGAGATGGATGCTATATCATAATACTAGAATAGAAAAATATTAATTTAGCCAAAATAATCCATTTCTTACTAGTTTTTTTTTTAAATTTGCTTATTAAAGCTTATTTTGTTTACAATTTGTAGTGATTAAAGTACATAATGTTTAATTCTGTAATAGAAATCATTTACATAATTCAATGTATTGGTTAAAAGACCTTTTTGTCGAAGGTTGAGAAATAGTTAAATGTAACTATATTATTGAAATAGATTTTAGAGGAAAAAAGACGTCCTAGGATAATAGAAATTTATTTATGATTATTACAAAGAAATTCAGAAGTCAGTACCAAGTACTCAATTTTTCAATATAATGTAATCAAACGTATATCTTCCTCGTTAGAGCAGCTCTAATAAATTCCACCAGGTAGCGACTCTTTCGTTTTAAATCGCGAATAGAATGCATTGAAATTGACTTTATGAGATAGTTTACTACCATTGATCATTTCAATTACGACTATGCATTTTACAAACACCTAATTTTATTTTTATACGATATTAAAAAAAACGATCAAATAGTGTCTCATCAAATTTAATTGTATACTAAGTCACACAAGAGGTAGACGCTCCGCCTTTTGCACATCAGCGAGAGTACAGACTACAGTGGCCGAATTCCTCCCACTTCTTACCACTAGGCGGCGCATAAAACCACGGGCAAAAGTGGTGGGAGATGCGCAGCGGTGGATGATAAATCGTGTACTTTCTCTCGAAAGACGGAGTATATATTTGCGTTTAGCTGTTTGAAACGTTCTCTGTGAAGAATATTACCAAATAGATCAATGTTTATTGGTCACAAAAATGCTATTTAGTGTTAAGATTTATCCTATCCTGTACCTCTTGCTTGCACAGTTTTAATCTTTTAATTTGTATGCTATGGGCAACTGTAATACACGATGCCATGACAACTCATTTCTTATCAAAAAGTTCTAACTTCACTTTCGTATTAAATAGGCGTAAACGACCGAAAAAAGCAGTATAGCCAGTGTAGCCAAACGAGAAAAACAAAATATTTCCATTTTATTCAATACCACCCTATCGTCCACAGAAACCTGATTTTACGATACTAAATAAGTACTAATTAAAACAAATTTTTTTCATAAATTGTTATTTTCCTTTTAACTAGTCAAAGGAAAACTTCAAAATATCAAATATTTATTTGATTTTTTTTAATATTTTTAAATGATACATTTGATAAGTGTCTATGAATAAATTTTAAGATGTTGTAAAATTCAAAAAAATAATTCGTTGACATTGATTAATGATCAATGATATAATCCATTTAAATAATTTAAAACAATATTAAATAAAGTTTAAAACTGTTTTTAATTCACTTTGTTAACATTATACATTATAAAACATGCTCAAGTGTTGTTAAAAAATCAAAATTGTTGAGGTTTTTTAATACAAATCAACTACTGAGATGTATAAAGTCGTTAAAAGATTTGGATTATTAATGTTCTTTTAATTTCTTATAGGTAATGAAACCATAGCTTATAATCTATATGGTTGTTATTGTAGTTACCTAAGTACCTGTAGGAGCCCACCTACAGTAATATTAACTTTAATTTCTATTTATTTTACTTATATAAAATTTATTACAACTATATTTGAGACTATATATGCCTGAACTATCGTAAGACGGAGGTGTTTTCGTGAAGTCATAACAATTTCAATGGGTCAATTAACCCCCGCGCAACCAAATAAGGGGTTAGCATAGTAGTTAACCTACTTATTTATGTATATTGCAGAAATAGGGAGGCTACAATATATATGAGTAATAATAATAATAATTTATTTATTTCGGTCAAGTTACAATTATACACTTTTTCCATTTCTTTTTCACAGTAATTTTGGCAATGTTCATCACTGAGGAAACCTCTTAGATGATACAGGAGAACTAATCTGAACTACAAATATAAGAAAAAAAATATTAAATTTATATGGTTGATATTGAACAAAAAAATTGCTCCAGAAAATTATACTATGTATTACCCCTAATAAATTATATCTTCACTCGTCCTTTTTGGGCAAACTGTGTCTACTAACATAGAAATTTACTGGGCTTGGAAACCCAAAATTTGTCACAATCATATAAAAATATTTTCTGATAAACTCAGTAGACTTAAAGGCTTCATTCATTATAGCAAATTCGCAAACAAAAACACATGAGTTCACATTACAATATACAGTGATTAACATAATGTTAGACACTTACTAGGTACCTTTAGAAAGTATTAACTTTTTTCAGGATTTGTTTTTTATCATTTAAGAAACATTTAACTCTAAAATGTAATATAAGTACCTAATGGTTATTTGTTGTCACCATTATTTCAAGGGGTGATATCAATACAGATTTTTAATTTTTAAATGGTAACCTATCTTAAAAATTCTATATATAGGTTCTTAGATGGAGTAGGTATGTTGACTGGTATTGATAATTTAGGTTTTTCTAAAATTAAATATTTTATGTATACTTCATGCTGAATTAAAAATTAGGTACTTCACCTACATCAATCAGGCTAATGAACATAAAGTTGTCCATGTATAAATTCATTATTAGGTTCATTTAAAACTAAGGTTTTCCAAGGATTTTAAAATTGTCTAAAAAGGTGAGAAAAACTTTTACGCTCTAGGGTAATTCCTCAACTCTAAAATGTTGTCAAGATGACTTCATGTAGCTATTATCAGATAATCCCTAACATATGAGCGTGAGGTCTTAACCATAATGAGTACAATGTTAAGACAATTTTAAAAATTTAGTGTGAATGAACATTTTTGGTACAAGTAGTTGATGTAAGTACAAGTACTCGACAAAGAAAATATAGCAAGGAACTACAAACTGATTAGGTATGCGAATGGAAACAAACTTTATTAGAGGCCCAAAGATTCAATGGCCAGGAAACAAGTGTTGGAAAGAAAATGACCCATTAAGAGCATCCCTAGAATGGGTACCTTAAGGAAAAGGGCTACGGGTTAGATTCAGGAAAAGATGGTTAGATGGTGTAAGGAAGGACTTAAAAATAGGGATAGACAGCGGCTAAAACCACCAGTAATTAAGCCAGAAAAAAATATGATTATATCCCAAATGTAAGCTTTTGCTTTTAAGGAGTTCATAGGATGGGATACAGAACCCATATTTAACATACTATCAATCTAGGAAACCATATTTTTATTTCAAATACTAGTAGTTAACTGTATGACATGTTGTTTTCAAGTTATATATCTCTTAAAACTAAAGAATATAATTATAATATTAATTGATATTTCTCAATCTTTTTAACAAATACAAGTTGTACTATTACTTTATTATTAATATCCATTCACAAAAATTATAATACGGCCAGTTCATTGAGTGCTAAAAACTAAATGTCTGATTGTACAAATATTTTGTTTAAAATTACATAACATTAACACTATGGTTCGTAATAAAATAATCTTATATAATTTTGTTTCATTTCTTAAATTTTGCTCTAAAATTAACATCATCCCTTAAGCTCTGGGTGGACTAGTGTGTTACATAAAAATGTTATTTACATTATTAGTGTTTCAATTAAGTATTAGACATTATTAGTACTCCATAGCATATTATATATATATATAAAAAAAAACTTATATAAATATAAAAATGACTGGGGATTTAATATTTATTTTTTATCTACAGGAAACAAACAATAATAAAAAGAAAAAATGTTAAATAAAATACATTATGACACAAACAATTTAAAAATTATCCCAGTGCTATTATTTACACAAATTGTTTTATTATTAATTTATTGCCAGAAAATAAATGATGTGTGAGAACCAAAGTAAAATAAAACATAAATAAAACAATGCTCATGAAAATACTAGTGTTTGGTTTTGGGACTAAGTGTTGGCGAGCTATTTGGACTGTTTGATTTTGCAGCACAAGATTTAGAACATTGTACTTGCAGTTCTTTCCAAGTACGGTCGCCCAGGAAACAAACTATAACAACAGTCATATTGTCGCACCCGAGGCCACCCATTTGACCATTGGGTGCCAGGCACCTTGTCATTAAATCTTCACAAATATCCTCAGGTTCCATGCCATTGCTAACACGGTGTCGTACAAACTCCACGACTTCCTTTAATCAAAAGAATTTAATTTGGTTTAAGCTCAGTAAGAACTTAAAAAGCAATAAGCAGTATTAATAATAACAATACAGCATTTTCTTAATACTAAACTGAATAATAAATATAAATTAAAAAAGATTTTCATTGAAAAATCTATTAAAAAAAAAAAAATTTTGAATTTTATTATAATCAAAATATATACAAAACTTTAATAATTATAATATATAATGTCATACCTCATTAGTCATTACATCCCAAATGCCATCACATGCTAATACAATGAATTCTAAATCCTTTGTAACTGGCTTTACTTCAATATCAGGCCATGCTATAAAATAAATTGATAGTATTTAATTTTTTATTAAATTATTGTTTTTAACACTAAAATGGATATTTCAGTATTTAATTAATGTTTCCTGTCATATCATATATTAATGCAGGATCAGCAGAAGTTTCTTACAAGACTTAATATGCTTTACCTCTCTTACGACTATTCACTTGTCCTACTTGCGTTAGGTATTCCTAATTTTTTAAATGGAAGATATATATGACAAATATTTAGTTCCTTTCAAAACTGCAATCCTACCAAATCAATTCGTTTACATAAATTATCCAATACCACACACGTTTTTTTGTTTTCTTTCGCATTTAATTTCATTTTAAATATCTACATGATCCATATCCTTGTTCTGTTAATACCAATCTCACTTTTGTGGTGTTATCTTGATTACATATATACATATATATATATTACAATATGTAATTTAATGTAATTGTCAGTTTTTTTTTTAAAAAAAATAGAATACATTTTAAACAAGGATAAGATAAAATAAATAAATATATATTATATTAGCAGTCCTTCATTTGCTTTGCCCATGCATAGTTTAAAATATGATAATGTGTTTTCCTTTGACTCATAGTTTCAAACTACAATTAACCATTGTTGCCTAAAAATATATATATTTTTTTAAATAATTTCCTTACCTGTCACAACTAACAATTAAAATGATCTAACTATTATATAATAAACAGAGATGGTTTATATGGTTATTAAACTAACTATTTCTTTAAATAATAATAAGATTGAATGCTATTAAGTTTAGACAGGTACGGAAGTTTTATAAAGAATATATTACAGGGCACTAACAACTAACTGTACAGGGTTGAAAACAGTGAGCCACAAGGGATTACAATTTTATTTTTAAATTTTTTTTTCGTTAACATGAGAGGCAATCCCATGCAAGACAACTAGTTATACAGTCAACTTGCAATACAAAAAAGGTCGATATAATGAAAATTTTAATATACCTAAGTTTTTTTTGGCTAAAGCTCTAGCAATCTAACAAATTTTTACAAAGATACTATACACATCTACTATGACTCCAATGAAAAACACATAGTTAATAAAAATAAGTCTTGCTATTAAAAAGTTTTTCTGGCATACATATCACAGTATATTATTGCTATTATGATAAGATGTCAATAAATTTTTAATAGTTCAACAAAAAATGTACAGAAATAGGTTTAACAAATTTTGATGTAACAAACTTTTTTTTTCGGTTCCTTGAAATTCATTATATATAAAAGATGATTATGAAAACAAAAAAAATGTGTATATAAACGTGTCCAGAATTCAAACTAGAGACCTCTAAGTTGGAATACAGTGTTAATGCTATAGCACAACAACAAAACAATTTAAATAGTGATACTAACTGTTTAATAAGACTTATTCTTACTAATATTATAATAATAAAATAAAAAAAATTTTTTAAATCAGACTGATAATTCCTGAGATGTGTGCATTCAAACATACAAACTTTTCAGGTTTATAATATTATACAAGTACAGATAACTCACCAATAACTACTTGTTCGTCTAATTTTTTTTGGTCATTTTTTTTAAATATATAATCGCCTAGAGCTCTAGATAGAGCTAAGTTGCCATTAACCCTGTTAAACATGACCCAACCACCAGCAGCTTCAATTCTTTTAGTTTCCAACTCATTATTTGGTTTATGGTCATATGATAATGGTTCTACTACACCACTTACTGATGCAATTGCTCTTGAATCTCCAACATTAGCCTAAGGTTTAAGTAAAATGTAAGTTAAGAATGCGAGAATATAATTTAAACCTAAATTTATTACTTACACAGTATAATACTTTATCTTTTACTAAAACAACTACAGCAGTAGATCCGGCTAGTTCATCTTTTAAAATATCATCTTCAGCCATAGCTGAATCCATATCCATAAAACCCTATAAAAATACATACTGCTAAAGATGAATTTAAGGAATTTTAACTACGTATAAATAATTATTACCAATTGTAAAGCATCACTGATTTTATTTTCTTCATATTCGGGTCTTTTGGTAATATATTTATGTAAATGCTTACCAGCATGTTGTGCTATCCTTGCACCTATAGATAACAACATTCAAATGATAAATGTATTAAATTTGTATCTAAATTATGATTTATTGTACATATATAATATTGTTTATTTAAAATTTTTCCCTTAAATTATATATTAGAAGTAATGACTAAAATGAAATAGGTATTTAAAAATAAATAATTTAATTTAAACATAAAAAATCATCTTTTAAAATTCATTGTGATTATATATTTATAAATTAGAAAAAAAACAAGTAGGTAGTAAAAATGACAAATTACTCATGCTATTCACTTAATAATGTGGTATAATTTGTTTTATGAACTAAATATCTATATAAACTTATTATAGTAGTTTATAGTTTTATGAATGAAATAGTAATCTATCGTAAAACTATACAATGAATATAAATTATTAACTAAGAGCTCATAAAAACCATTAGGTATCACTGAAAAGTGCATTTCCTACTAGTTATATTGATAAAGTCAGTTACTAGTATCCAGATTTTGATGTATGTTAAGCTTAATTTTCAAACGTAGCTGTTTTTAATGTAATTACCACCATGACCATCGTAAACCCCGAAAAATGCCGCATTTGGGTCATCGGGAAGTGCTAGTATATGAGTATGGGAATCTTCCATGTTGATTCTCCATCCTTGCATAGAACTGGAACCAACCTTTAAATACTGATTCTGACAGCTTTCTGTGTGTTTTGTGGTTACTGGTTCTGATAAAGTTTGACCCATAGTAATATACTAATAAACTGAAAAAAATTACACTGTGTACAAGTGTTACTAATATTATTAGAATAGAGGTACATGGCAGGTAGGCAACGTAGTAACTATGAGCAGCATATAAAAAAAAAATCAATGACAATGTTATCGGGCAAATAAATTTGGAATATTTTTCTATTAATTCACCAGAAGAATATTAGTCATGAGATCTGTTTGTGATAGCAGGAAAGGATCAAGGAGTCTAAAATGACCTACTTACTGTATTTGTACGATTCAATAAAAACAACAAACAGTGAATTTAGTCTTCCATCTCATGGCGCATATCATTGGATAACTATTTGGTTTTCAATCAAATAACAAAAACCGAATTTGAATGTAAAGATGATATATCTTGTCGTAATGAGTGATATAGTTTCAGCAAAATTACAATATACCTATTTTTTATTTTTTATTTACTTATTCAGATATGGGAAATTGGGAAAACGGACTGATGTTAGCAACGTGCCAACGTTGTCTTACAGATACGAATCTAACGATAATAACGCAATATTGCAATAACAAACGTACAAAACGAAAACAAGACTTTGTTGAGCCGTTTCCGACTGACGCACTGACGTAAAGTAAGTAGAAGAGATTAAACAACCCCGTTGTCGGAACAATTATAGTTATGTCGATTAATCACACTCGACGGTCTCATCTGACGTACATGTCGAGAAATAAAACTGTAAAAAAAAATATTATTAACAATCATAATAATATAAAAATTAAAAGATATTAGATAATAACAGTAAACGGACATCAGATGACATATATCTGAACGTCGAACACGGTTAAAAATGGTAGTTTTTTTATTCCAATCGCAATCGCGGTTATATCTAAGGTCCTATTGAGCCATTGAGGTTAGGAAACGGATTTCATACACAAAACACAACCCAAACTGAACACATCCTACAATAGTATCGTATGTATAGATAAGTACCTTGCATACCCGTGAATCGTGATTAGCGTCATCGTACCACTATACGTCTATATAGTTATAGTGTCTACTATGACAACACATTTTTAATAATTTTACAGTTTCATCTGCTTTTATTTTATTTGTTATTGTCATTGGTTTTACTTAACATACACGCTACGAATACGATGGCAGGTCCTCCAACATTTATTGAACTTTCACGGGAAGAACAAGTAAGAGAATATACTTCTGATACGAATAAAAAAATAAAACGATGCGATTGTAGTGTTACGATTTGGAAAAATAATATTATTATGAAACATTTCATCTGAGAATTAAATGAAATGATATAGAGTTATTTTTGTCCCATCATCATTTTAGTAAGTGACTACCTTCGATTTTATATTGCAATCGCGAGATCCCGTCGACTTGATCCAATTAAATGTTTTGATGGTTTTTACAAAATTCTTATTGTAAATTGTGTATTATATTATGTGAAGAGTGTAATTTTGTATTGTTATATTTATTAGATTTAATTTGATTTTAAAACTTTTCTATTGTCCATTTACTGAAAAATATAATTTATCAACTTCAATTTATTCGGTGCTCAAAAAGTTATGTTTTGGAGTGTACTTTTACATTACACAAGTTTTTGATAGTTTGGCATTTTTTATTTGTCAATGAGTATAAATAATAAAAAAAAATATATAGATTATATTATGTAAACATTATTTATTTTAAAAAAACAACCAAAAGTAGATAGTTATCCATAACAATTTGAAATGTAATATGCAAATGTCAAATCTAAATGGTTGTTAACATTTTTGTGTTTTCTAAGTTATAATTACTCAAGAAAATAATTGAAAGTGTTAAAAACATTATTTAAATAGATATTCAGTTACTATTTAAGTAATGTTACATAAATGTTAATTTTTGTTGGAAGGCATTGGAATTAAGGTCATATTTACGTAGCATTGGAGCTAGTTTGCAAGAAAAAGGACCAGAAAACATTGAAGATGATATGCAAGAAATTATATCTAAATGCGATACTTGTCTGAAGACAGATTTATCTGACATTGATATTGAAAGTTTTTTGTGTTCAATTGTATCAGTTATAATTGGAATTGGGACAGTGGATGTAGAGAGCAAACTTGTAATTGATTTCAGTCAGAAACTATTGAAGTATGAAGACGAACGTTTCGGCAATATCATTCTTAAAACGTAAGTAAAAGTATATGGTTTATTTTAATATTAATTTTATTTATTTTGATCTGTTTTATATTTTAGTTTATGGTTGTTGTATGGTACAGTTGATCCAGTATTACCGGCTCGATTCCAATTATATTCAGATATAGTAGATGTGGCCAAACGATGCAAACAGCTTTTATTGGTCTACAAGGGAATTAATAATCTCAACAAATCACTTCTCTCGAACAACCATACTAAGAAACAAAAACAATCACTCTTTAGACAATTGCACGGTGCATTGATTGAAAACGGACACAGGTGCAGTCTAATGATCATTTATGTAATTTATTTTGAAACTTATTAAATAAAATGTATTGTTTAGTGAATTGGCTGCTGAAGTGATGATTGAACTTCTCCGAAACTACACGTCTGATGATGGCAAACAGGCTAAAGATGATGCCAAAAAATGTATTGCTTCTGCTATAGCTGATCCTAAAACATTTTTGTTTGAGCCATTGTTATATTTGACTCCAGTTATATCATTACAAAATACACCACTGCACGAGCTCTTGGTTATATTCGTTTCTGGGAATCTTACAAATTATTTAGATTTTTATAAAGGCCACAAGGATTTAATTAAATCATTAGGTAACATCTTTAATAATAATATCTAAATTTTGTTTACTGAGAAAATATGAATGCGCAGAAATAAAAAATATCAATTAGTTGTATGTGCAAAGTAGTCATACTCTCTGTAGGCGAATGGAGCAAAATAACCAATATATTCCTATAGTATACAATCTGTATTTATTTTGTAGGATTAGATCATCAAGCTAATGTGCATAAAATGAAACTCTTAACTGTCATGAGTTTGGCAGTAGACTCGAGCATCATATCATTTGAAACAATACAACAACAAGTGCAAATCAATGCAGAACAAGTAGAACCGTTTTTACTTGAACGTATGATTAATAATCGTTCTTATTCAATGTATTTAGAATTTCACAATTACAATGTTTTCTATTTTAGTTTTTGGAACTAAATTAGTGCGTGGTCGTATGGATCAAGCTGCAAAGAAAGTAAACATTTCAAGCTCAATGAATCGGACGTTTAGCAAACATCGTTGGCAAGTGTTGAGGGATTCATTCTTTAGTTGGCGATCATGTCTTAGTGTTATTGAAGAAGGAATGAAAACTGTTGTATCAAATTCTCAAACAACAATTTAAAAAAATAAACAAGCTGTTTCTAATTAAATTAAATTGACATATTTATTAAATATTTCTGGAAAATAAACTTAGTAAAAACCATTGGGAATATTGGTGGTTCAGTCACAATATAACACAGATGATAATAATAATAATTGTCATTATGAATTATACACAAATGATATGGAGTGATACATTTTTATCACATAAATAAATTATTGATCTTAATTAGCTTAATATTTAAAAAAAGGTGAAAAAAATATTTATAAAATAAATGGGCCAAATAGCTATTTAGATTTGGAACTAAATCATCTGAACATTGAAAACTATTTGTACTTGGATTAAAAATCATTGAGTTTTGAGATCATTTAAAAAAGTTGTCGGTGGTGTGGATGGAGTTAAAAAACAAAGTGCTTTTAAACTCATTTTGTAAATATGTGTTCTTTGGTAACTAATTATTTTTAATTTTTTTATGTGCGTATTAACAAATGATTTTTAGGCCCAATTACATAACAAAAAGCAATAACAAATAAAATTAAAAACAAAATATACTTTTTATGTGTCCTTATAAGTAGGATTTTTTTTTCTAGTGGATATGTATTTTTATCTTTATTCTTATTATGGTAAAAGTTCCACATAGTTTTCTGGTACTAGACCAGTCTTCCCGTTTAATGTGCCTTCTAACCAGCCAGGTTCACAAGATGATCGCACTGTGAAAAAAAAATAGATCTTAAATTCAGTGATCAAATTAAAATAAACGGTACTTTTTTCACAACAATAATTAAAAATTTAAAAACAATAAATTGAAAATACCATTTGTAATTATTTGGTTTGGCTCAAATGACAATTCGCCATCATTTTCTCCAAGACATGCATACAAAGTACGGACTCTTCTACAAACAAAACGAGCACAATTTTGCTGTGTAAAAATTAGGAGACTAAAAGAGGTGGTATATTATAACGTAATATATTATTAGGTTTAAGTCAAGGATTTAAAAAATAAAAGCAATTAAAGAGGTGTAGAAAAATGCTGTGGTTTTTAAGTATACATATTAACTAGTGCAGATATTTATATGCTTTTACATATTACTAATAGTCAAATAAATATCTATTTTATACCAAAATGTGTTTCGTGACTTGAAAAAATTATATTTTGAGCTATATTCTTTGGATTTTGTACATTTTTAAGAAATGTTCAACATGATTTTTTTTAGTGCATCGTTTGGTATTTGTCGTGCATATCTGCTTATATATTTAAACATTTTTAGGAAATACAAATATCTGCCCTAATAATAACATTGTTGATTGTTTAATTAAATGCAAACAAAATAATATTGAGATGTTTAACATGTAAACAGTGCAAGTTTAAATTAATAACTAGTAAAATATTGAGTAAATAATAATAAAAAATATTATCGATTTTACTATTGTGAATAAATGTTGAAATACAGCAGATCTCTTCAGTTTTTAGGTATAATATGTCATTATGCAGCAACCAAAAAAATTGTTAGTAACAAGACAAATTAAACAAAGTATAATATGGTTAACCTTAATGTTAAATGTGACTGAGGACTAATGCGACCACCAATTAATGATGCCAGATGTGAACCACTTATATTCCAACACCAAAAAACAAAAAAAAAAGACAAATTATTATAATATTAGTAATTTTAGTAGAAGTTATAGATGTATACAGAACTACCATATTTGATGTAAGAAGTTGGACCAAATTTAAAATTAAATTTTGAATAGTAGAACAGTAATTGTTATTTTATTCAAAATGTTCAATTTAATTTTGGTTATACTCCACTTGCAAACCAGTATACAGTATGCACACATTAATAATGTTATATAAAACGCATGCACCCAAGCTGTTCAGTTTCTGTTCAATACTTACACAGTATCTTGAGGTCTATAGCTCATTGCATAATGCACACCCATTTTAATACTTCTCTTGGTTTTCTGTGGTGCCCTGGACGGTTGCATTTGTGGGTTATCTAAAGAGAATACTGAACAAACGGATTCATTTGAACTACTAGAACTGCTGTTGACTGGATTCTGGCTGTCCACAGAGTAGTAATAATTTTTGTTTGGACTTGCTGCATGTGTTACAGGCTTACTGTATACATTCAGATTATGAAGATTGGCTTCTGATAACGCACTTGAAGTAGATGATGTGAGACTCAACTAAACATTTTTTCATTATTACCATCAATTTTATAGCTAATAGCTTAATTTTAAAGAATTAAAATCATCACGATTGTAGCATATTTAATATCTATTAAACAATTTTAATAGATCTTAAGTAAACTAATGAAATTAATTACAAGTACAAGATGCAAAGAGAAATTATCTTATTTGTTTTTTTATAGTATTTATAAAATAAAAGCATTATTTTTGTATAATTAACCATTAGTTAATAATACAAAATAAAACTCAACAAATCTTAAATAAATGTAAATACATATTAACATGAACACTTTAAATTATTTATTATTAAATGTATACTTAAATTAAGATGAATGTTAAACATAATATTTAAACTATTTCTTGATCTAGCCAAAAAAGTCCAACAGAAAATATAATTAAAAGTTTTTAAAAATGTATATAGGTATATTATTAATTAATGTTTAATCTGTTTGAAAATTTTCAATCTATTAAATAATACTACGATGTACCTATTTCATATTTCTAAATTTTAAATGAAACTATTATTTTAAAAGATACAATTTAACTATAAACTCTTTTGATTTACCCTGTTTAAATTAGCAATGGGTATAGAGTGTGATGGAATGGTAGGTGTTGCACCTACATTGTGCAAATTAGTACTTATCAATGGTCCATCGTTGTACGATTTTATAATTGCCTGAATAAAAATTAAATTAAAAACTGGTATGAATTTAAGTTATTTTCTAATGACTTACATGAGTAACTGTTGGAGTAACAGGAGAATATTTTAATTTCTGAGATGAAGAAGACTGTTGATGCCCTGAAGTTGGTTCATATTCTATGTCTAGGTCAGGTTCAGTTTTAAAAATCTAAGGGAACATTTTTTTTTTAGTAAAATCCTAAGAGTTTATTATGTCAAACATTACTTTAGCATAATTCTCAATAAGTATTTCAACCACGACATTACAAAATTTAATATCCATTATTGCCGCAACTGTTTCACGTTCAGGTCTCATGAGTGTTGGTCCAAAACATACAGCTATATTACTTACTGTCATGAGATTCTGTTCACTATGGGTCACAACACTGAAATATAAGATTTAAATGTGAATTTTTCACCTATGTACATTTATGTTTATTAAAATAATTTGAAGACCATTACATACTTGCACAAATGTTTAACTAATAGTTCTAACATGTTAAAATTTTGTTTAGGAATTTTGTGTAGAAGAATATGTACATCATTTATACGTTTCAACCTCAATTCATGTTCTAAAATGATCAAAGAGAAAAAAATAAAAAAAAAACAACTCATTATGTTTAAAAAATCTTATCTTACTGGCAGCTGATATGAAAGCATTATGATATTTAAATGTCATTAATGGTTCTGGCAAGTTTCTTAAAAATAGCTTTAAAGCACTAGTAATTGTTTTAGTTTCCCATTCAATTGAATCATCAAGGAAGTTCAGTGAGTTTAATCCATTAGTTGTTTTTCGACGGTCCAATCCCATTGCCAAAAGTTTAGTTATTTTAGAGCTGACACCTCCAACTCTATACAATCCTTGTTCATCTAAACCTATAATTAATAATAATACATACAGATATTTGTATAGTCAATTGTCAGTTTAAAATGTATACCTCGTGATTCAACTGTTTGAATACATTTATTTATAAAATTAAAACCGGCATCATCTAAAAATATATTGTTATCACTGCTATTTAATGTTGGTACAGACGGAACACCATATTCCTGTAAAAAATTGCCGTAACAAAAATAATAATAATAAATATAAAAAAAAAACTGTATATTGTTTCAATTTATCCAATATTACTGGTTCTTTGCCGTCCATAACATCCATCCATAGCTTACGATCTTCCTCTGATAACGCTTGAAATGTGTATATTATACCAGGTCTTTAAAATAGAATAGAATAAAATAAAAACGCCAACAATACTAAAATAATTTAACAAATACTTACCTATCGTCACTAGTAAGATCAAAACAAAACCGTTTATCAATAGAATCAGACATTCGACGAATACATGACGAAATTATCATTTTTTCTGATGTATTCTATATAATAATTTAACAAAATAAATATAGTTTCAAAATTACACATATAAATAAAAAATACTGGAAGATAAAAAGCTTACAAATTTTCCAATCATTTGATTAAATGTGATCATTTCAAATTCTTTAGTTTCTCTTCGATATATACAATAATGTTTAGTCCACGTAGTTGTACTAAGCGCATCTAGACATATAAAGCAAATTATAAACATTTTATATTATACAAACAGTATTTAAATAAGTGTTATACCTCCTAATGATTTATTTTGCAACCATTTGGTTGCTTGTCCAGTGTTTTTAAATCCAGGAAGCTCTAAACAAACAATATAGCAATTAACAAAAAGTATTTATAGACTGATTAAATAAAATATGTTTACTTCTTTCTAAAAGAAACAGATAACCTTCTCTTGTAACTTTCTGATTATTGCTGTTAGTTTCCAAAGATTTCTATATAGGAAAACAAATACAAGCTTGTATTAATGCCAAACCAAAACTTAATTATTGTGTTACAAAATCCACAAATATCTTACAGACTGTCTCATTTCCAGCATTTTTCTCATTAGAGATTCAGTCTTGTCACGGGTCTCATTAAAATTGTCTCTAGTCTAACATTAGCATTATACACACATTAAAATAGGTTAATACATTAAGTTAAAAATCAAGACAAAGGCTTAATTATTTCAAACCCATTTACTTTTTGTATTCTAAACTGCAATTCACGCATATAAGGCTTGAAATCTTCGTTGACTTCATGCCCTTGATGGTAAAACGTCAACCAGCTGAACATGAATCCTAACATCTAATAAAAACATAGACTTAGTAAAATTTCCAAAATTATAGAACAATGTTTTTTCTTTTTTAAAATAGTACACCTATTTGTTTTTAATACTGTAGACTACTTTTATCCTAGAAAACTTGCTCCGATGTAGAAGTGTAGCACTTTTTCTGAATTTCAATTTTATCTACTAGGTAAATACATAGGTCATTTTTTGATTTTCGAAATAGTGTTTAAAATAAAAACCACATTTTTTTAGCACAAATATGGCGCCAATTGAAAAACGACAAAAGAATTTTTTGTTCAATTATTAATCTTGTTTTTATTGATGCAGGTCGTTTTATTATTTTTAAATTAGTTCATAATAATCGGGAAAAAACGTAGGAAGGTGGTAAGGTTAAAAAAAATTGTAGCACTTCAAATTATGTATTATCAAACTGTGCTCAGAATCGTCTTTTGTCGGCAATGGTTTACCGTTGCTTACAGATATAAATGAAATAACCTTATGAATCCTACCTTTCCAACTTCTCATTTATAACAGTGGCCGCACTCGTCTCCGGTATCACCTCTTTTTTATAATAATTTTAGTTGCTAGTTTATATTTTAATTATTAAAAGTGATTATATAGAAAGTGATTTTTACTGTTAAAAATATGTTAAATTACCTTTAGATTATTACATTAATATATTGAATTCATAAACAAAATAACTTACAGTTTCAACAAATTCAAATTTTTTTCTTTCTTGAACTTCTTGAAGCAAAAAAACATATTCAAGGCTAGCTTGACAAAAATGACGTTGTTCCATTTCAAGTGTTGCATCAGCCTAAAAAAAAAGTATTAGGTTAAGAGCCATATATATGTATATAATTATAATAATAATAATAATAATTTGATGATGAAAACACAAACCTCTTGAAGAACTGAATCTTGTTTTTTAGTGGATAGATTTAAATAACGTTCTTGACTCTGACAAAATTTGGTGGTTTGTTTTTCAAATTTTTTTTTTCCGTCCTAAAATAAAACACATTTTATACAACAGTTCTAATATAATAATATTGCGTTTGATAATAGTTACTGTTTTTTAAAATTGAATTTCTTACTTAGGTATTCAAAATAAAATAATAATTCAATTTCAGGGTTAGATATGTATTAAAACTTGGAAATATTTTAATTCTATATAAGAGTTTATATAGGATGTGATCCTATAAGTTTCGAAGATATTAAGATTTGTCCAAGAAATCAACCTTAACAATGCAAGAACTTGTCAAAATACACTTTTGTTACCTTGATAATAATTAAATAAAATGTGATCCATTTAAATGGATACACTAAGTATCTAGGAAAGTAAGTAACTTTTTTTATACATTTAAAGTAGGTAGTCGTTTTACCCTACTCTAAATATATTAATATTTTTCAAGATGAATGTACCATTTAAATAGATTTTCTTTTACTGTCATACTGATATACTGTACAGAATTACACTATACTATATAGTGTTTGGAATAAAATCACTTCCTTTTTAATAAGGAAAGGGTTCACGTTCATCTTGTTAAAATGGAACTAATTCCAGGCTTGGTCCATGACTGAATAAAGGAATAAGTTCCTTTCTTCGTTCCTCAAATAAAAATAAAATTCATTGATCTATGTATATATATTTTTTTGTGTTATTATATTAGTGCTAAATGTGATGTATTAAGTAAATAAATTATACAAAGTAAAAAAATTTTAATTTCCGGATTTAAAATCAACTATTTTCATAGGTACATAATTACAAATATTACTATGAATACTTTCAATGTTATTGAACATAATATTGATATAGGTTCAATTTTATACATATAATACATAAAATGTCCAAAGATAAAATTATAAAAATACGAATAAACAATACTAATTGGTCATGTCAGAGGCATTTCCAGATATTGACCATGGGGAGGTGAGGACGAAATAATTAAATTTAATAGTAATAATTGATAAGAAAAAAAGACTGACATACTTCGCACGATGGGTGGTTCACTGTTATAGATGAAAATTTGGGAAGGTATTGAAGGAAATTTAATATATCTGTACATAATAAAATTTAAGCATTGCCAACAAAAAACGATTCCGAGCAGAGCTCGGTTAATAGTATTGCTCAAGAGCGTCTTTGGGTCAATTTTATCGCTCCCCTTGCGAACAATTTTTACTCTTGGATATAACCGCTTTGGTTAACAAAAACTTAAAACCTTTATGTCATTTAAACTTATATTAGCTTAGAAGACTGCAGATATATTGTACAAATGCAGTCAAACAGTACAATTTAAAAGTTAAATTAATTTTTTCCAATTAAAAAAATATTATTTAAAATAATGATAATATGAATAATAAAAATAATAATAATAATTATTAAAAATCAGATAACCAAGTCCAAAATGCTTTTTTTTGCAACAGCATTTTGATCAACAATATTTTTTATATTAATGTTTTCATTTCGATGAATATTTAAGTGATAAGCCAGTTAGCCTCTGATCAAACATTTTTTTTTTTATCACAATGTACGACTTTTAATGGACCTCGTGTTAAATTCTCAAGCATTTCTGTTTGGTCTAACAATTTTATCCACAGAGTACCTATCGAATAGAAATTACATACAAAACTCGCAAAACTAAAATGTCTATAAATTGCTCAAAAATTTTACCACGTTACGAAAAGACAAATATAAGTTTTCTGACAAAATGTCAAGTTTAAGAATATTTCTAACTGAATTACAACAAAAAACAAAATTGAAAATAAAAAAAAGCATTATTTTCGTAAATTTTCATGTTTTATCCTGGGTTCTCTTGATATTATGAAAACGGCTAGACAAGTCAAAAAAGACTTTCCTAAAGTACCATCTAGTCAAATATAACAATATTTTTTTTTCAAAAAAGATGCCACATTTACATATTAAAGCAAGATTTCTGGTAGAAACTATTGTTGCAGTATATATATATAAAAAAAAACATTGTAAATCCAATAGGTACATTCTTCGCTACACTCAGAGTCTAAAATTTAAATTAAACTAATCATTTCCAATTATGATTCTAAAAAAATTAAATATTTTATTATATTTTTACAAATTGATTGTTCCTACTTAGTTTTCCATAATTTTATCTCACCCTTGAGAGGATATTTATTGAAATTTATAAATGAGAAGTGTTTCATTATTGTTTTAATCAAAATATTCCAAGATCCAGAATCATCTTGATGGCATTTGGAACCAGTTGCATTTGTACTTAAGAATTATGAATATTTTGTATATTAAATAAGAACATAACATGGTTTATGGGGGGGACGAACGCTCTCCTAGCCTCCTTCTTAGAGCGCCTAGGTCATCCCCCTATAAAAAGTGAAAGAAATTCATATTAAAGAACGAGTTCTTTGAATCCATTTATTCTGAGCACTGATATACCACGGATATTCGCATTATAGCAGGAATTAATCACAAAAAAGACGGAAATACTTCGCACGATGGATGGATTGTAGGTGAGAAGTTGAGAAGATAGGAATATTCAATATGTATAAGTACGCAAAAATTAATCAATACTAACGAAAAATGATTATGAGGAAAGTTTAGTTATATATTTTAAAAGCGTAATATTTACGAGTTTTGTCAAAATTTTATATTAAAATTCCTATTAAGAAAAAAAACTACTACATTTAAATCAACTTTTTCTTGTTAACCAATAAGTACAACTTATAATGAACCTCCTGTTAATGATCAAGCATTTTCAGTTTGATTTAATAATTTTATCCACAGAGTACCTAATAAATAAAAATTAATTAAAAAACTCGCAAAATTAAAATGTCTAATAATAGTTCAAAAATGGATCAAATGTTTTTAAAATTTTACTACGTTTATAAAAGACAAATATAAGTTTTCGGTTCAAATTTCAGGTTTCTATGAACATTTTCAATTAAAACCAAAAATCAAAATTGAAAATAATAAAAGTATTCGTAAAATTTTCCGTTTTTTTCAAAAATTATTATGAAAACTGCTTGGAAAAAAAATGATTTACCTGAAGTACCAACTAGATAAAATTCAATTCCAGAAAAGGTGCTACACTTGATATACTTCATAGCAAGATTTCTGGTAGAATTGTTGTATACAGTATAAAAAAAATAAAAAAATAAACTACCTAAATAAACATAATTGTAAAACCAATACATTCCTTGCTCCGCTTAGAATCTAAAAGTAATACAAAATATGATTCCTATATTCAGTACTAAAAAATTAATTGTATAATATTATTAAAATAGTAGGTATTGTACGGAAGTAATTCCTAGTGAGTATTGTTATAGTTTGGTACTTACAAAAACCTATAGAATTAAGAGTTTTTACATACATCTAATACATATACTATACCATATTTTATTTTAGCCGTCCTCTTAAAATATGCTGGATAATATGTACAATGTTTAAACAGAAACTAAAATGAAACCTTTTTATAATTAATCCGGTTACGTATTAAATAATACGTATTTAGTATTTAGTTCAACGTTTAGTGCTATCGAGATACCTATGTTATTATTTTATGGACCAATTTTATTGAGTGTCTTGATTATAAATCAACACGGCAACGGTGTACTCTAAAGGCAACGCCCAGTAGACCGTTATACGGTTGGCGATTTTAGCGTTCATACAAACATAATAAAGATGTATATTAATTGCAAGCGATTGAACAGCAAAAAACTCTTATTACTTTGGAATCGAATAAATAACAAGTATATATATACATTTTGTCATACGAAAAATTGGCATACATATAACTACATAAGCATATTAGGTCCTGGTTGTATAATTTTATAGTCTCTAATTAAATATTAAAAGCAAATACAGTGATTTGACGTATCACGTAAAAATATGAAATTTTCAAGATTATGAAACAATTTTAGTTTTATATCAATGGAGGGAGGTTCCCTCCCTCAGATTCTACTTCGCTCATTCGCTCCAGTTCACCTGCCTTTTTAGAAAAATATTTTAGTAGATTGTGGTATTTTATACCAATTTGTATAGATAGCATTTAAATAATTATGTTTTCAGGAATGTGAAATGGCGATTATTTTATTTGCGTATTCATTAAGAAATAAATAATTTATTTAAAACACCATCTTATCGCATTTTCTAAGTGTGACAGTGCATTTTCTCAAATTGAGTCATAACTTATAAGTCATAATTAAAATCGGAATCATTTTAATTTATTACAAGATTGGCTTTATTTAAATTTAATAACACATAATAAATCAATAAAATATCTAATAAAGGCATATACATGATATACATGTAAGGCTTTTAAAAACTAAGTTGTGTCATTTAATACAAAAGTTTAAAATATTACAAATTTCTTAGTTTTATAGAAGTAATTTAATGATAAATATAAAAAAAAAGGTAGGGTATATAGGGTAATTTAATTTATATCTGCACGTAATGATAATCATTACTAACGAAAAGCGATTATAAGCGAGTTAACAAAGTTCGGTTAAACATGATATGAAATGTAATTATTTTTACAATTTTTATTAAATTTTGAACTTTAACGAATATAAAAAATAAATAGTAATTAAATTTCTTCTAATAATTAAATAAATATTATGATTAACTTCGTGTTAATGTTTTAAGCACTTTTACTGGGCAAAAATTATTTCATTCACATAAAGCCTAATAAAAACTAAAGAACTCGTAAACTGTACAAAAATATTTTGTTTAGGTTCTGCCAGTCCTATAAGCCTGGTCAAGCGTGAAGGAAAAAGGAAGAGAAGGTAAACGAGACCAGTTATTATCAACTGGTCTCACATTTGTATGTAAAATAATACGAAAATTGGTTTGTATGCAAGTGAGATGTACCCACGACACTGGATCAGGTACCATTCAGGAATAAAAAAAACTTTGAAATACTAAGAAATAATGTAGATAAGCTTCACTAGGATTATAATAATAAAAATATTATTATTATTTATTACGATTTGGTAATCATGAATTACATTTAATCTTTTAAGACAGTAAAAAAGATCAAATGTTTCATATCCCAAATCAAAATATTATTTTCAGTTTCGCTGACATCATCAAATGGTAGTATAAACAATACTAACAAACGGTGAACGAGGAAATAGAGAGCTTCGAAGCACGTACTTTCCTTATGGATAATATCTTAAACAAATTATATTATATGGGCTCAATGGATGGCATCAAAAACTTCTACCTTTATTAGGTTTGTTTTTCATCGATTAAACGATTCGTATTCCTATGGAGGTCGCACGGCTACATCCTCATCCATAAGAGTTAAATTACCAAATAACCGGTAATTGTTTTTTTTTTAATTTGAAATGTTTTGTTTTTAATGACACGTATATTTTAAAGTAAAGTTTTATATTTCATTTGCTTGTCGGACCGTCGTTAGACATTGATTTTATCCGTCATCATAATATAATGATGCAAACATATAAGTAATGAGATCTTGTTATTTTGATACTTTTAACTGGTACCTAATAATCAATTGCCATCTAATGGAGGTTTTTTTTGTTTTTTTACATACATATATTATGCATTTTAATAAAGTACTTACAAATCAACCCGTATACATTTACGTACATGGAGTATTACAGCTGATGTGTTGTCGCAAAGTGAACATTTCCCGGGTTATTTTATACATAGTGTCTCCGACCTGGTTAGAAACCCCCCTACCGTCAATATCTTTGTGACTTCATAGGCGGAACTATGGAATAAAACGGAGCGCTTACATTTTCCAAACGTTAGATCCTAGGTTTTTGACAACACAACAGACAATATTGTCAGTAGAATGTCTCGACAGTCTCAACTGTCAATAATATTCTTATAGTCGTCTTATTTCCGGCAATTGTTAATGTACATGGTAATATAGAATATAATCGTTTAGCAAAAATCAAACGATTTCACAGAGTAATCAATAGGGACAAACACGACGAGACGGCACATTATGTATAATAAATTGTAAATTAGCTACGCATAGTGATCATGTCGATTTTGTCAGATCGACTGAACTATAATTGGGTTTTCTTTCGATAAATTCGAATAAAAGTATATAAAAATAAATGTTACCTTTACGCCGCCAATGTGCTCCTTTCTGAAGTTTTCTAAAGGAATTATAAACTGATCATAAGCTCTAGCTAACTGAAATCATAAAAATAAATGATATTTTTATTGCATTTTTCGCCTTTAACCAAAAGCGGGAAAAATAAATATACCCAGTTAGTTTAAACTCTAAAGTATATAATTACCTACTAATAAATAATCGTAATCATTGTAATGATCTATATAAAAATTGATATATTAAAAAGAAATATTAAATAAAAGAAATCTTTAATGGTGCAAGGGTAATTAGGCAGTTTTGATTAGTTAAAAAAATATTTTGATGGTTATATGATCATAATTTATTAAAAAATCAAACTAAAGCTGATATTAGTCCACGGGAAGGCTCATCGTTGTCGGTTATTATAATATTATTATAAACGAATGTATATTTTCAAATCTTATTGCGGGGGAGGGGGGCGTGAAATTTTTTTTTTTCATAACTAAAATGATAAAAAGCAAAACATTATATCTCGTACGTGCATTAAACTCAATTGGGTTGTTGATTTGTCATGCTCTTCGTCACACTTTCACTGACACAAGGTTATTAACTAGGCCTACTGTAACCGAAAAAAAAAAAGTGTGCTACTGTCTCCTCGGGTGGCGTTTTACATATAATAAAATATATATTAATTCATATTGATAAACTGACCATTCTGTCTCTTTCATCTTCAATAGACGAGATGAGGCGACCAAATTCAGCCAGCGATCGAGTGATTACTAACTCATCGTCCGTTTGTGTTGTGCCAATGCATTCGAAATCGAATTGCTGTAGTGAACTGGATACTAAACGTTGAGCTCGAGACAAATCTTAAACAAATTTTAAAATATATAGGTATACATAATTACCATTATGCTGTATCATGTTGACCAGTATAATACAATTTGTCAGTCGGGTGCAATTAATTCTTTATATGAAATATGCATAATATATAAGTTATAATATCGTCATAATATGTAAATTTGTAAATTGCGAAAGTGAAAAAAGAGAGCGACTTAAAATTACTATAGGAATAAAGAGGCAAGTTATTTACTTAAAAGTATGAAAGTAAAAAAAAACTCTTGTTTATAATATTTATGCCATTAAGTCATGTATACATTTTATGATGTGTAATATTTAAAGACATACAAATTATGTAATTAGAGAAGCTGTACAAATACAATAGTACCTATAGTTTTAACAGAGTTTGAGTAAATCTTTGTCTTTACAAAAAGATGAACAATATAATATTTCAAATATAAATATTTTAAAAAAACAATTAGGAAAAAAAATTGAACCTGTAGACATAAAATGAGTCAATGATGAGTCACTTAAAACAGTGTAGGGTTTAACAATAAAATTGGACTCTATTCTTATAATTTATATACAGATAAAACCCTACATTTTTATAAAGTATACCTATTAAACGTCCAAGTCACATGCTGTAATTAATAATTATAATTTATAATAATATGCAGTAAAATAGTACGCATTAAAGTTTATAATACCAGACTTGCATACTCGGTTTTTTATAGGTACTTTAGTATATAATTCATATACATACCTAATGAATGGTGATAAAAATAAATCTTTTGAAGATTATCAGAGATTGAAATGAAACAAAAATAAAAATTAAAACCACCTATATTTTAGTAAAAAATTAGAATTCAATAGTTGATTTTTTAACTCATTAGTGTTAATGATACTCATAATACAAATTAGATAAAACTAATGAAAAATATCCATTATTTGTATTGAAGACTATGGGTAACTAACCAATCATCTACATTTTACAATACACCTTTTAAACGACGTCATTAAGGAGATGATTTAATGCAGATATCACAACTGATAGATATGGAAAAATAACTTCAGAAAAAACTTAACAATAATGTCGATGAAGATGAATAATAAAAATAGTAGACACAAACAGAAATTGGATTTGTTTGAAATTGCTTACTTTCGGCACAAGTCTCAATTGTAGGTGCATGTAGATACATATATTGTGATATTGTGTTGCTATAACAATATTATAAAATAATAAAATTTAAAGCAACAACAAATCATTATATAAGTTGTAATTGTTTGACTACGTTTTAAGACAACTTGCAAGTTTAACTCTCAATTTACATTTATCTTTTATATTGTATTTCAAAATAAGTATTATTATAATATTGAAATAACCTACATTTTACTTTATTGGTCTACATAAAATATAATCGTGGGCTCATATAATTTAAAAAAATTGACATTGTTTAATGCACAATTATAAATAAAGTTATTTTTATAAATATTACATATGCAGTAATACATCAATGCCACACATTTATGTCCAACTAATGTTTGTGTTCGATATGATACCTACTACAGCAAATTAAATTGATAATTATGCATAAACACAATAACCATTAATTTGTACAATCGACAAATAAACTAAATTGTGATGGGTATTGTTAAAAAACACGCTGATATTTAGGTCATAGTCGAACAACTAACCATCTTAAAAATAAACAAACATTGACAAGGTGAGCATTTTATGAAAATTCAAAAATGGAAAAATAAACCAAAGTTTACAAGACCCCAGAGACGTGAGATATAGTAAAATTGATTGTAATTACTAATTAGGTTTGGCTTCGGGATTCGGTAGAGTGTTTTTAAAATGTATGATAGTAAATTGAATATTATTTATTATTATACATTTAAAATTGTAATGATGAAAAAAAGTGTTAGCAGCCAGGGGCAAGTATTTTTTTTGCCATATTCCAAGGACAATTTTTGTGTACAGTAGATCACATACTGTGCAGTAACAAATTGAAAACATACAGTGGCACATGAAAAAGTGTTTTTAGGTCTCTTTTTGTAATTATTTTATGCATACATATTTTAGATTTTATACAATAATTTTTTTTTTATGCTTCCTCTATAGCCTCTAAATGTTCTTCCAAAGGTGTTTAGATATTTTAAATTATGGTTTTTTTTATTGTATCATTGTGTCAACATAATAATAATAATATTAATACAAAATGTATATTTTGACTCTTAATTATCATGGGCAACTAGTTGAAAATAAATGAATATAATTAAAAAAAAAAATATTTAACCATTTTAGATTTTATTGAAAAAACTATCTATACCTAACATTTACACACAAATATCATGAATAAAATTTCTGGTAAACTTTTTAAAAAAATCAGCAAATTATATGAAATCATTTAGCTATAAATAATTTATGAAATTGTATACTGCCCATAAAGGTCTCTATTTTGTAAAATGGTGAATGTGTACTGACTCATAATTTGATATAATAACCTACGAATATTAAAAAGAAAACAATTTTATATTTCTAAGAAAATAATCTACTCTAAAAAAATATTTATAATTTAGAACAATACTCCTTAGTTAGAAACTATAATCTTGAAACTAATATTGAGGTATTTGGCATATATATTTTAAAATTTAAAATTATAAAATATTCTATAGTTTTAATGTTTTACTTTAAAATTTCAAGAACTGTAATATTATTTAAAAATAAAACTGATATAAAAAATTCATAATAAATCAAGTGAACTCATCAAAAATGAATAAGTCATATTTTCTATCATATCATCATTTGCAAAAACTAGACTGATATTATAAAATATTTTTCAAGATTAATGTAGAAAATACCTACACTGTACTTAAATAAATTACAAAGTGAGTTATTATTAAGTCATTTATAATATGTACAATACATAAACAATTCATGTTAATGAGGATCCGGTTGTCATCTACTCTTAATATACATAACATTATTCAATTAAAAAAAAATATCTTTAAAAGTTTAAAATATAATTCACGTTCCATCAAGAAAAAATAAATACTTGAATAGACATATAAGATTTATAAATAGTTCCTAATAATTAATACGTTTAAGGTTTTCTTTAACTGACATAGTAAATAGCCCATGTCTATTAACATAAGAAGAATTGAACTTTGATTGACAATAATGAAATTTGTACAAAAACAGAGACACTATATGCTTGATTATGCATTTTAAATGAATACTACGTGCTGATATTCTTTTTCAGTTATTATAAGTTTTCATGCCAACAAAGTAACTGTACATAGTTGGCAATAATAATATATAACAACAAACTACTATGTAATGTATTTTGTGCCAAAACTCTTTTAAATCAAGAACCTTGTAAAATCATACATAGTATACAAGATATTATGTACATAGGACAATTACAGAATAAATATAAGTACAGATTACTACATACAATATATATTACAAATAGATAATAATAGAAATAGAAATAATTGTAAATAATGCAGTAGTTTTGTAAATATGAACAGGTTTGGGAAAACGAGTCATTCTGATTACCGATTTGTTTGGATTTCTTTTGACTTTTAACAAAAATCAATTTTCCAAATAATGAATGAGTGTTCAACGATAAAAGAATTACTCTGTGTATAACATGCAATGTACTGTATTATCTTACAACTAATATAGCAAGTATGATAATTATTTTACTTTTATCAGTTTCTTTTGTGAGGAACAGTCAACACAGAAATAGATCACTATATAGTCAAATGAGCTAATTTTTCTCTATTAATAGTATATTTGCCCAAAAAAATTTTAAGAGTTAAAAACCTACCCCGCCTAGTTTATATTACTTATTAAGTATATTACCTATTAAGTGTTACCTGGCATAATAATTGTTAAAATTTAAAATTAAAAAGTTAAATAAATTCTTAAAATATTTTTCAGTCAGTTTTAATTTTTATATTATAGGGGCCTAGATATGACCTCATTTTTTTTTCAAAACATGTTTTATAGAAAAAATTACTTAGAAGTATCTGATTTTGATAGTTTGTTTTTCTATTAGATAAGAGGTAACTTCATAAAGAGTTGTTAAATTGTAACCAAGCGTTTAAAAATATAATATTATCAAAATCATAGCCCAATTTCACTCTGTAAAAAGTTTTCTTCTTTCTAATACAAAAAAATATGATTAATATCGGTACACTATATGAGGCATGAGTATTTATTTGTAGATAATGTTTTTAAAAAAACAACAGTTCATGCACAGACAATATGAAAATAGTTATAGTTAAAGTTGTATATTAAATAATTTTTATATTCCTAGTTTTTATCTAATTTAAAATACATTTACACAATTTTAAAAAATTATTGATATATATGATAAAAAAAATAAAATAAATAGAATTTCATGGCTCATTCCTCAACCCTCTTCAATTTTTTGTAAATTTAACTTTTATCTTATGCAATTTAATATTTCATAGAAATTTCAAATACTAATTATATTTTATATTTATCTATTATAGAATATTAAGTTTATAATCAGCAACTTGATTTTACTTCAAATTTATTAATATAATAATTAACAATTTATTTATTAATTTTGTTGTTTGATGATTGAAAAAAATATATAAAGGACATAAATTATGACATTATTAAGCATTCAAATATTAATTTATTTTATGACCATATTTACATTGAAAATAGGAATATTTACTTATACATGGCATTCTAATTTAAGAAGTACCTACCTACCTACTTTGGATTTAAAATGTTGAATAAGTCAGTACTTAATATAGACACCTAGATATATTAGTTAATTATATAATGTATGACTTACTTTTGGCAGCATTTAGTAAATCTTTCAATTCTTTAATTAAGCGTTTTATTTGTTGATTGGTTTTCTGTAATTCCCTTTCATGATCATGTAGTTTTTGTCGAAAATATGGACTGTCAGTAATACAGTCAGAGAATTCCAGAGGCTGTAGTCCAATAACCATTTTAGGTGATATTAAGCATTCTGAAAGATAATAAAATATAGAAATATAAAACGAATATAAAAACAATATTTAATATTAACTGTAAGAAATTTAAATTACCAAGTGTAAATATAAATTATTATAAATAATAAATTAAAAAGATTTTAAATATTAAAAAATTATTAAAAATATTTTTGTTTTAAAAAAACATACTTTTACAATTTTTGTTAAAAATAACAATAAAATACTCAGGTTTTTAACTTGGTTAAATATAAGCAAACAACTTCTTGGCGTTATCGTGTCCAAAATGGAATTAAAAACAAGACTGATAACCTATTAACCTAAAATACATAATTTATTATACTTCAGGTATCCACGGTCATATTAATGCGGTAATGTAAAATATCGTTATCTGTGTTGATAAAAACTAATTTGATTATAGATTGAAATTGATAATGATAATTTTTCATAAATGTACACATCACTCGATTCGGTATTTTTTTGTTATTTTTCAGCTAATTATTAAACGATTTAAATTCTGTATCTAAAATAATAAAAACGTTTCGATTATGTTTTTTATCAGAACATATAAATTTATATTTACTTTATAGTTTTATTTTTTAATAAAAATAATTTAAGTACGTTCATGGCTCATGCATACATATGGTCTTGTTACTCGCTGTTATAACCATTTACTTATATGTAATTAAAAACTGTACCGTTTGTTAGCAATGGATTTTCGAGCATTGGAAAACGAAAATCTACCGCCTCTGTCAAATCCTACTGAAGTGCCGTTGCCCAAGTATCCAATTTGGACAGTTGAGTATTTTCAAAAATATTTTGATGTTACTTCGGAAGACGTAATTGAACGCATTAGAGGGGCTCTGATCCCTTCCTATGGAGTCAACTACTTACAGCGCTATATTAGAGCAAAACCTGACGTATATGGCCCATTCTGGATATGCTTGACTTTAGTTTTTTCTATTGCCATTAGTGGAAATGTCGCAAATTACATTCAAGTAGCTGCTGATCATGACTACAATTGGAAATATAATTTTCATGCTGTATCTTCAGCAGCCACAGCAATATTTTTATATGCTTGGTTACTACCATTAATACTATGGGCCTTTATCAAATACAAAGAGCCACAGGTAATTGTTACAATACTAACTATGTTATATAAACGAGTGTGTTTTTAATTCAGTTTTGGAATGTTGTTTAATATGTGTTTCTGTTAATTAAGAGAAACTTGGAAACAATTTAAAAAGTTCATACAAATTTACTTTCCTTAAAAATTATAGTATAATAGCTATTTAGGCATCTACATTTTGTAAGACCGCCCAGGAAATTTGGTAAAAAAATAGTGTCTGCACTCAAAATATTTTTTTAAGTATGCTCACTTTATTTTTGTGGTTAAATTACGCATACATTTAAATTCTGATTTTTAGAACTTTGGAGTGTAATGTGAGATGATATTTTAATATACTTCATTAAAATATAGATTTTTCATCATATTTAAGTAGTATTCTGTGGCAATTTTAATTTTGATCCTACATGTTTTAATGCAAATTGTAAATCAGATGATTTTTCTCAAAATATTGACAGATTTTAATCAAAAAATTGTAGAGTTTTCCACTTTAAATACTAAGGATAATAAACTGGTTTTTCGATTACTATGATTCAAAATAAGAAATTAACTACAAAGGTAATCAATCTATTGTAAGACACTAACTATCTTGAGAAGTATTAACTTTTTTCCAAATTTATTTCATAGATAATTTATGATACAATCAATTTTCGAGGATAAAACCACTACCTAATTTTGATTTTAAAATGACGTCCTATAATAAAAATTCCCTAAATAAATGAAGTATTAGTTAAAATAAATTTTGGTGTTGGCAGTTTTGATTTTCGTCAATATGTTGACGAGATATTCCACTTTTAAGTTTTAGGTTGAGGAGATTATTTGTAGGGCAAATTTTAATATTACACCATTAAAAGTAGGTTGTGGTTTTACCCTCAAAAATAGGAGTGACAAAAAAATAATATAGATGTAAAATTGTAGAGCTGTTTATTTCTTAGATTGTCTATAAACCAAATTCTTAATAAAGTTGAAACTTTCAGATATAATGAGTACCTTAAGATAAATTGATCACTATGTATACAACGCATGTGAAACAGTCAGTGTTCAATCCCTATACAAGTTGTATATCCTTAGTATTTAAAACAGAAATATCCAGAAACTTTTCATTTGTTCAAATTTTGATTACAATACATACACATTTTCTAGAAAATCAGCATTGAAATATGTAGGTTCTCATTCAAAACTTAAGTTGATATTGCTACAGGATACTTTTTAAATGCTATGAAAAATCTAAGTATGTGAAAATACACTTAAAAATTCAAAAAATCAAAATTTGAATTTATATATAATTCAACCATACAAATCACTCTATGTAATCAATTGGTCTATTTTTAATTGTAGATTAAATACCTACATTTCAAATGTATGCTTTTTTTTAACAGTTTTCATAGGCTCATTTTTTTTTTAACAAACTGTGAGACAAGTTGTAATAAATTTAAGAGTATAGTTTTTTTTATTAAATCCAACTTTTATATTTATCACTTGACATATAAGGATAAATTAAATTAAATTTTAATTTTAATTCTATTTGTAATTGTAATTGAATTTTGAAAACATTTTATTTTAATCTAATTTATACTTTTGTTTACAATTTATTTTATATTAACAAAATACATTTTTGTTTCCTTTATAGGAAACAGAAAATTAAAAATATATACTATTAAATGAATTAATTTACTTTTTTTTCTTTTGTGGTTTTTAATATAATTATTTATTTTAAAATTAAATCTATTTTATTTCTTAGTTTTAATTGTGTCATCATTTTTGTTTGTTTTTCAGTTCAGCCTCAGCTACTTAGAACTTCTGTGTCTGTATGGATATGCCTTATCAATATTCATACCGATATCAGTTTTATGGGTAATACAAATTAATTGGTTGCAATGGCTTTTGGTTGCAGCTGGCACCTTAGTGTCAGGTTATGTTATTGTATCTTCAATTATGCCTTCATTGGGACAGAAACCATTTGCTTTTATATTTTTAATAACAATTTTGCATTTATTTATGGGAACCGGATTTATGTTGTACTTTTTCCATGTCCCTCCTATTCAAAAATCTTAATCATTAATAATGTTTATAAAAATATAACCAAATTTACATGTTTATGTTTAATGTGTAATATAAATTATAGTATAATAATAATGTATAAATATTCAAATAATATATAAATGATAAATTGAAATATACATTATCAAAAAAACACGTTTACAATTCAAAATTGAACTACTAAATCACCCTTGTGTTCTACACTCATAGAAGATAACAGTCTCTGTATTTCATTTATATGAACCAGAATGCAACGATAGTTCCCTGGTAGGCCTATATTTCTAGATAGTACTTTATCAGGACCAGGAACATCTTTCAACAAGCAAGCAGAATTTTGTCTTAAACTGACAATAGTATGAGCAACGGATGAAAGTGGTACAATTTGTAGTTTGGCGTTGTATAGATTTTGACGTTCAATTATCTCTTGTTGGTCAATGCAGTTGTGAAGGGCACCAACATCGATAACATTTCTGAGAAAAAAAAAATTATAAAAATATGGTTAATAATATATTTAAAAATTGTTATGTCACTACAGAAGAATGAAGACTAATAACAAATCAGTCAGTTTTTTTTTATAAATTCTGATAAATTTTTATATCGACAATACATATTTTCAATTAATTATTATAATTTTAGATTCTGAGTAAAGTTATGGAAATCAAGGTACGAATGTCAAATATTTGGTAATCATGGAAACCTTTGGTAATTTTAAAGGAAATCTTATAGAAAATTGTGGTATTCTGAAATCTAGTGTACATAGTATTGATCAGTGATTTATCCTCTGAGTTTTACTATGTTTATTTTTAATACTGTGTAAAAAAATTCTACTAGAAATCTTGCTTCGATTTTCAAATGTAGCAATTTTTCTGAAATGAAATTTATTTAGTTGGTACTTAAGGTCATACATAAAACAGGAAAATTTATAAAAATAACGCTTTTATTATTGTTTTTTTTTTGTTGTGACTCAGTTTATAGAAACTTGAAGTTTGGACAGAAAACGTATACTTACTTTTTCTGGATGTCGTAAAATTTTCAAAACATTTGAGCTATTTATAGACATTTTATTTTTTGTATAATATTTATTCGGTAGGTACTAAATAGATAAAATTGTTAGACCAAACAAAAATGCTTTAACAAGAGGTTGATTGTAAGTAGTACTTAGTGATACAACAAAAAAAGTTGAGTATAATATGGTTTTTTTTAATATCAAATTACGACAAGAATGATAAGTATTACGGCTTTTTAAAACATATATTACTGAACTCCGCTCAAAATTGCTTTTTGTTGGCAATGATTAATTGTATACAGGTATACAATAAATTTCTCTCTATATCCTATTCTCCTAATATCTTATCTGCAACAGTGGTCCACCCATCGAGCAAAGTATGTCCAGCGTTTATGATAGTATATTGTACTTACACATAATGAAAATTGCAATTAGTAATTACTAATTTAGTTTTTGTCAAAAAGAAACAAAATTTAAAAAATTAAATTATAGATTAAATTTTTACTTTTCATCAGTTGTGTGGGGTAAATAATCTATCAAGATTATGAACCAGTCTGGTATTTTGTAATGAAGTTGTTCTTAAATATCATCAAAGTTAATAAAAAATATTTAAGTATAACAAATGAGTAACCATTTTTTAATTTTAAAAGTTCAACATAGGCATATCAAAAAGTTATTAGATGGCAAGCACTCTAGGGTGATGTGTCTAGTAATGAAAATGATAATTGAAAAGAGCACGTAGTAATTTTAGATCAAGAAACAGCCATTATAAAAGATAAGGAAAATGTTTACACCGCGTGACTGACTAATGGTTAAATTGTAAATAAGATAGTATATTATAGCCATTTAAATAAATTTATAAAAGTCTACTTAACAATAAATAAAGTATATAAAAGTTTTGTTTAATAAATTAAATCTATTTTTTGAATTTAATTCAATGATAAAATGTCAGCCACTATTATTCAATAACAATATAAGTACTTAGAGGATAACAGAATTTAAAATATCAACAAGACATGTTTGGTGATAGTCATTAATTACTATTACCTATTTTAACCAATTTCAATGAAAAATGTATGAAAAACTTACGATGATACTTCTTCTAAAATGCGATTCAAGCTAGCCTGTTCTTCAGATTCTTTAGGCAATGATCCATATTGATAGTCGTCGGGTATACCGTGTTGAATACTTGTACTGTTACAAGTCGGGTGGGCCAGCAAATGTGTTCGTTCTTGATCCACATCCTAAAAAAAGTTTAAAGTTAATTATTTGTTGTCTCAAAGTACCATTTAAACTCTTACAGTGTATGTGTCATCATCCTTGCACCAACTACAACACGCTCCCATGACACTAAATATGATCGAAAATATATAATAACAATAAAGAAGTGCGTTCTCTAAAGAACAAAATTATACAAATATGAATATGAACATATTTTCTACTGTTTAATCTTTAAAAAAATAAAACTACATTTCAAAATATTTGAACTTGAATTATCAAAATAAGCTTATCTTTAAATGTTGGAAGTTTGGAGATAACCAAATAAAATAATTTACAGATAATAGCGTGATATCTTAGTCCGTAATGATAATAAAAAAAACATAATTGCGATAAGATAACATCTAATCTGTCCGCCATCATCAAATTTTGGTTTTCATTCCAAATTTAATTGGTTTGTTTGAGGCTTGGTTGTTTTTTTCTATATGAAAATTGTTTTGGAATTATCACGGTAAGTAGAATTTTCAGTTTTATTTAACGTTTAATGAACAATAACTGTGTGACTTGTAAAAACTATAAACCTATTCGGTATAGACGTATAGTATTTGTGCGATGCATAAATAACCAAAAAATTTCTGGCTATCATTGATTATCTATTGTGTCTGTGACTAAAACGGCCAACAACAGTAAGATGTTGATGGCCATATCTACACGTAATGAATTTCTTGTTTGTGCCATGGATACATGTCTGTTTAGGCAACTTGCCTAATATGATTGTAAATTATTACAATTTTAAATTTGTTTGCATTTATAGTTCTCTATATAGTACATACCCACTTCAATAATATGTTGACCGAATTGAAATAAAAGAAAATGTATACACTCCTGCATGGATTTTATAAGTATTTGACCCAAAAAGATGAATTTTGTGTTCTTATACTCGGTCTTGACAATGCTGGTAAAACGGTAATAATTATAAACTTCTTAATGAATTAGAAGAATATATAAATTAATAATACATTAATTTACCTTTTTTAGACGTATTTGGAATCCTCAAAAACAAAGTTTAAAAAGAATTATAAGGGTATTAATCCTGGAAAAATAACAACTACTGTTGGTTTGAATATTGGTAATATTGATATTCACCGGGTAAGCTTGAACTTTTGGGATCTGGGAGGTCAAACTGAACTACAATCACTTTGGGACAAGGTAAAAGCTATAACCTACTTAATAATTATTCTTGTGTAATTAAAAATATGAGTATTTTTGTGTTTAATATTGTTCAATTTGTATTTATAGTATTATGCTGAATGCCATGCCATTATATACATAGTGGATTCATCTGATCGAGAACGTATGAATGAATCAAAAAAAACTTTTGGTATGACATTTTTGTTGATTATTTTAAAATATCAAAACATACATTATATATTTATATGTTCATTCTCATATTGTACTGGAACTTGAAAAATAGTAATCAAATTTATTTATTTGTTTTCATATTTTTTTATGATTATTTTTATACCCTGTTACATAGACTATTTGGTATTTCATTTTCTATGTTATCAGATGTAGATGGTACATTATATCTAGATAACAATTTACTAAACAAATTTGGAACAGGACATTAATGTGTGTTAAATAAATTGTAGGAATATATTATGCAATATTTTTAACTAATTATAATGTTGTCTTTTCCTTAAACTTTATTTAGAAAAAATGATATGCAACGAAAATTTAACTAGTATACCACTTTTAATATTAGCAAACAAGCAAGACATACCGGACTGTATGGGTGTAAGAGAAGTAAAACCTATTTTTAATCAGAATGCCCATTTGATTGGGCGAAGAGATTTTATGGTTATGCCAATATCTGCATTGACTGGGTATTTATTTATTTATATATACCCCGTTTCAAAAGAGAATATACCATTTTCGTGACCAGTTTTTGTTCAGCAGCGCACATCCCCACTAGGTAGCACCAGTTACAACCATATACATGTTAGAAACATAATTCCTTAACATGTCTATGGTTGTGACCAGTGCTACGTGGTGGAGTGCGTGCTGCCGAACGAAAACTGGTCGCAAAAGCTGTATGTTCCCTTTTGAAACAGGGTGTAGACATAGTATAGTTGAAATGTTAAAAACAATAAATAATATTATATGTCATAGTGATGGTATTGATGAAGGAATTAAATGGGTAGTAGAATCCATTCAAAGAAATATAGAAATGCGTCCTCCAAAAAATGCTGAAGATTATTAACCTGTGATTATAAAATATAAGTTAAACTTAAAATATTTTTATATTATTTAGTTATTAATGTTTTTAAGTATATTTTTCTATTAAAATATATTGTGTACTTATATTATTGTTTAAATAAAATTATTAGTTAACTGTAATTTATTGTGGAATATATTGTAAATAATAGAAAACAATTATATTCTTACTATAAAATAGGTAAATTACAACTGTCAAGTTGCTGCTTTATAAGGAGTGTTCACTAAGGAACATTTTAAAATAAATATACCAATTATTTTATTATAATATGATAAAGTGTATGAATTCTGAATTTTTGTATAGGGAGTAATGAGATTTTGAACAAACCTATATAAAAATATAATATAAAGTAATAACAAAAAATTGTTATTAAAAAAAAAAAAGATTCTTAGTAAAGTTTGTTTAAATATCTTTTGAAATGCCACCTACGTTAGAAATTCGGTATATCAAACTGGTTTAATATATTGATTCTGATTTATATATACCAGTATGCCAAAAAAGTTTGGTACATTACACACCAGTACTTAGAAAATGTTCTTTGTTATGATGTTGATGTCGATTTGTTCTTACCAGTGTGTGATAGTGATTCAGATTTTATGGTACCTGCTTAACAAGAAATTCGGTGCAATAATTGGACATAAGAACACTTCTTCGTAATGCTAATACTTATCTATCTATAAAATATGAGTTGAATTAAACATAATCTGTAGACGTTGTCCTGTGTTGGCTAAAATAATTTGTTTTTCCAGATCCAACGTTATTTTTTCATTTAATTACAATTCCATGTGATAGTTGTACATCCCATCTAATGACAGACAAAAATGTAAATAATATAATATCCATTTTATTAATTTAAATCTTAAAAACAATGATTTAAAAATTTATCTTAATTAAAGTCAATTCACTCATAATGTACTACAGAACGCTAGGAAACATCAGAAAACCGTGTTTATACTTAAACACATAAAAATAATTAAATACAAATGAATCTTCCAAAATGTAACACAATTCTTTATTTTTACTTTCGGGTTAGTAATAAATAAATAACAAATTGTGATTTTTGTTGCAATAATAGCTTTTTAAATAGGCATCGATTTAATTAAATCTCCGACGATTTAAGAAGAAATGATTTATAAAAAAGCTGTCCTAGGATAATGGGGATTGGTGCATCCACTGTTATAGGTGGGAATTTGGGAAGGTAGGATACAGGAAGGAATTTAATGTATATCCGTAAAAAACGATTCTGAACGGAGTTCAGTTGATAGTGATGCTTTGTCAACAATATATATGTCATAATATGACATAATATTTTTATGGTAAAATAATTTACGCGCAGATGGCTAGCACTTCAAAAGTCGATTCAAAAACACACCAACCAAAGGGAAACGAAGAATCGATTACTTTTAATGATATTTTAGTCACGTTAACCAACGTAACGCAGACACTAGCAAATATCACAGTAAGAATGGACAAACTGAAATAAACCAGACAAAGTTCAAAAATACCTCGCAGAAAATAAAGAAATGAACAGTACACTGAGGATCATTCCTTGCATGGAACGCCAATGGGTTAGTACAGCACAGAAAAGAACTTGAAGACCTTTTACACAGTGAAAACATTGACATAGTCTTTATTTCGGAAATTCACTTCATAACGTGGATCTTTCTAAAGATAAGGAATTACAGAATATATACGACAATTAATCCTAGTGGTAGAGCTCGGGGTGGTACTGCTGTAATAATAAAAGAGTCTATAAAGCATTATAAACTTGAAAAATACTCTGCAAATCATATAATATACAAGCGACTAACGTCAGCGTTAATGACGGGAATAACGATCTCACTGTTGCTGCAATTTATCGCCCACCGCAAGGAGGTGCAAATGAAATTAAGTTCGCTGAATTTGTCCATACGTTGGGTTCTAGATTCATTTTTGAATGTGATTATAATGCTAAGTATACTCACTGGAGATCGAGATTAATCACCCCAAAGGGACGAGTCTTATTAAAAGTTGCAAACAACATCAATGCTGAAATCATGACTACAAATAAGTCAACGTATTGGCCCACTGATCCGAAAAAGGATCTCAAGCAGGAGCCGACCTGCTTGATTTTTTTATTATGAAAGATATATCTTCTAATTATATCGAAGTATTAGAACTTACAGAATTAACGTCGGATACGTCATATACCAGTGCTTCTCACGTTAAGTTCTAATGTTATACATAAACAACGAAAGATGTTGCTAATCAACAAGAAAACAGATTGGGATCTCTTTAGAACGAATCTAGACGAGACCTTAACCCTCACAGTAAGACTAAGAACACCTATTGAAATTGATACTGCTGTTGAACAACTGACTAATAACATCGTAAAAGCGGCGAAATCGACAACACCCATAACACTAATAGGTGGTAATCGTGAGATTACCTACCCAATGGAAATTAGGGAACTAGTAATACAAAAACGAAAGGCACGGAAAAAATGGTACCGAACGAGAGATCCTTTGGATAAAAACGTCTGGAATCGTACTAACAAACTTTTACATGACAAAATTAAAAAAAGGAAAAAACGAAATGTATGATTTTAATCATACTTAAGTGAACTTTCTGCAAAGAATAACACTGATTATTTATTATGGAAGGCTACAAGACGCATGAAGAGTTCTAGCGCCTATGTACCACCTAACCGAATGGAAGATGGATCATGGACATGCCCAAAATAACTCAAAAATCCTGAAAGAGTTATCTAAAATAGCTATGGTTCATCTAACACACATATTCAATGCCATCCTATGTATGGAATACGTTCATAAAATGGATAGGTAAATTATATACTCGCATTTAAAAAAAAAAGAAATTAATTGTTTTAAACATTTTTTTTAATTGTGTGGCTTTGTTATGCTTATATAGGTAAAAGTATAACTTGCTTATCTAACAAACTTATTTTAAAAGTGATTGCAAGCAAATCTCGAAAGTAACATTTTCGAAATTAATCCAAAATATGTTTGAAAAATAGTTGAAAAGTGACATTTTAAATTGTTTTATTATTATTTGTAGTAGGGTGATAGAAATCCAGGCTGTTCATCTTTGAAAATCCAGGGAGGGGACACTGTATTTTATTAATAATATTTCCCAATCGTCTATGCTATTTTGATTTCTAAATTATGTCGTCGACAACTGATGGGAATCCCTAGTGAAAATAATCTTACCATATAACATAATATATAATCATCAATTTTTCATTTATATAATGTATTTAATACAAATTATAAATTTGTATGTATGAATAGATAAAAAACATGGAAAAGCTAGGGAGTGATATGTCTCCTATCTGTCCCTTCCCAATGGATACCTTGGTATTTTATTGCAACTATATAGTACTTAATCCGGGAATATCGATTCCTTTGAGCACCATCATGTTGAGGGATTTCATGCTGGAGGAATTGGTGATAGTTTTAAGTACCTACTCATCCATCTGCTTAGGTATAAAAAATATTTTAAAGATAATATTAATTATAGGTTGTCAATTTTTACGTACAAATTTTAAAAATAAATTATTGAACTCACTTCTCTCAAAACATAATCAATATGGCTCTCATGTTTTGTATATGATCTTTCATTAAGAATGTCTCTGTCCTACAATTTATTTGGCTTTAATATATGTTCTTCTTTTGTAATGTTTGATTAGTGATTTTGGCATTACTTTTTCTCCGTCGTGTACGCAACTTTTGACTCGTATTCTTCTATGCGCCAACATTTCGTGAGAGCATCTTCCAATTGTGACAGATTTTCAATTTCTATTACCATATTCACTAAACTTATAAGCTGGTGTGCAATTTGTTATTTTTTTGTAATCTGCCGGGAAACGACCCATCCAAATTCAGTGTTTTGAAATACCGGTCCCGTTCCGGCTGATTTTATTTGACCGGAGCACAACGATTCGAAAAAGTGACCAGCGCCTAATAACATATCAATTTTTTGTGGAATCTTGAATGACGCGTCGGCTAAATTTATGTCATTCGGTTCGTTCACCTGCTTATTTTCGATACATCTCGATGGTATCAAGATGGTAATTTTCGGCACTACTAAACACAGAACATTTAAGTGAAATTTTGTAAACCTAGATGTAATAGAGACCAACACAGACGATAATACCAGGTGTGGCATATCGCCTATACTCGCTACACTATGATATATCTTCCTTTTCCGTAATTTTAGCATTTGAACTATATTTTTGGTAATCAGATTGCACTGCGATCCTGAATTCATTAACATTCGACAACTTGCGGTTTCGCCATTCTCGGCTTGCACGTTTATAACTGTCGCTGTAGCCAAAATCACCTACTCGTTTGCACGCGAAATGGCGTGCGTACTTATTGACGACGATAATTCGCCGGACTCTTTCTTGCTTATATTCTCTCCTTAATTAAGTTAGTTTTTATTCCTACTCCGTGGTGGTAAGTATAACAGTGTGTTATGTGGCTTAGCACACTTGACGCAATTTCGACCTTCAAATGGCTTGTCACCGTGTTTCCGAAAAAATACTCGACACAATTTTAATTCCGTAATTTTATTTATACGGGTCATGGAATCTAATGCAATCAAAGTAGGAAAACGGTAAATTTTGTGTGGCAAAACACATAAATAACACTTTATCCCCGTACACGTGGTGACGAACGAAAATAAACGGTTACCTTATTATATATTTTAGCAGACTCAAACGTAACACCGTTTCGCTTTGTCGTTCGTATATTTATTTACCTAGTCGTTTCCACCGATTCGAGTATTTTGAAACGTGACTCTAAAAACTTAATTAGTTCACCAATAAGGGGTACCTCCTCTTTGGGTGCGTATTTTTCTCATTCACACAACGTTTTTTCGTCAAGCTTCGTGGCTATCAGATGTGTCAAAAGTGGACCCCACTCTGACGGTTTTTGTCCTAGCGTCCGTGAAATTGCGTAGTTTTATTGTAGACTTACCTCTCAAAATTTCCAAATCAAAAATCGCTTTCACATGCGTCTCGACTAATACTTTTGGATTGTCGCATCGGCAAAACATTTTCCATGCCACTTCGTAATTACCTGCCGTGGTTTCCAAGTTTTGTATGCAACTTAATGCGTCCTCGGACAACGTGGAACGTAAATAAATGTATTTTTGTATTGGTGCTAGCTTTGGATTTACGTAAACTAAGGCTGTGGAAGTATCACAAAACGATGTCCAATTCCAATAATTCCCCTTAACGTGAGAACATCTAATACCGCTAATTTAACATGCGATACCGTATCACTTAACACCGAAGTATTTCCACCTTGTTCCATACATTTTCGAACATTCTTGATTGCATCGATATTCTTTAATGACGCCAATATGGAATTAGCTTGCGCTATCTCTTTAAAGTAGTCGTTCTCGAAGTCCTCTCTATATTTTTCCGCCTCTTTCGTTTCTTCTCCGGCAGTTAATTCAATAGCCGATTGTATTTGTTCAAAGTCGTTTCAAAATTTCTATTTTCTTCTTTCGAAACTCCACCTGTTTTTGATCAATATTCTCCCCAGCCAGGTAAGTCTGAAATCTGGTAATCGATCATTTTAGCAGACCTCTATGAGTGACCAAGTTTGCCCGTTCACTCATTTTAACAGTTATGTGTACGCAACTACGGCTCCAAATAATAAAAGTGATACGTAGGTATATAATAAGTAATACAAGTCTCTATCAACGGTTGTATAAATACATATTGATACGATAGCAATACGATTATTCAATTGCTTTTCGATAACCTTATTGATTAGATACGTTATGATTTTATCTCACTCGGGTTATCCCTATATAATTATACTTAATTCTATTTACCGGTTCATGAGAATATTGTATGTATGTCTATATACGGAGAATCTCTTAAGCCCCGTCCACGCTATGCCGATTGGTATACTATGCTAATAAGTAATAATACTAAAATCTTATAAACTAAGGATTATGGAAAAAAAAAAACTAAAAAAAAACTAATTTGATTATACGGTATATATCTGAATCGGTTTCCATTTAAGGCCGAATTGGTTCCCGTTTGAAAAAAGGTATTTTATGAAATTAAGCCGAATTGGTTCACGTTTAAATTTGGGATGTATCCACTACTGGTCGAATTGGTTCCCACTGTTCCCATTCTTACAGGATTAGGACTGTCAACTTATAGAATTACTTGGATTTTATACTAGAAATATTTCTGTGTTTAGTGTATTTTGTATTCGAGATATATATATAGCCATATAGATATTAGATACGTCTGTATCTAGATGAAATGGCGTTATCTTAATCGATCACGGTATTTTGGCAATACACCGATATAACATTATTTTATTACCTTATTATAACTGTAAAATATACGCCCGCTATACCACGATAGAAGTTAAATAAAAGTTTAAAAATATACTAAATTATATCTACATTTATTGTGTTTATTGTATAAATGTAGGTGTTAAACGGGAACCAATTCGGCTCACCTTCATAAAGTAACTTTTTCAAAGGAAACTAATTCGTTATGTGGGGTATGAACTCGGGAACCAATTCGGATATATCCGTGTGTGATGTGTTTGATGCGCTAGTAACAGTGAACCTATAATAGACACGAGTTGCCCCACTGCTTTAAGTTAATCGTCCTGCGGTATCAAATTATGTTTTACTGGTCTTAGAGAAGTTTACATACATTTAATACAGTACAATATTTTAAGGGGATTCACATGTGTCAATAAGAACTCATACATTTGATATAATATTAATACTTGCGCATAACATATAAGCACTTATACACGAAAAGCAGAAGTTAATATAATATTTATCGAGTGGAACGAGTATATAGCTAATGAATATTATATCAGCGATCATTGACATTAATATTATTTGTATGTTTTCCGAGAACACCTATATTGTCTAACCAGTAATCACTAATACATTACATCGAATAATTCGCGATAAAAAGTAAATGGTCGTGAAATTTAAAATAATAAAAATAAAAGGCATTTAAATATTGTTTCTATTACAATTCATAAATTTAAAAAATATGTATTCATGATTTTAAATTACAAAAAAAAGCTGATACTGGGGACGGGTGCGGCTATTGTTGTAGGTGGGTAGATTTTAAATTAAGGAATTATTTTAAAAAAACTTAAAATTTAAAATAATAAAATAATTGTTTTTGTACATTTTTCCGTTCTTTCTACGTTTTTATCGTTTTATTTGGTTTTACCAAATTATTATAAAAAGTACTTTAGATATCAAAAAACAACTTTTTTTGTCAGTGGCTATATTGAAAGAAACAAAATCGATCTCTTTTCGATTGGAGAATTATTTCTGGTATAAAATATAAGTTGCAAAAATTAAAAACAATGAAAACAGTAACGCCGTGGCGCGTCGTAAATATATGCTGTAGTACCTAATTGTTTTTCTGGTTTTTTCCAATTTTTTTGCAAACCCATTTAGAAAATTAAAAAACTGCCTTCTCAAAGCATCAACAAGCGAAAATTACCTTTCAGAAAAGGTGCTATTGTCTATACTTCAGAGCAAGATTTTTGGTAGAATAGTCGTTCACGGACGGAAAAAATACAAAAACACATCACAGTAAAACCAATAATAACTAATATCTACACTTTTAGTTTAAGCGATATGGAAATGTTTTGTTGTTGATATTCCTTAATCATCCAACTTAATGACTGCATAATACATTAATATTACCCAT